TTTTCTCTGTAATTCTTTTTATGCTATAATCTTTCGTCTGCTCAATCCATTGTTATGATGGTATTAGAACTCATCTCGATACTTCTATAATTTCTCATATCTTTCTTTCAATTTCTACTTTTTGAAGCTCCGTTCTGAATTTAGGCACGAAGCCTTTACTAAATTTCTGAACTTTTCAATTTCTCTAAGATTCTTCTATGTTCTTTTTTGAATTTCTGGTTCTTTTAAGTTACTTTTGCTTCCTAAAACTTGGCTTATATGATGATGGTTAACCATAACCACTGGAAAAAACATAACCACCATTATAATAGATATCACAAAAACAAAAAACAAAAACAAAAAAAGACAAAGAAAAAAATTTACCCCACCCCTATAAAAATTCCTAGATCCACAATTGGGTAGGAGGAATTGAAACCTAAGACCTCGAATGCAGGAGTAAATGCTCTTCACCACTTGAGCTACACCCCTTGCATGTGTATGTTTTTGTTGTTAATAACATGAAACACTCAATTTGATTATATATATATATATATAAAGGTAGCACCTAAGTGTTCGATCAATTTAGGAGAAAAAGAAATTTTCATCTCAGGTTTTCTTCTCCTCGAACTTTATGTGAATTCCATCTCCAAATCCTAAAATAGGGTTTCGAGCAATGCGTGCCGCTTTGATTGTTGTCCACCTATGAACAGAGATTCAATAGATGAGCTTTTTTTTTCTTTTTTTTTGGACAAAGATGACTTGGCTCTGATAAAAACCTTGTAAAACACACAGTAGATTCGTAACTTGTGGTGAGAGAAAAAAAAATGTACCTATATTTGGTGACCAAGACATGGAGAAAGGTGGCCAAGAAAACCCTACTATACTCTGCCCCTGCACATTGCCTCATTCCTCCACCAAAAGGCATGAAGTTCTTGGACACAGCATATGAGTCAAGGTCCTAAATTTCATCAAATAAATGTAAAGTAAAATTAGCTGCTAAAATTGAAGTCATTTGAACAAACGACAATGACACTCAGTCTGTCCCCGAGACACAAACCTTCCAACGCCATGGATTGAACTCGAGGGGATCCTCGAATGTGTTGGGACTTAACTGAAGTGCAGAGGTGACAACCATAATGGTCCAGCCTTCTGGAATTGTAAATCCTGCAAAGCATTTACTGGAAACATTTTAGTAAGAATCCATTTTCTGTTAGAAACAAAAGGCCTACGCTATTTGTAATTGAGGACTTACCCTTGACTGGGATATCTTTCAAAGCTCTACGTAATAAGCCAGGGGCAACATTTCCCAGCCTAAGAATTTCATTGATAACCTATATGTTTTCCGAAGACCGGCAAATTATAAGTCTTTTTCAAAGCTGTTGTGCAAGGAAGAAGGAAATGCTTGTTGAGATTTGGGAACTAACCTGAAGAGTAAAAGTCATCGATTTATATTCGTCCCATGTGAGTGAGGAATTTGGATTTTCCCTGTTTTTGAGAATTGCCTCATGCTCAGCCTGACCATAAAAGATAATTGATCATTAGGGTCTTAAACAGAGGAGTTATGAAAATGAAATTGAAGCACAAACTTCGTCTATGTACCGTCAACTCTTCTACAACTGAAGGATGCTCTGCCAGTAAGCTGAAAGCTAATGCTATTATTGCAGAAATAGACTCAAAGGTGGCAAACAAGCCCCCAAATACCAGCTGAACTGAAAAATCCTCTGACAAAAATTTCTCCTTTTCCATGTCAATGCTGATTTGATCAAGGAAATCTCCTCTCCGCGTCTCAGGTGAAATCCGTCTCTCCTTTAGCATATCCCTCAACATGGTTGTTACGTTCTTTTGGTGCTGAATGAATACCAAGACATTAAATTTTTGTAAAATCTCATTCGAAGGAGACAAACTTGTTGCTAGTTATAATATGCCAATTTGAATATCACCTTCGAACAATTATAGTAGGCTGTACCAGGGATGTTCAAGGGAAAGGACATAAGACCGTCTATGATTTTAGTATATTTCTCACTCAGGTCATCAGATGATTTTTCTGCATCATAACTGATCATCTGCTTCGCGCTAAAATTAAAAACCATCTGCAATGGCGAGAAAAGTTATGTTAAGTGTGACAAGAACAGCAGCAGAAAAAAGCAGTACTGAAAAAGAAAATAAGTGATTAAGATTTAAGTGGGGTTGAAATTTACAACTGAGCCTGCATGCTTCACTTCAACAGAGGCCTTACTTGACCAGGCACATAGACTTTTGTTGACGAATTCTTCTATTTGAGGGAGCAGCTTCTCCTTAAGCCTCTCAGCACCAAAGTGATTCAAGAAAGTGCTCCTTACATACTTGTGAACCATACCAACTGCGTTCGTCTTAGATTCACCTTCATGGACGAAGATCTTCGAAAACGTGTCCAAGTACCACAGCTCCACCATCCTCCCTTCTTGCTGAAATAAGTAGTTATTGAACTCAGGATCAGCTGTGACTACAACCGGTCTACCCGCCAAACTAGTCCGAAATATTGGTCCATATCTGCAAGGCAAAGAAAAGAACATCTTCACTGAACTAGGCAGGAAACTTGGTATATCAAACTCCACTTTTTTAAAATCATTAGATTGATTGAAATATAATAAACAAAGCAATATGTTCTTAGTTGAGTTTGAGTGAGCAGAGTCTTACCTTTGAAGTCTCTTCTTAATGAAGGGGTGAAGATCAAGTGAGTAGCTGGGAATGATCAAATTGAGAGTCTCTCCAATGAGAGGCAACCCCATGGAACCTGGAGGCAGAACTCCATTGCATTTTGGGTTCCTCCATTTGATAATCCAGTGAGTAAAATATATGACTAGTAAAGCTACTAAACTCAACCCAACCAGAGTCCACATTTTTGTTTCAGATCAGAGAAAGAGTGGCAACTAGCAATCTATATGACCAGACTATATATATATCATGTGGAAATATTGGCATGACAAAAAGAAAATAGGAGAAAGTACAAGATTATTCCAAAATATATCTGACTTTTCTTGCACATAAAACATTTAAAATGAAACGTTCTAATGAGAGGGGACACATGACATGACTTATATTAAAAGTAAAAGCCACCGTCTCTGACTTTTGCTCATCTGGTTGAATGAGAAAACAAGCACCCTCAGTCCTTGTTATGGCCCTCAGCCCTCACTCAGGAATAACTTCTAGGTTTAGGCTTGCAGGAAGTTCAGGGAACCTGAGCTATATGAAAGTGTTTTTGGTTATCTGAAAGCGCTTTTAATCTTTATAAAAACATATCGAAACAAGCCCTTAATCTAAGTCATAATCCTGCTACAAAGGTAGTCCAAGTTGGTCGCTCAAGCCTAATCGTTGATCAGGTCAAAACAGATGTAGCTTTCACCAATATTGTCCTTTCTGGTGTCAAATATTAAGAAAATTCTTAATAATGGAAGATTGTGTTTCGAGAGCTTCGTTGAGGTTTAAAATATAAGTTGCCAGTGAGGAGCACCAGATTGACGATGATAATAATACAAAAAATAGTAATATTTCAGTCAAATTTGGGCTGCCCCCACTATTCTAAGACTTCTCATGGCCTCAGCAATATTGTATTTGATCTGCCAAGATTTACGTATGACCTCAACATGACAACTCTGAAAAACTCATATACTAATAGATGGGAGCACTTGGTGGCTGACATTTCAAAGTTTGAACATCAAAAGATCAAATCTAAATCAATTTGATCGAACAGCTAAGAGATAGAGTCTCACTATAGAATTCTTATTTAATTCTAAGTGAAAGCAACTACGAGAACCCAGAAATTTCCATAAATTTCAGTGGCTGACTAGTGTCCAGGAGATGAAATCAACAACCCACTTTGGTGTTTATGCAATTGATACAGTTTTTAAGCCATGAAATCCAAACAACTTTGGAAGGTTAGACTGATCCTGTTGAAATTTCTTTGCTGGTTAAAATTATTTTCCCCATTTGTCCACGTTTCTTGCTGGACTGAACTCACGACAGGACATTTTGTTACATGCACAGATATACTTGTCCAATTCTTTCTCTCTTTTAAGTTAAAGAAATACATAAAAAGTCAAAATTGAGTACAATTATTTTTGTAATTACATGTCGAATTCAAAAATTAATTGAGTGCAAGAAAACATCAACCTAAACTTATAGATAAATAAGAGATCTTTGGTTACAATAGATAACATTCATTTCATGGTAGATTAATATAGTTTCATCAGCAGGTGTTAATCTTAAATCTCATCCTTACATGTGATCGAAAAGAAAAATTGATCATCCTTGTATCATTTCTTGCATATTGGGATTGAACTTGGAGTAAGGCTGGACCCAGGCCCACGTCCAATTATAGCAACAAAACCCAATATCAAAACATATAAATACAGGATAACAATCAAATCATTATATTCAATTCAGCCAAGCATTCTCCTTTTTCTTTTTTTTCTTTTTTTTTGCAAGCGATAATCTAAATTATTGGAGAGAAAAGAGAATTTTTCACACACATAGGCAAAATGTCATGAGAGTTTGAACCTGAAATCTTTGGTGTGCAAGTCAAGACCCTTTTCAACTAAACTAGACTCCATTTGCCAGTATTCTAATAATATAATCTGATCCAAAATAATAATCTCGGTTCAGTCCAGAATCCTAAATGAAAGCTAGTGTTAACTAGTTACAAGTGAGTTTTGTCTTGTCTTTGCTTAAACAAGCATTACGGGCCACACTAACACAAGCCAGACAAATTTGAGTAGAAATGAGGTATAATTTCTCGTGAGAAGGAAAAGGAGATGCTTTTCATCAAATTGAAAACTTCGAGCAGTGGGAGAACATTTATTGCTGAATCAGTATATGGATCAATTCGGCTTATTCCCGAAAAAGGATAAAAAATAATAATAATATTGCATTTTGACAGATGTAGGATAACCTACCAATGATGGAGAAGAAACCATGTGAAAACGCTGGTAAACAATAGTATGAAGTATAACCAAAATAAACACAACAGACATGTTCCCGGTCAATCAGTCCAGATTAGCAATAACCGCATCAACAACCTCTTGAGTGGTGCTGACTCCGCCGAGATCTTTCGTCCGGTACTTGCCTTCTGAGATCACACGTTTCACGGCTGTTTCAAGTCGATCAGCAAATGAAGGAAACTGGAGATGCCTCAACATCATGGCTGATGACAGTAGCAAGGCCACTGGGTTGGCCTTCTTTTGCTCCCATAATTTTTCGTTTCCGACATTTCCTGCTGAAGCACCTTGCTCAAAAACAGCATGATCAGCACCCACATTTCCTGTAGTCACCGAACAACTAATGAGGCACAGTTAAAACAGAGAAACTACAAGAACCAGATAGAGCATGCGCAGTGATCAGTCCTTGAAGCAAATGATCTTTCTTTCATGTAATAGATCATTCTTACTATGGAGAGGCGAAGTAAATACATCGTGATGATAGTAACAAAGCACAACTTGCCAATATATTACCATGATAAAAACAAGAATTCAACTCGCAACTAAAACTATTACAAAAATGACTGGCAATTTATTCTCATAAATTAGACTAATTAATAATGATGTCTACCTCCTGGCATGACCCCAGTGCCTCCAGCAATACCAGCTGCCGTATTTGCCACTAGGTTTCCATAAAGATTAGGAGTTACCTGCAAGATATGAAACCACCTCTGTCAATGGAATGGGAAAAGAAAGTATCTAGTATTAACTAACAGGTAAATTCGAAAAAAAGCAGAAAGGCATGCATGTATTTCAAATTTCAAAAGCCAGATACCTATTTTTTAGCTGGGCAACACAGACAGGTCTATTGGTTAAAATGAAGAACAAGCATGATACATCAGAAGCTTAGGGTTTGGCCCAAGATTCAGTTTTTTTTTCCTTTTATGAAAAAAACAGGAAAAGAAATCCTATGCACGATACTCCTGCATAGCAGGGGTAAATACTCAAGCCCACCCTCCCCCCTCCATAAGGAAAAGAAAATGAGATTCTAAATAAACAAATAATAACAAAATACCTTCATCATGAATCAAAGGGAGTTTATGATACACATATGATGCAAACCCATGACACAAGGAAGAGGAACAAAATTTTGATCCTAGTTAAAACAGAAACTGAAATTGCACAATAGAAAAGAAGGTAGCAGAACAGATTGTTGGAGTATTACAGTTTGATTCCACTTAAACGAACTTGTTCAGAGCTGGAGCTTCTTAAGAAATAGAAAGGCTGTACTTTTTTCCATTGACATCATTTCAACAACCAATGAAAACAGAAAGACAAATACCATTAATATTCAAAGAAAATTTATTTCATATTACACCATTAGTCACAGACTTATCAAAAATTCATCAAGTCACAGCAGTCAACTTCATGTCAAACAAGTACTGTGCAGGAATTCCAAGTTCAAGCACAAAAAGGCATCACTCCTACGACCAAAAAACAAAAGGCATCACTCCATGAAACCTGAATTTTGCCTAAAGTCAAATAATTTTATGTTCCTTCACCCAGGTTCAAGATGTAACAGGATGATAGATGATAACTACTTGGAAGGTAGCGCCCTCTCTAGACACGTCTACTTTTCTATAGGTTTTTTTTTTTTTTTTTTTTTTTTTTTTTTTTTTTTTATATATTTTTTTTTTTTTTTTTTTTTCTCAAAACTTCTTACGATTAACACTAAGCTCTCAAATACAAGAGAAAGGACAGAGTTTGTTGCTAAACAAACTCCTACTCACTAGGCAAACACATCTCTGCTAAACCAACTCCTACAAACCCACGTCAGACCAAGTCCAAAAAGCAACGAAATTTTATCCAAACTTATTCAAATTGTAAAACAAATGGGAAGATTTGAAATGAAGCCACATACCATAACGTCAAATTGCTCGGGCTTCGAAACAAGTTGCATGCAGCAATTGTCCACAATAATCTCATTGTATTTGATACTTGGGTACTTGGTAGCAATCTCTCTACAAGACTCTAAGAACAACCCATCTGCTAGCTTCATAATGTTGGCTTTGTGCACAGCAGTCACCTTCTTTCTGTTGTTCAGATACGCATACTCAAACGCATACTTGGCAATTCGCTCTGAGCAAAACTTCGTGATCACCTAACCAAATTCAAAATCAAATCCCAATTTTTCCCAAAAACACAAACCCACAAAAATTCAAGAGTAAAGATTTGATTTTTGACAGGTTATCATACCTTGAGGCTCTCAACGACGCCGGGGACGACCTCGTGCTCGAGCCCCGAGTATTCGCCTTCGGTGTTCTCTCTAATTACGACAATGTCCACGTTCTCGTGGCGGGTGGGGAGACCGGGGAGGTTGAAGCAGTTGACCAAGGAAGCGTACAAGTCGAGCTCTTTCCTCAGCTGGACGTTGAGCGAGCTCACACCCCCGCCGACTGGAGTCTTCAAGCCGCCTTTCAGGCAGACCTTGTTCTTCCGGATCGACTCGATCACTTCCGGAGGCACCCGCTTCAGATCGCCGTGGACGTCGTACCGCTCAAAGTAAACCGGAGCGTGCATCGCCTCCATGACTTGCTCGACGGCGTTGGTGACGAGCGGGCCTATGCCGTCGCCAGGGATCAGGGTGACGGGCCGCGGGGCTCCGTCGCCGGGTCGGGGCATGTATGTGACGGATCTTGTGTTCGGGTCGGGTTTGGGAAGGAAGGGTCCGGGCGTGGAGCGGTGGGTGAGGTTTTTGAGGATCGGGAGGGTCCGCCGAGCCATCAGGTTAGGGTTAGGGTTAGGGTTCTGGGTTTTCTGGAGGGAGGGGGGCGTCGTCGGGTTTGGGGAGGGCCGAGTTTTAGCAGAGGAGTTGAAGTTGAGCTGGTGGTTGACTGATGGTGGGAATAGGAAAATGTTAGTAAATTAGAGGACTTTTTTGCAATAAAGCCACGTTCTAGTTTGCACTTTTGGGTGGACCTTTTGGTCTATTTGTCAATTGCACTGATCAATAATACATAGCTCCTTTTTTTGAGGGTATATCTTAAAATTTTAAATAATTAAAAATATTCATTTCTTCTACTTGATCAAGCCTTGGGGATCATTGGGCACATTTCATGGCTGGAGCTGTTGGTAAGTTGTTCTGCAGCTCTCAACTGATGCCTTTAATGTCTTCAGAACTTCAGATTATGTGTAGCTTTATGACATTTGCGTTATTTCGAGAATTACCTACTTAAAACTTGCTGCATTTGCTCATATTCATGTTTATAATTTGTGTTGCCTCATCATGATACATTGTACTGTACAACAGAGGAGGCTATTCCGAGTGGCGCCTGCAGGAGGGCCACCGGCCGGCGGAACAGTGTCGGTCAGTGCAGTATGTCCAGCTCTGTCTTGTCACCAGTTAGGATATCCATTGAGTTTGAAGCACTTATTTCTTGAAAGTAATTACATTGTAAATTCTTATAAACATGTTTAATTACAAAAATTACTGCGGTAGCAGTGACAAAACAAATTGCAGAATCAAAGTTCATGTGGTGGGATAAGCAGAATTTACAATCTTTTATTGCTCTCTTAGTTTTGATCGTTGTTTCCTCTCTGTAAATCTTTTTTTATTTCAATCATCAAAACAATTCATATGGTATATTTATCTAGCCAAAAGTGGGGAACAAACTATTGACTTGGACGGTGTTGTAACTAGCTAGGTTTATACATAATGATAGTTACAATAACAAAAACATAACTTGAAAAACTTGTTTTCCAATCCTGCAAATGAGGGGGTAAATCGTATAATGTCACATTCATTCTAAATGAAGAACGCAAATGATTAAATTGCAATATAACTGTGTACGCAACTAAATGAAAAGAAAAAACTCATTTTTGGCAATTAAACTGGACATAACATTATTACGAAAATTTACGAAACCTTCTAAAAATTAAGTAACACACTTGTTTAACTAATTCTCTAATCAAATAATCACTCCCAAGGAATTATATAAACAATTTTCTGATGAACTCAGGAGTTCACATGGAGGAGTTGAAGTACAGCGGCTGAAAACAAAGTTAGTTACAGAACTTTGTTTCCACCTAATTTCCCACACAAACAAGCACACAAATTGCAAACATAATCCAATATTAATTCACATCTCGTTAACAATCAAATCAATCTATTGAAGAGAGTAAGATATTGTACTTCAAACTTCAGCTTTCGAATTTCAGGTGCATCAATAAAAGGTAAGACTAGTAAGCTTTTTTCCAACCATAACACTTACAGATCAATGAAATACAAAAGTTACGTGATTGCTAAAGAACTTCTGATTCTGTGAGAAAGTCAACGTAATCCCATCTGAAAACACCATACAGGCCTTAGAAAGAAAGGGAACCACAGAACATACCTGTCCTTATATCACTTAACCAAAAACATGCAACAAATTTATACAGTGTCTTTCACATGGTTTCTTAACTTCCCATAATTGTCCACGTTCATGAGTAAATAACCACTGAATTGCAGGATTTAAGTATCACTGAGTTGAAGCAGCAGGAGGAGCACCACCCAATCCCATTTTCTGCCCCAATAATGCAAGCTGCTCCACAAACTCCTCTCCTGTGAGTATTTCTGTTGTTCCATAGATAACATGCTTGACAGACTGTTGACGTTGTACAAGCTCTTGCAGGCTCCCGTATTCCACATAATTACCACCACCAATCATGAAGACAATAGCTTCCTTAAAAGGTCCTTTCAAATGGCTGCTACTCATTCCTGAGCTTGACTTCGGGGCACGAGGATCAAACACAAGGTAAGAATCAATTTCTGGATTTGGCTTCCCCTCCATCAAGGCCTCCACTGTTCTTGTTAATGCTAGTTGTCTATCATTGGATAACAGATTTTTCACACCTGCTGTCACGGCGCTTATCGATTGCCCATATAGTTTCTCTGCCCAATCGACTATGTTGCTTCTGCTAGCAGAATTGGCTGATGCTAATGAGACATTCAATGCCTTGATCTTCTTCACATACTGAAATGCACGGGTATCGACCTCAGACTCCCTGAGGGCTGCTTCCACTGATTCCACTTCTGCCTGATTAATGCTTTCTGAAGAAATAAGATACATGATAGAAAACCGCAGCTTATCCATCTTACTCCCTTTCCCTCTAAGCACACCCAAAAGTTCACTTCGATCAATGCCCCCTCTAACCATCATGTCGTACTCCTTTTTGGCAAAAGAATCAAGCAGCCTCTCTTTGATCTCACTCAACAACACAGTTGCAATGTTGGTGTGCTTATCAATCACCTGCTTCCGCGCGGTCAACTCTGGCAATGAGTTCACTGCACTCATCAAATGTTTTGTGTTCCCAATCATATCTGTCCCATCAAACTCAGCTCCATCAGTCCCGCCAGTCCTTCTATTGACCTCATCAACATCCCTCTTATACTTATTCAATTGGGTCTCAATCTCCACTGCTACTTCAGGAAATTCTAAAGATCCATTTGCTACCCAAAATGGATCTGAGCTATCTAACTCAAATGACTTCATCCCGCCCTTTTCACCTTGAACACTCAACCTATTAAGCTTCAATCCAAGAACATCATGCACTAATGGTCGGTACCTAAAATCATGCTGTATTCCCACAGATAACTCAAAATTACGATCAAATATACACAGTATCGGGCGCTGGAAAGAGCTCACAAAGTTTCCACCTTCAGTAAACAAATTGTTCTTTGACAACAAGTGGTCACGCAGTCTCTGATCCAATGCTGATGCTACCATCTCGGCCGGTCCACCACGAGGACACCTGATTATTGGGACAACAGCAAGGGTAGCCAAAACGCAGAACAACCCACCAACTATCTTGTCAATAATCTCCTCAATTTCACGGTCCCCTGCAGAGGGATCATTCAATTGAACATAACTGGACTTCTGTGCCAATGAGAACAAATTATCTTCCAGTGTCACAAACTCCAAATACTGATCATGCACCTTCGAAATCCGATGAATTGAATCTGAATTCAAAGTCCCAGATGCCAGATCCTCAAGCAGTGGACGGGGAATCAAGGACGAGAAATTGAGATGGAAGCTATCATAGAGCGAGCTGGAGGTGTCAGCAATGATCCTCTGAATGTTGGAATGGCTGGGTTGGACAAAGTACACAGCGGGAACATCGTGAACGGGCTTGCGGTCCTTGTCAATGAGGAAGTAAAGGGTCACACCATGCTTACGAAGGTCCTTAACATGGATCAATGGGGAGAGTATGTTTTGGCAAAACTTATCATAGATCAAGATCTTGTACACCTCTTCGTTGGCCATACCAGTTGCATTAACGGGTTGGTTCAGATTCAACATACGGGTAATACATTCTGAACCCAAAAATCACAGATCAAATTCAATACTTTACTAAAAATTCAGAAAACTAAATCGAATATATGCAAACCCAATCAGACGAATCAAATAAAATTTCGTTTAGCATATGACATTTCAATTCCTCTTTTTATAAGAAGAAAAAAACAGCTCTCAAACTAAAATCACAGATCAAATTCAATAACAAAAACCCACAACAAAGTAAGCAAATTTAATCAACTCCAATGGTAATTCCACTATAAATTTACCTGGGTTTTCTCTATTAGCTAAATGGGCTCTCGATTAATTCCACAGTATTTTCATTTTTACATCCTTGGTTTGGTTGAAACAGAGATCTAGAGCAACTAAATGACCAAGAGAGCAATTTACCTGTTTGCCTTTGCCGCAGATTGAGAGCCATGGCCGTGAAATATATATCCTTCCGCGTAGCAAAGACTCACAGACTCACTAGCAATTTTGGTTCGATTTGAAGTTTTATGATTTCCGAAGAGGTCTGCAAATTTGCGGGTTAAACTTGAGCCCTGTGATGTCAAAGGAAAGTCGTTCCTCTACGGCAGGTTCCACGTGAAGTAGTCTACTCTGGCCAATAGGAAAGCACCACGACATATAAACGATAAAGTTGTAATTATTTCATTGGTGGACCACATAGGCTGACTAATGAGATCTCGTAAATGTCATCAATAAAATTACAAACACTAGCAGAGAGTGTAGATGAGAGAAGAAGCGGTGTGTGATGTGGTGGTGGGTTTCGAGATGGCTGAGACGACGACGTTTCTGAGCAACAGATACTGGGTACTGAGGCACGGCAAGAGCATTCCGAGATGAGGAGATGTGTTTCCTCTTCCTGTCCATGCTCCTTTTTCTTTTTTTTTTTTTTTTTTTTTTTTTTTTTTTTTTCAATCAATTTTCAATTTTTTTTTTTTTTTTAATTTTTTTTGTTTTTTTTTCTTTGTCAGTTTTTGACTATTTTGTATTTGACGCATGGCGAGCTAACATTTCTTGACAGGAAAATGGTACGCGCCCAGAATATCAATTGGCGCCAGAAGGTGTGAGTCAGGCACAGTTGGCTGGGCAATTGTTCCAAAAGGTACTTGCTTTGTGTTTTAAGCATCCAATTTTGTGGGTTTTGCTTTTATGTTTACAACTTTCTTGGACCATTATAATCATCTGATATGTCTTCTCTGGTCTTTTCATGGTTTTAAATGGTTCTGCTGATTGACCACTGATATGAACAAGATGTAGTGGTTTAAAGGGTTTAATCAAGTGGAGACCAAGAAGGGGGGTGAAGATTTGACTTGATGAATAAACAAAGAAAACCAATAGAAATTTGGAAATGTGATTAGTTTGGTAGGCATAAACTATAAGGCTTTATTGGTTGCCTGATGCATAATGCTGATATTGGTTGTTATTTAAGCTAAGAATTATGTAAGTTTAGTTAATGACTGTCTTGCATTGCATGTCAGGTACTTGAGGAAAATAACGTACCGATTGAAAATGTTTGCATTTGCTACTCTCCGTTTTCGAGAACAACTCACACTGCTCAAGTAGTTGCATCTGTCTTGAACGTTCAATTTGAGGGTGCTCAATGTAAGGTAAGATGGTCCAGCCCCAAAGCTTCATACTAACTTATCTGTCAAACAAGTGATCCTTCCCCCTTGGTGCATTCATTATGAAGTAGATTTTTCTGGACAGGTGATGGAAAATCTTCGTGAACGCTCCTTTGGTCCTTCATATGAGCTTCTGTCACATGATAAAGTAAGTCTGTTGGTGCTGGTGTAGTTTTTCCACTGATTAACTGACAGACTAAAGGCTTGTCTGTATTGTTTTGATTTGTAACTGGAGCTAACTTATAATCCTCCTATTCTGATTCTGTCTTAATTCTCTTTTCCCTTTACCAATAGTATCACGATATATGGGCTCTTGATGAGAAAGATCCATTCACCAAGCCAGAAGGAGGAGAAAGTGTCAATGATGTTGCGTGTAGACTTGCAGAAGCTATTGCAACTTTGGAGTCACAATTTCAAGGGTAATTGTATATCTATTGATTTGGTATTCCTAATTTCCTGCATTGTATTCATGTTTGCAAAACATCTATAATAAATCTACAAGCATCTTATGTGATGATATTTGACACTTTTACTCATAGACTGTTTGAAAACCCCGTCAGTTGAATCAGTTCATCATGTTTCACATTGCATATCATCAGGCACATTGGATTGCAGAGGCATGAAATAAAATATATACAGTTGAGGGTGTGGCACTTAAAAGCCTATTTATAATTTCTATAGATAAAAAGCCATAAAACATCCATTCAGCGCTTAAGAGATTGAATTCGAAACTAATCAATCTGGGGAGGAGTAAGTTTGCAATTCTTGATAGAATTTCAGTTCAATTTTCAGTTAGGTCTCTTTTTCTGTTAGCTGTATTATATAAGACACTATATCCAGCTGTGCGGTTGCTTTTCTCTTTCGACTTCCATTGTGTTTAATTTAGTCTTCCACTTCATTGCCTGCGTATCATCTTAAGTGTGTGGTTATCTGTTACATATGTTCAATCTACAGGTGCACCATCTTAGTTGTTAGTCATGGCGATACCCTACAAATCTTGCAGACAATCCTGAATGCTGCTAAGCTAAATGCGGGATCCAGTTACAATGACTTGGCATCGAGAATTCAAGCAGTTCAAACCCCTCCCGTCCTGTCACAGCACCGAAAATTTTCCCTGCTTACTGCAGAGCTCCGGGCAGTTGTATGAGTATTACCTCTGAAGAAACTTTCAGCTTTTTCTTTGTAAGTTCTGAAAAACTGGGATAGTGTCATTGAAAAGGATTAAAATAACATTTATACATGTCATTAACGAAGAAATATCATGTCACTTTGGAATTGTTAAATGGTTTTACCAATTTGCCAACCTTGGAGCCATCATCACTTTGGAAGTTGTTGTCTACACAAGCTTTACATTCTCAATGAGTTTGGTTGACATCGTCTTGCTTTATCTTCCCCTTTTGCACTCAAGTAATTTCGTGAAGCAAAGAAATCAGCTTAAAAGCAACCCCAAAGATTAACTTGGCTTTCAAGTAATTGAGTTTTGGCTTAATTAGGATTCTTTTTATATGATGATCTCACGGGATTCTAGTTCCTTTACCTTAGTATTTGCCCCAACCTATTTCAATGATATTGGCAGTCCATTGTCAGGCCCCGTGTTAAAAACAAAGTTCAAACAACAATTTCTGTAAGTTGGTAGATGACAAGCTCATAAGAAGTTTGATTTTATTGATTCAAGACCACACAAAAAAGGTAGAACTAATAAGAACATAAATGGGGTACAAACTACTGCTCCAATGGGCCTACAAAAAATAAAGTACAAATTAACCACCATTACCACAGTTGCCGAATCATATCAACCTGTAATGGGGAAGAAGATGAAAAGAGCATCGCACAAGGAAAAACGTGTAAAAAAAAGTAGAAAACACACAGAATGTCTCTGGAGTTCAAGTATGTCCATGCCGTCTAATTCCAAAAAAAACTTTGTTAATTTGATGATGTAACACGCATATAGTGGTAGCCGATTGGGTTACTATTGAATTTTATGTCGCCTTCGCTTCGATGGATGTACATCGCGGTGGATATCCTCTGGTTTGTTGATAAATCTTTGATGGAGAAAACCAGCAAGGAATATAAGAGAGACAAAAAAGAGAAGAACAAGAGAATACATTAGACCATAGAAAAGAACAACAAGGAGAAGCCCGAGAATATTAGACATTGATTGGTTCTTTTAATTTTCAGGCAAAAAGAGGATGAATTGAAGGATATTTTTGACGGAGACCAAAGGAGAGATATATTTTATATAAGGAGAGATCACGGCATAAGCTTAAATAGTGAAACGTAAGGAAGGCCTAACCGTATTTAAACTAGGAAAGCTTAACCCTATTTAAACTAGAAGAGCTTAACCCTATTTGACTAGGAAATCGTAACTTTGAAAATAAAATCCACAAGAAATTAGGAATTGAGATACTATATAAAACAATATAAAAAATTTAATACCTAATTCTATGATGTTTAGATATTAAGATCATTTAAATTGAATATGGTCAATATACTATTCACGTCATATAACTTATACAAATAGGAAAATCGTAATTATATAACACATGAACGATTTATACCATATAATCGTATATCAATACTATACAATAATTTCTCACTTGGTTGAAATACATCACCAAAAAAGTTCGTTTTTTAGAGCTTGTACTACTACTAAGGACAAATTAGAAACAGCTGGTAGCGGATTATTGGCTACCATATCAATCGTACGTTCAACCACAGCAGCATGCACATTGCAACACACCATCTCTCTCTCTCTCTCTCTCTCTCTCTCTCTCTCTAAAATGAGGGACGCCAGTCATTTTATGAAATCAAAAAGTTTCTAAATATCAAAAACCCTACAGTCCTTCCTCTCAAAGAAAAGCAAATGACAATGCCTGTTCTTCTCATTGTTCTTCTTTTCTATGTTCTAATTTATTCTCTGGTTCTTGTTTTCTTTTTTGCTCTTCTCTATCTTGTTGGGTTTCTTTACAGAAAAATGTTCATCAAACCAAGGGTCGTCTACAGAATTGTTTCTGGGTTTTAAGTGTTCTTGTTGAGTACTTTGCTTTCTTTTTGCCCATTTTCTTTATCTCACCATAATATCTGTCAACATGGGTGGTTTTTTCTACTGCCCTAATGGCGCCTTCAGATGATATCAAATTCGTCGGGAGCTCCAGATCTGTTTGAAGATTAGCCTCACTGCGCCAGCTGATGAGTTTGTTTACCCAGAAAATCAATCTCTTTTTTCTTTTTCTTTTTCTTTTTGGTCAAGTGGTGGTGGAAGCCCAAACAAGAAAGAAAATCAACTATCACCGTCTGCCTCCGGGTTCAAGTAGGATTACAACTTCCTCAGTGACTTTCTTTTTGTTCTTTTATTTTACTGGGGATTTTTTGTTCTTGATCAAATAGTGAAAGAGCCAAGAAAATGTTCAAATGAGCACAAGACAAAGGTGGTGGAATTTTTATGGAAATATATGAAGTGTTGTGGATGTGATGTGATCCTTCAAAACACTTTTTTCTGAGTTGTATTGCAGCTTTAGTTTATTAATTATTGATTATCCTTTTATCAATGTTCTGTTTGTTTGCTTTTCTTTAAAAAAAAAATAGGGAGAAATAATAAGCCCAGGAAAGGAAATGTAAAACCCTAAAACGCAGTCCATTGCACCCATAAAAGTCCAGACCCACCTGAGAGCTTGGCATAATCATAAATTACAATGCCTTACTGCATTTGCTGAAGGAAAGAAAAAAAATAAACGAGTTTGAGAGCTTGCTGATATAAATTCTAAGTTTCGCTGTTACAATTACTGTCCGCAACATAAATGTGCAAATTACATCATCCTAAATAAAATGTTTCCTCTAGACACCATTTACAATTCTCATGCCTCTAGCAAAAAAAAGTAACCCCAGGCAAGAGTTCTCACCATCCTCGTGTATAAAAATGAAATGGAAGAAACAATAAGATAACCCCTTGAGATAAAAATATAGCCAAGCAGACAACGATGGATAACCCACAGGCCAGGCCACAGCATCTGATGACAAAACTGCCATGATCATATTCCTCTTCTAATCTTTGGTTACCCACCTACGGCCTGTTACCTGATACCCACTGTAACTTTGATCACTACTGCTCTCCCCCCCACTTTCTGCACTGGTATATCCAGATTTTCGACGATGCTTCTTTCCCCTTGCAACCCCACTGTCACTCATGCTTCCATTCAAAAGAGGGTCGTCTATCCCACGAATCAACTTCTGTGCTGGTGATGATGCCGCTATAAAACTGTCATCTTTCGTTTTTCTTTTCTCTTTGTCATGTCTCTTAATGTTTTGGGAGATCTTGTGTAGCTTCTCATTGAACCTGGTGATCCCCTTCTCTACCGGCTCTACTGCCTGTGTTACTGTGAACCTCACATCTTTCACAATCTGTAGTAGAAGCAAAGAGCAGATTCAGAACTAAGTCTAAATAAGATCAGTATTGTGCAAATTCTTATTGGCTATACTTTGTTTTAATATATTTCATAATAACCCTTGCTTCAGAATCTGTTGACATCTATTAGTTCCATATTCCAGGATATATTCAAATTTGTACTGTAAGACTAAAAAGATGACTTACATATTCCCCGCCACCAACAAAAACGTCCCGAACACTTTCTCTTATGGTCATTCCGCTTCTGACATCAATGTCAGGATTGGGAAGGCGTAGCTTCGTGGGGCGTTCACTGTCCCTAACCTCCTCGGGATCCAAAGGACTGTCAGCCGATACATAGTCTCCAAGAACTGAGACACTTCCAGTGTAACGATCTCCCATCAGCTCATAACGCTTTGCAGGAAACACATATAGGTGAACAACAGAAGCAATGCCCATCTGTGCAGGATGAAAACACAGAACTGTTAAACTAAAACATGTTGCATGAAAATGGTAACAAGAATGAATATTTTAACTCACATTCTTAATAACTTTGAAGACCACATTAACTCAAGAGTTTAAGGGAGAATAAATTATCATTGCGAAGACTATAATAGTGCATAAAGATTGAAAAGACACAATAACATGTGCTGTTCTGACATGTTAATTGATTTACCCAACATTCTGCATCATTAACATTCTACCTCTATACAAATGATGAAGTCCTGAACACTTGACTTAAACTGTAAGCCTTGAGCTATAGGGCTTTTGAACAAACCCAGGGCATAAAGAAGAGCAATTGCCACGCCTTGCCACCATGTCAAAAAAACAATTGATTTAAATGTCAAAAACTTGGCTAATGGTTTTATGTGAGCTAGTTCATCTTTTGTAACAGCGTAAAATTGAACAAGACAGTACAACGCCCATGACTGACTAAAATTTAGAACCACTGCAAGATAAGGATACCTGCAAACAAAAGAAAATTATGGCCATTAGATTCCCTCTATGTGTTAAAAGAGCTTCTTGGGAAAAAAAAATACAAACAAACCAACTTATCCTATCACATATAACTGCCAATTACGTGCACCATTTCAAATTACAAATGCTTTTCCAAAAACAATTGAGATTCACTTACCCACATCCCCATTTAAATTCTCCTTCACAATATACACCAAAAGCTTCAAGGATAACAGCTAAAATAGCACTGAGAGACTTAATTAACATCTGGCAGAAGATAAAAAGTGAATTTAAGTTATATAAGGGAAATGAAATTAGAGAACAAGAAACAGCAGAAAGTAATAAATAAAAAATTCAAAGTGATGGTAAACATACATACTGAACAATTCCAAATTTGACAATTTGGTAAAACCATTGACCAAGTTTCCATGGTTTCAAGATATAATTCATTGGAAAAGGATGCTTAACAGTTCCCTTTTCAGAACTATATTCTAATAGGGGAGTCTTAGAACTTGCACGTCCTTCCCTTTCCATAAACTCGATAGTCCTCTCTTCCCCACCTTAGAAGGAGAAAAATATATATACAAAAGGAAAATGTCAAAAGCACAAAAACATAAACAAGGGAAGCAAAGAAGTATCTTTGTCTATTAAAACAGAAAGGACTACAAATTGAAAAGAAAAAAACATCTTGGACATTTATGTGCACCATCAAACATTGATTACTTGAAATTCCCATATAAAGACTAGGATTAAAAGTGGCATCTGTGATAAATTGATATAGTCATATATAATGGCTCCATCCATAATAGGTATTTATTTGTGCATCTATCTAGAGAGAGAGAGAGAGAATTGAATGTGTATGAACAGCGAACGAACATCTATCACATTGCATCCAGCAGGCCAATCTTGCATGATACTGGTGCATGAACAGTGAAATCTTGTCCACATTCAATTAAAGATTGTTAACATCTGAATTCTGATTAACATTTAGTAGCATAAAGCTTCTACAATTTAAGTTTTGATGATGTGTTAGCTAAAGCTTCTAAACTTTATGAAACTCTACATAAACAATGGTGTTGTAAAAGCTCTTGAAAATGACATACCCAAGCATGCAACCAAGTATCTTCCAAAGCAATACATGGCAAAGGATTCATAGCAATCCCGTAGAATCTCGCAATCAACGCTTATCGATGGGTTCACCAACGATATTAACTGTAAACAACAACCAAGTTAGAATCTTACAAACAACGAAAATGCCAACAATCTGAGGCAGAATACTTTTTCCGTAACACAGACATACAAGTATAATCAATAATAAGCAACAATGATACTTTTAAAGCTAATATATGAACGTAATCTTCACAAATGATCGGTCAAAGCAACTTAATGAACAATACATGTATATTCAACTCATCATCTTCCAGATGTGTCAAAAAGAAACACAGATGTTTGAGAACCAAAGAAATATATATCAAAATTGATAAACTCAAGATCTTTCGTATGTTAAATCCGAATTGAAGGTTCACCGTGCACATCCGCAAACATTCTCCTTGACAGTAACTAAAAGCACAAACGTCATATGTACCCCATAATTCCTCTTTTTCCTGAACTGCTTTCCCTACCTTATAATTCCTCTTTTTCCTGAACTGCTTTCCCTACCTTTTCTCTCCTATCCCTCTTTTCAAAACTAACTTATATGTTTTGGTGAATCCTATAACTAACATATATGTTTTGGTGAATCCTATAACCCCAAATAGAGGCCTGACTTAAAAATAAACAAAGAATTATGTGATTCCACATGGTTCTTTATTAAAATAAAAGAATAAACATTTATATCGAAACAAAAATAAATTTAAACCAAAAAAACTTACTGATTCTACTGCATAGCACGGAACCATGAGGACAACACCAATTAAAAACTTTTGCTCCTGAAAGGTTAACACAAACCAAAATGGTAAAATGCATGTCCATTAGCAATACATCAATATTGAAGCATGCACATTTTAAATATAATTTGTATCACTGACGAATGAATACCTCTGGAAGTTTGTATGCAGAAAGGTGCTCAAACACAAGATATATTGAAAGAGTAAGAGTGATGAGTACAAAAACACCGGAAACTAGACTTGCCCACGTAGGAGGTGTGTAGGCCAACTGGGTAATGAGATCGATAAATGGTGTTATCTTCATCAGCTGTGTTTCCTTTTAACCAGCCTATATTCTCAAATATTGCCAGCATAATGGAATCATCAATTCACAAACATATGCATAAGGTGCTGAATCACCACAGACCACAGACTATGGACCTGTTCACCCAGACGATGAATAATAAGCATAAATTGATAGTTACAAATTACATAGATACCAAAACACACAACCTAATATATCATGCAAAGTACAAAAAAAAGGTTGGCAAGGAAACAAAATGGGAAAATGGGTGCAAGGAAAACCAGAAACTAATGCCATAATTTGTTCAGAGATCACCACTCCACTGCATGCCTAAGCTGTGCGTGTGTTACCATTACACCAAACCATTACAATGCATATATTCTTGTACATTTTATCATACAAACCATACTCAGTCAAAAACTGGCAGCTCAAACCAGCAGAGAAGAAAAATGCTAGGAATGGTCCCCCAAAAGTGCATTATCAGTCTTTGGGATTTCTAATAATACCCATAAACACTGCATATAAGAATCATTTCCACAAAATAGAATTGGCTATTTCAGTAATTCTTCCAATTTAACAATTTCAGAAGTCAATAGTGGACAAAAACAAAATCAACTTTTTTGTACATTGGAAATCAATTAGATCAATCACATAAGAAAGAGAGGGGGGAAATCCAGAAGAACTGTAACAAATTTGAAATCATGAAAAGACAAAAAAGAACAGAAGATATTCAATCTAATTATATTAGGTTATTAACAAAAAGGTAAAAACTCAGCTCGACTAACAAAAGTGAGCTGATTTAGGTCCAGTTGCTCAGATAATGGAAGTCAAATACATTAAAGGAAGTAAATTGAAATCATTTTCCCACACTTTACCAGCAACCAAGCAGATTATTCAGAAACTAAAAGCATATGAACTGATTGCCGATGTCAATTAATCCGATAATCCAATCAATATGATGGAGGTAAATGAGGAAGATAAGGCTCCGAGACCACTTACAGAGCTTCGTCGACTTGGCCACAGAGAGAGACGTATCATTATTGTGAAAATCAAGTAGACATTATAAACCTCTCGATTTTCGCATTGCAGAACCATCTGAAACTTGACACGGACGCGGCACGTGACACCTCTTCTAACGGAGTGAGTGGAGAGCATCCTTTTTTTTTCTTTCTTTTTTTTTAACAAAATTATATTCTAAACTATTCTAATGCAGGAAGAGGATAGTCCATCGACAGTAGGAGCGAACGCACTATTTTGATCAACGGAACTAAATGAAAAAAATTGTAAATTTTTAAGTGAAATAAATTTAATGAAGTGATCATTCGTGCTGAAAACCGGAATAAAACTTATCTTTTCAAACTACATAGTACATATCATATTATTTATTCAAATAATACTTTTCCTCTCTTATATATAAGCGATGTTCTCTCTTATATATATTGGTTGCTTAGACTCTGCATTTCTTTCCTATCATTTTTTAAAATGAATTTGAATTCTAACTTGGTATAGTTCAACTTTGTATCCGATTTACAAAGATTATGATTTTTTTTAATATTAATGAATGGATGGAGCCATGGTTTCTCCAGGTAGCAGGTGCAATGGGAACCATGTGGGTGTGGCCTCGCTGTGTTCTTGCAATGTGAAACATGTGCCCACGTTGTTCATGCAATGTGAAATATGTGTCTTGAATATCAACTACTTATCAAACTTGTTGTAGCCATTTATTTCTAATCATGACGGCCGATTGTCTAAATGCGCATGAGAAAATGTACAACTACTTTTTCACAAGAGATTTCATATTGTATTTAGGGTGAATGTGGTTTTTGGTTATATTTAAATCTCACCTCAAATTAATGTAGCATTCCAATTCAGATTTGTTGGATTTAAATCTCATCTTAGTAGTACAATTGAATCGAATTAAAGACTAGTCAATATGGTCTACTTTAATGAAAAATGATATTAACCTGTAGATAATTAGTCTTAAGTTCGAATCTCCATAATTCTTTAATGGTGTGCGTTCCTAATTTTGACAATAAGAAAAAACTAATTTAAAAATCGGTTTAATTCGTATTATAAACTTTAATTTGCGAGAGGAAAAAAATTATCTGAGAATTATGAATGAGAAAGAGCTGAGAACAAGAGTCAAATTTCTACCGTGGATGTGATGTGAGCATAATTAAGTGCTTTTTTTTACCACTGAAATTTGAAGCTCTAGAACCCCCACACACGAGTTGTAAAACGGAGTTAACAAACAATTCTGGCATGTAAATAAGGCGGGTGAAGTGAACGAAACGACACCGTCGCCATACGATTTAAAGAATTGGAAGAGAAAAGCATCCAGCTTTCTTTCTACAACATCACTCTCGGTCTCAGATAGAAAATGGAGAACTCGACGGTTCTGAGAGAGTGGTTCGCCCGAGTTGACTCGGCCAATACGGGAAGCATCACTGCACCGCAGCTCAAGGTTCTTCTTCTTCATCTTATTTACCGTGAACTTCCCAAATTCCCAAATTTCTTTTTTTCCCTCCGCGTTCACATGATTAACGACGACGTATCGTGATCAGAATGCTCTTGCTGTTGGAAACCTTGACTTCCCTATCTCAGTTGTTCAGCAAATGATCAGGTCCAGATACGTATAAATTCACACCATCTTTTTGTATATGGTTACTTCACTTGCACAGATAATTGATAAATATGTAGCCTTTTGCAGGATGTATGATTTTGACCGGAATGGGACGATGAGCTTTGAAGGTATGCTTATATTAATGCAGAACTTTTTAACTTTCATTAGTACTTTTATGCTTAACACTGCAATTTGTATCCTCTTTGTTTATATTATGATTTTGTCATATGGGTTCACTGATTTTGTACACTTATGTGTCTCAGAGTTTGTGGCGCTCAACAAGTTCCTTCTCAAGGTGAAAACTTTGATCCTGAAATTTCAATTTTTGGTTCAACACTTCTTGTCTGTCTTGTAATTTTGGTGATATGTGGTTGTGTTGTGTCTTTACTCTGTTACTATCAACTCATCTCTTTAAATGTTCAAGCCCTTATTTTCTGAAAATGTAATACCTTTGAGGATGCCGATTTGTGCCAAGTATTCCTACAACTTATATGTAGTTTTGTTTCGATTTCTGTCTTCTTTTCAGGTTCAACAAGCCTTCTCAGACCGAGAGAGGTGATTCAATATATTTAAGGATTTTTTCTTGTCCACTCTGGTAAACAGGGTCTCGTGATTTTGTGAGGTAGTATGAAACAAATTAAAGGTGTATTTGATAGATTCAACCGTGGTAGTATGAAGCAAAGTTGGCTGCTTTAAGACTTGGTTGATGGTGTATGTTTTTCCTCGTAGATCGTGCACTCTACTAAGTATAATAGACATCGGCAGTTAGTTTTTGTCCATGGAAACTAAATTTTCACTTGATAGTCTTTTGCAGAACTTGGGCATCTTACGTAATTCGAGCACTTTATAAAGTTTATGTTGTTTGAGCAATGCAGTGCTTGGCTTTAACTTTTATGCTCCTCTGATATTCTGCCCACCATACATAATATACATTTCACTATGCCTACAACTTACGTATTAATTTGTGCATATAATCTATATTCTCCTTTTAGTTGCAAATGGTGATGAGGATAATTGCTTCACATACTGTTGTAAGCATTTAGCAACTGTCTAATTTTGTTGGTTTGTTTTACAGGGGTCGTGGCTATATTGTTCCTGATGATGTGCATGAGGTAATATCTAACTCTTGGATGAAAAATTGAAGTTCGTGTCTTTTAGATATCTTTTGACAGTATCGTAATGGGAAGTCTGTTAGTTTTTCCTCCCTGGCCTTTCTCTTTTTTTTTCATTTCTTTTCTGGATTCTCAATTGCTGAACCATTGCGACAGGCATTGGTAAAAATTGGTTTCTCGCTGGACTCTCCCGCTTTCTACACAGTCTGTGAGGTATACCATCCGCTTTCTACATAAAATGACTCTAATATTATCCTTTTGGTTGTGCGCTGGTCTGCTGTGATGAATCTTTGATTTACCACACCACCACCAACACCCGCCCCACCCCACCCACCCCGCGCGCGCACACGCGGGCGATAAAAGAAATCAAAAGGCTATATGGCTAGAGATGGTTTTGATAAGGCTGATTAGCTAATTCTTTTTCCTCTTAATTGTGCAGAGCTTTGATAAAAAGAAGAAAGGAATGTTCCGACTAGATGACTTCATATCTCTTTGTATATTTTTGCAGTCTGCTCGGTAGGTTGCATTTCAATTCACAAAAAGCATATGTTTTGAAGAATGGTGCTCGTGCATTGATTTTGAGGTTTTAGCTCAGATTTAATGAAGACTGTCATATTTTCCTAGGTTAGATTAGACAAATTATCCATACATGTACAAACACTTACATATGTGTCAGGTTCCATTTTGTGATGCTATGACTTCAGGTGGAAATTTCAAAATTCGATGTTTTGCATCAAAACAAGTTAGACAAATGCCAATATTGAAATTCTAGAATGTGCTATTCCGAAGACTAATGGTGTTGTTTGTCATTCTTTCCTTGCAGTAATCTGTTTAATTCATTTGATACAGCTAAGCAAGGCAGAGTGTCTCTGGATCTCAACCAGTTTGTCTTTTGCAGTAAGTCCCTGATTCAGTATGACATGAATTTATTGTTTATTACAGTTTTGCACACCCCCATCAATGTAAATGGTCATTTAATTATAAAAATATTAGGTTGGTTGATTAGGGGAAAAAAAACAAAGTAGAATTCCCACCTTCTTCATCCTTGCTGTCAAACTTTTTCCCTGTTTGTTGTGGACATCCTGATTAATTAACAATTAGTTTCTTGTTAGCCCATACCTGGAGTTCAATTTTTTAAGAATGACTAGAAGGGAAGGGCTTTGCAACTCCATATCTTTCTTTAAAATCCAGTTCAATTGTATTTGCGCCTATAATATTGTTAGCAAAAAAGTAGTAGTCTCATTAATTGCTGGATCAAATTCAATCCATTTTGACAGAAGGTTTGCCTCCAGGTGTTATAATTTTCTCCATGTCAGGTTATCTGAAAAATCACGTATGCAAAATATGCTAATTTTATTATATTATTCATCAATAATTGACATATATCTAATATCATTATGTCATTCTTTTATTGTCCAGCTGCCAATTGCAGAATATGAAATGCGGCAATGACCATGGGATGCTGGGGAATCCAATTCCTATATACATCTATGTTTCCTAGTGTCTGTATGTGTGTTTTCTTTTAAATTTATGGTCCGCAGAGTATAGATTTGCTTCTCAACACGTATCCCATCAATTTCCTTATTGATGTAGTCTTAATTTGCAATGTTGTTCATTCGGAAAAGCTTATGGATAAAGAAGGGAAGTTACTATTTATTTTTTCACTTGTTATGTATCATACATCTGAGAGTAGCAGGAAGTGTTGGTCTGCTGTCTAACTTATAATGTTGCTCTCTATAATTTCTCAAAGTGTTGTGTTTCTTCTTTCCAGCCTCTTTACGCTTTTGAACTTGCTTCCCTTGTTTTTTCACACTTGAGCTTGGAAAAGCACTTCTTGTAAGACGAATGTGATATATAAATAGCTCCAAACAACATTATTTCCAACTGGCCTTCTAGTGTGAATATTCAAGGCACATCTTTCGCATTGCAAGAACAGAGAGGCCACATATTTCACGTTGAAACAAAATTCATGACTGACTAAAATAGGTTGATCCAGCTAAGCCTCAATTTTCCACGTGTAAAGGCTCACCAATTCTAGCCCGATTGCTCTATATGTTGACAGGACAGGAATTTATAGCATATTCGAGTTTTGCACCGACCAATGAATGTTTTGTTAGTTAGGTTAGCTGATTGGTGGAAAGAAACTATAGATGATCCCTATCTATGATGCTCTCTTCAAATTTAAAACCTGAGTTCCATATCGATTGGTTTTGGATCATATGTATATTTCTTTTATGAGATTTTGGGGGAACACCAAAAGAAAGAATGAACTATCCACTCCCGTACTAGTTTCAGGTGGTATGATCCGATGTTTCTTCAGTAGCAGCATCTCAAATACTTTCTGAGGATTGGCTCTTTTACCCAGTTTTGATTAGGAGCAAATTGGGCCGAAAATATCGGAAAAAACTGAGTTGCCTAAAATTTGGACCGAGTTGACCAAAAACTGAACCGAACCAATTTGGTCAGATTTCGGTTCCAATTCTTGTAGTGGAAAAATGGGACCAAGCCGAACCTAACCGATTGTGTATTATTTTATTTTTTTAACAAAATTATTTAAATCCAATGCTACATTTTAATCTCATAACTAATATTTCCCTAAGCTCAACTTCTAAACATTTCTCTTTTCTAGGCCCAATGTATCTCTTTGTATGAAATTTGATAATTTGTTAATTTTCAAGCCTGAAAAATAAAATTTTAGTTGGAATTTGTATAAATTTTATTTATAATAATAATAATAATAATAATCAAATTCAAAATCGAAAATCGAACCAAAATTGGTTCAAACTGGAGCAGCTGATTTCCCCACTCCCTTTTTCTCCACTTACACTCCCTTTTGCTTTTTAATACTTTTTAATCAATTTTGTTCATTCTCTTTCATATTCTACCCTTACTCTATATTAATTTCTCTTTCACTTCACTTTTATATTATTTCTTTTTCTTTATACTTAATTTTCTAACTTACTCCATTTTCAGTATTAAAGGAGAAAAAAAAAGAACTTAATTTCTTACTCGATTAAAGAAAAAAAATACTGAAAATGGAGTGAAAGCTTGAAAATTAAGTATAAAGAAAAAGAATTAATATAAAAGTGAAGTAAAAAGAAATTAATGGAGGGTAAGGGTAGAATAGGAAAGAGAATGAACAAAATTGATTAAAAAGTATAAAAAAGCAAAATGGAGTATAAGTGGAGAAAAAAGGAGTGGGGAAATCATATCCCTAATTAAAATTGGACTGAATCAAACAAGTTAAATAGTACCAATTTCGATTCTAATTTGAAATAAAAACCGGACCAAATCAGACTACACCCACCCCCAGTTTGATGATGACGAAAATGGGAGGTCCAGTGATTTCAAAATTAATATGTGGGTTGTGTGTTTACTATGCCATATAAAAAAGCTATTGTCCTTCAAAATAATAAAACATGAAAATCATACTTAAAAATACAATAACAGACAATGGCATCATATATATATATATATATTTAATATAACTGAAAAATACAACATGATACTTTTTATAAATTAAAAAAAAAGGAACAAAACCATTTAAATAAATAAATAAACAAGTAAAGCATTAAATGAACCGAGCAGATTAAACTGCAAACTGAGTTTAACCAAAATGCTATTAGGCTTACAGTGCATGGTGTGAAATATGTAGCAAATACATTCAGGCCCCATATAAAGAAACCAGAAAAAGCTTACTATCCCGATCAATTACTCCTAAACCATGGAAATATGTAGCAAATACATTCAGGCCCCAAATGCATTTTCAGCTTCTTTTCAGCAAGTAAGACATGAGTTTTGGTTCTTATTTACAACTTGTAGTTGTGTTTTCATGCATGTTGACATGAACTGACCACCCATATACACAGATTTCCAAAGGCACGAGCTTGTTGCTATATTCTTCTTCTAAAAGCACTTCTTAATACAAATCTAATCCTTTAGAAATTCATCTTTTTTACCTATTATATCTTTTTTACCTACTATCGCTTGTACTAAATCAAACAAAAATCGGATGTCAACCCGAAATGTTCTTTATTAGATTTTTTTTGATTTTTGGGTCCGTACATCTTGTCACAAGAGAGAGAAAAAATAAAGTTGGTGATTCTTCTCTTATTTTGGTTTTTCCCACAAGCTTCATCGTCTTTGAATAAGCCATGCATAACACATTAATTTTTAATTAAATGAGGGATCAGTTTCTATCAATCATAATTGACAAAACAGTTACCACCAAATACTATTATTTTATAAACTCAACAATCTTTTGTCACTAATTACACAATTTGAATATAAAAAAATGGTGCAAAACCAAAAGCTGTGAAGCCATTGAGCAATGTACTTGATGGAAGGCCATACCCAACAATTAAGAAGCTGATACTGATACACTACCAATCTCAAAATTAGCACATAAATTTATTTGATTGCAAATGTTAATACAAGTCCAGGAATTAGAATGATGGGAGAAATGAATTAACCAGCTGGTGAAAAAGTGAAAACTGTAAACTGGTTATATACAGTGGCAGTAGTAAAACAGTAAACCCAGCTTCTCTGATTTTAAGCCCTGATTTACTGGGCTTTACCCTCAAGTTGGAGAAAAGTTGAGTTGCAGCTTTAACTCCACCAACGACATGACGTTCAATTGTTGTTGCCAAAAATGGACAGCCAAACCGCAACGACATATCACATACTTCTCTCTGTGCATCATCTTCTTCCCAGTACAGACTGCTTTGGCCAGCAAGAGAGCAACAGAAAATGAGACCCTCTTCCGCAACTCAAGCTCTCACTCTCCTCAGCTCTCTGCCCAGAAACTTAATCTTCAACGCAGAGCCTCAACCCTCATCTCTGCAACTCTCGAGATCCAAAAGATGGAAGCTGATAGTGACAATGAGAGACAGAAGCAATAACCCGAGACCATTGCAGAAAGGGAGACACCTCAGCGTCAAAGCCATACAGACCGTACAGGCCTTGAAGAGAGCCAAGAAGAATCATAGCTTTCTTGACCAAGCGTTCGATTCTGAGTTCAGGCGCTTGCTGAAGCTCGACATAAACAAACAAAAAAAGAGTACCAGTAATAACCACAAGCACCTTCTGCAACATAAACAAACAAAAACAGAGTACAAGTAATAATAAAACCATCCTCACATAACTAATTAATAATACAAATTAATTAATAATACAGTAGCAGTCTTACATTCTACACATAACTAATTAATAATACAAATTAGTATATCTCAAATCATAACTTAATAATTAAAACAAACAACAACATATTACAAACCAAATTGTCTTTAAATCATTATTAACTTAATTAAAAATAAAGCAGACATAATTTTCTTCCACCACACCACCTCGGCCCCGCATGCACCCTGCAAAAACAAAAAACAATATTTTTTCAGTTGATATCCAGATAAAGAACTAAAACAAATTTACGAAGTCACTACCTCAGTATCTTTTTTTGCTGCTGAACCCCGTGATTTGCTTATCTTTCAAGTCTTCCACCTTGAACCCACATGGCGCCAAATGTTCCTTTGCGTACGCCAAGAGCTTCTGGGGGGCTCATACCGTTTGGTTTGTCCATTCGAACTCATCGGTCAGCTCAGCCAAAACGTGTAAGCGCCGATCCTGATACATTGTCCAAAGCAGTAGCACATTGTCAACATCACCCCTCACCCATACCATGAGGGGACAGTTAGGTCCTGGTATAAAAGACCTAATGGCTGCTGCAAAATTGTTCTGAGATTGGATGAAGGCTTGGTTGGCTTCTACAAGAGGATCGGGCTCTGGATTACGTGAGGAGGAACCCTTACCACCCTTACCCTTTGATTTTTTCATCTCTACGGGTTTGGGAGGATCATGACATTTTTGTCTTTGGAGCACAAGGTGGTTTTTGGCATGTGTGACGTTTTGCCAAGGAATATAAGTATTCCTCAGCCTATTCAGTCTAGGATCTATAGGAGCATCTCTTTTAACTAACGGCACAGGCTCTGAGAAAGGGGTGGTCAATATGTAGGGAAGATTAGGAATGTTTGGCTCCATACTGAGGGAGAAGTGAGAGCTGGAGGTGAGAAAAAGAGGATGTGAGAAGCCAAGAGGGTGAGTTAGCAGAGGTGTGGGTTAGTGAGAAGTTGAGAGTTGGAGGTGAGAAAAAGAGGATGAGAAGGTGAGATTTTATAGTGAGTTGCAGCATGGACAGCTATGCCAAAAAGCAGGTTAAATTTAATTTGTTTTTACTGTCTAGTTTAAAATATCTCCAACTCACGTTGAAAAATATCAAACAAGATAAATATACATATATGGACAACAATATCCCTATCTATTGCCATGCACAATTCAACCAGCCAACACAAAAGATTGATATATTGACGAATAAAGAAAACTGTCCCATTTCATAGCCAGAGCAAGTTCAAAATTTTCCTGTGTGGATATCGCTCCACATTGGGATTTTTTACGACATGCAGTGACTGATAATTTGGACTTTTTGGCTACCGTCGAAGCTGGGAGTTAAGATTTTGGACATATTGATTTTATTTTGCAGGCATATATGTGTCATCTTATGTGTTAGCTTTTGTGGATTTCTTGGGTGCTTGCTTTATTGAGCACAATATAAGCTAATACCTTTTGTATCTACATAATTTAAAGGATGGCAAAACAACAGTAATTTCAGTCCCTCAGAGTCATTAGTACTGAGACGCTAATTTGGATGTGTGATCTATCATCTCTTGAGTCTTGACTATTATGAGTGATGCCTAAAAGCCACTACACCGATGCCTACATTTGTACGGTCAATCTTCCAAGCTCTTTTTCTTTGTGCTGATTCAACCAAAGAATAATAACACTACAAAAGGCCCCATTAAATAATAATAATAATAATAATAATAATAATAAATTGTCATCCTTCAAACTACCGGCTTGTTGCCTTCACCCAACATCACCATCACTGTCTCCCAAACTATATTCTTGGGATCTGGTAGTTGACAATGGCGATCCCATTCATGTTTTCCAACTTGTAACAACTAAAATGCACCCCTTTTTTATTTTTTTTATTTTTTTTATTTTTAATAACAACTGAAAATTGAGGTTTGCAAAATCTTTCAATGTTAGGAAAATGAGTATCAGAGACCAAAGAGCTTTTGTATATATCAGATACCATAATTTCTGTAATTATTTTGTTTTTTTAGTATTTAGATTATAATGTTTCCATTCAAAGACAAAAATAAAAATATTAAAGAGGTGAGCTTTCACAATTGATATTAACATCATGTTTTTAATGATGGAGATTTAGACAGGTAATGGACCCAAATAATATACACACAAGCAAACACATTTACCCCTCGCATCAAAATTATATGGTAACTTCTCCAACTTGGTAACATGAGATGAGTTGATGAAAAAACAGCAACAAGAAAAAAGAAACATGCCCTTTTGTACACACTATTTACAGTTGAATGGAATGAACCCATCGTTTTTCCCCTCAAAAAAGAAAAAGGAACATGCAAATTATAGCCACACCGTTTTGACACAATTGAACACATTAACAAAATCCCTTCACAGGTTTCAAAATTTTTAAAACTCAATTGGTAAAACCGGCATCCTAAAATATTTTCAAGTCAAATTATTCATCTACTTATCTATAGGTAATTGGCTGGGTCGTTCTTGCCAGCCAATGCTATCATTATCCAGTCTTGAATCAGTTTACAATCTGATTCAACAACCCAACCCACCTTATTACATTCAATGTTTAATAAGTGGAAGAGAAAAAGCTTGCAACACATTATTTGCTAAGCCATACTTGAATTGTTCTCAAACAAATCCACAGTAAAAGTTCCCAAACTTTCTTACAGGTTGAAATTGTGGAAAGTGGAATGGTAATGAAGTTACAAAAACTCTGAAAAGATCAAAATTACCCTGGACTGAAATCTCTGGAGACCAAGCTTTTGCAATATGTACTGATAAATTCAGTATAGACTTTAAGTTGAAAAAAATAATAAATTACCTCAGAGAGAACAAACACATTCCACTCACATAAAACGGAACTGTTATATATCACATCAAAGAAACCGTTGGTATTCCAGGAAACACTAGTCAGTGAAAAACTACAAAAAAAGAAACATTCACATTACCTGCAGAGTGCAGATTAAAGATAGTTGTTGGTATTGTCAACAAAAGAAACCCACCCTATATGTTCTAAGACACCCCCCAGGGCAACTTCTGTTGCTCAGTGACAACTCAAGAAAGACCTTGAAAACCAGAAAGTCTTGATCACTTAAATTTGATCGACGTTCTCTGTCAGCACTATTAGAGATCCAGGAGGAATGCAGCTGGTTGAGCTTTAGCTGCATAGCCAAATTTCCATGTACTGTACTTCCTGTGTACTCCAGTAAGTTTCCCAGTTTCAGCCTTCTGATGGAAAGTAACCATCATCCTTGAGCATTCTCTGTTGATACAAAAATATACACACAACATTAGCTTTCTGATAATCATGAAATGGGAATGTTGTCCTATATAGTTTTATTACTTCATTTATATACCATAAAATTGCTATGAATCATGCAACTCGGTTCAACAACTTACAGGAGCTCATCTTCTGAGTAATTAGTATACCACTCGCTGGTCTTGCTCCATTGCTTGAACCGGGACAGACTACACTGAGCAGTGTAAATTGCAGCAGCAGCTAGCTTAGATGGGGGGAACCTGAGCATTTCATACTCCACCAGGCATAGCTCAATGAGGAAGAAGGACAGAAGCTCAATCTGATTCAATTCCAGGAGTACAAAGTATTAATACTTTCTTTTAATGAGAAATGATAAGTGAAATCTAACTGCTTCTTATACTGTGGGGTTACTATTACTGACCTTTTTGTCGGATTGAGCTGCCTTGAGGAATCTCTTCATGAACACAAATGGAGTAGGAACAGAAAAGTTGAATTGTAAACTGTTCACCATTGATTTCTCCATATCAAGGACATCTTTCCTTGAATATGCCTTATCTGATATAAGAACAAAATCTTCCACAATTGGGACAGAAACCTCTTCATACTTGCATGCTAGTAACATGGCTGTCACACCAACCAATTGAAGCTTCTTTCTGATCACCATTTGGCTCTCTAAGAATCTGTCTATAAGACTGACAGTAAGGAATAATGTCTCATCCATAAGCTCAAACTTGTAGTGGACCTGTTAATACATTCAAACCAATTAACAATCTATTCACATCACAGGTTCCAAACTCTTACTAGTCAAATTTGGACATCTTAAAAGAAGCCAAACAAAGTCCGAATATAGTCACCTCAATAAGCCAGTCGATGAGAATCGCCCTCATTTTCTCATTGATGTCAGGTTGGTGAGCCATGTAACTAGGGGAGATACAGCTTGACTTCTGCATGATTAAGATAACCATTTTTCAGCAAAGAAGAAAGCATTTCTTTGCCAAATTGAAAAATCAGAGAAACCATATAACCAAAACCCAACAAAATTAAACCCCACAAAAATGCAAGGCAGAAAATGATTATCAACCAAGGAGTCATCTCAATCAGAAGACCATATTGATGTGGTGGCATATACAACAACAACGTAGCCTTGTCCAACTATCTGGGGCAGTTACATGAACTTTGCTTCTTTGTTCCATTCTATCCTAATGTGCTAAGCCATATGAGACCACAAAAATGGAACATTTTTACATGTTTGAGCTCATCTCAAACAGACTAGATATCCAACTATTTGGGGTTGGCTACATGAAGTCGGATGAAACACAAAAATGCAACGTTTTCAAAATCCTGAGCTCTGACCAAACAGATGTGTTTTCATTAAAAATTGAGGTTAACATCTTAGATTGCTAACCCTCAAGATAAAACAGAACTTATGTGGAGTAATTCGTATAATACAAATAGTATAGTGTATGCTTTCTATAGCTAATGAAATATACCTCAGTTTTCCTGTAGTGAGCGTAGATGTCATCTATGTACTCAACAACATTAAGTGGATCCTTCAAGCCGCAGCTGTCAATATCCATAACAGGTTCCTCTACATCTTCATCCTCTTCCTGCAGTATTCAACACCATCTACCTAGTTAGCTTTCCAATATATAAAAATAGAAACTATTCATGAAGAAAAATGCTGTCGGTACAAGATAGTAAGACACACATACCATCCTATCAATTTCATCTAGCATGGCTTCTGTGTGCTTCACAAACATTGGCACAGGAGCATCACAAGCCTCATCCTCATTATCCTCCACATCTACAATTTCACAGTCCACCAGACAACTAGAATTGGCAGTAGATGAGCTCAGTTTCTTAGTTTCCAGATCAATTTCACAGTCCTCCACATCCACCACACCACTCCGATTCGCAACCAATGAAGTCACAGTCACTTCCTTGGTTTCCTAATTGCATACAACCAGCACCAATATATTTTAATTTCAATTTCAATTAAAACAAATGAATAGATGAATTAAAAGCTTTTGGTCATCAGTCTAGAGGTACTACCTTTGGGCACTGCTGGACCATTTGTGCTGCAAACCTCCTATAAGGACATCAACAAATCAAAATTAAATTCTTGAGAGAAAAAGGAAATAACAAAAGGGGAAATCGAACGAGAGTCAGTTCCAACCTTGTAATTGGTCTATGTGGCAGATTTGCCACATTTTTATTACATGCCGCATCTTTCCTGAATAACGATTGACCCAGGTCTCACATTAGTTAATTGAAATGAAAGATTGTTACAAAAAGAATCAAATATCAAAACAAAAACTTGGAAAGAGATTCAGATTATAAGAAAATATCACTAACCCAGCACATTCTCTTTTGTTGACAACACAAGGGTTGACGTTAGCTCTGGTGATGTTTTGGACATCTCTCAATGCCTGACGACGAATCGGCCCCACCTCCTTCACAAACTTGGTACCCACCAATCTTGGACCTTTTTCAGGATTTCAAAGAAAATAAATACAAATGAACAAAATAAATTTAAATTATAAATTATAAAAACGCCATTTTAAATTTAAGGTTCGTTAGGTCTCTACCTTGGAAATTTGAGGACCTAACGAGACCTGGGTTGTTCTCCTTTGAACCCATTTCGATCACCTTTAAGATCAAGGGAAACAGATTAGAACCAATCAGAAACCATCATCAAACAACGAAAATCAAACACCCTAAATACAACAGAAAAAAGGGGGAAAACCCATGATCTAGAACAAGATGAAGTAGAAAAAGACTGAAACGAACAAAACCCAGATCATCCGATTTCAAATATGAAAGAACCAAAGAAACCCACTAACCTTGGAGAGAAATCAAGTCTGGAACTTTATCAAAGTACTGTAAATTAAAGCTAATTAGCTTCAATCTTCAAAATCCCGAGAGAGAAGTGAATGGCATAGGACCTTGGCAAGCCTCCCTCTCTCTCTCTCTCCCTCTCTCTCTCTATACCTCTCTACGCTCTGTCTCTGTCTTTCTTTCTTGTTGGGTTCTTTAAAATGGGTTTTTATTTATCAAGCAGATTCATATTCGAAGGAAACAGAATAATAAAAGGAAAAAAGAAATAAAAAGCGGAATTGGGGAGAGAAGGGCATGTGTTCGTCTCGTTTTGAATATAACGGCTACTAATTCCTGACCGTCGGATCTTAATACCACCGAAAAGTCACGATGGTCTGTCTCTAACGGCTATCTCGCTTTTGTGCTCCGTGCCCTATTTTTTCAAATATTTTTGTAGGTCGGGCTTTTTTGTTCTTGATTTTTTGGGCTGGGCCTTGACCTTTTTGTCTAATAAAAGGCCCATAACTACGCTCTGCACCAATCATTTGGCTTTTTCCTCTGGTGTCATTTTTGGAAATTTGCTATCGTGGAGCCGATACTCAACCCACAAATACGCTCTGCACCACTAAGGAAAGTGTCCCTTACTTCCCAGAAGCTCCTACACCACGTGTGGCTCACAACAATTTAAAAATTACCAAATTTTTTATTAAAAGAAAAAAAGAAAGGAAAATATACTTTGTATAAAACATTGAAGTTGTTGGTGCTTATCTCTAAATCAATGAATAATGTATCACATTTTATGACTATATTTCGACTCTCGATTGTTGCATAATCTGAATTCATTTCATTTGCAAGATCATAAAAGAAATATGAAGAGATATGAATAACAATGTCGCAATAGAACAATGTTTTCATATTTCTGAACATTCCATAAATTTAGTTATCTCGTTACGTACAATGATCTTAGCAAACAAGATCGTGTGTATCTAATTTTTATTCGAGAAACATATCATGTCTGTGTTAATTGCATATTTGGTTTCCCTTTTTCTTTTCCTTTTATTGCCAAAACAATTTACCTTCTTTCCCATTCAAGTGTATATTGGCATGTAAACTATGATTACTTTAAAATTCAATACTTAATATCTTTCATAAGCTTGTAAGCTATAAATTAAGGTTGAAATCTTTATACTCGATGCCAAACAAATATTCATGCTCATAATTAACCAAAGGAACAATGACTTTTTTTTTTGTGTCAAAAAAGGAATAATGACTTGACCTAGTAAACTTGGTGAGTGCTCATGCAACGACTTGAACACCAATAGACTTGACCTGCAACGCTGGCTGGCAATCACTCAAAAGTCGGAACTTTCTTCGCTACTCGATTTGTGGCCCGTCCCTCATAAGGACTTTGCAAATAGTTCAACATAGTCAAGGTTGACGTGGATACAATTAATCCAAAATGAGACAGCCATGTTCCAATGAATTTGTCATGAGAAATTCAATATCTGTTAATGAATCAAAATGGACTAATTAATGGATAGGGGAGGATCGAATTCAAGTATAAGAGGGTGAACACACTGTATTTGTCAATTAATTTAACTCATATATCGATAATTTGAGATTAAGCGTAACATAATAAATCTAGACGAATAAACTCAACTTGAGGTTTTACAAATTAAAGATCGGTTTGAGTTTATTTGAATACTATCTAGTTGAATTTGAGTTCAAACTTGAAATGAGTAGGTCAGGTTGAGTTAGAATCTCATCGACTTGTACACATGACCCAACTAGCTATTTTTTTCACCTTGGAACATGCTTCCTTGAGTTAAAAAGGAAATTAGGCTATCAGGTTATGGGGGTGAAAGCTGCACTTTTAAATCTCCAAGTATTAGTATGTTGGCCGTGATATGATGTCAACCAACGGTTGTGTTAAGATGAAGTGGGGAGACAAGGGGGGAGAAATTCTTGGATGAACTTGACTTTCAGTAGGCTTTACCAGCTCACAACTTCTATGGATCGTACCACTATCATCATTCAGATTTTAAGAGATACAACATATGACCTTTAAAAAACAATGTTACATACATCGTTAAATGCATGTGAGTAGTTGTGGATTATTAATATACAAATTTATAAATACACCCAATCCTAGACATGTATTTATAAAAAAACCCAAGCACTATTTAAACATAGAAACACACCCAAAATCAACTCCAAAGTCAACTTTTTGGGTGTGTTTATAAATGGGTTTTGAGTGTGTAATGATGAGTTTTGGGTGTGTTTATATATTTAAATAATGCTTGGGTTTTTTTATAATTTCAACTCCCATTTTGAGTGTTTTAGTGAATATGCGTTAGTAACTGACTATTCTACGTACAAACGACCCTTGCTAACATAAGTAATACAAATATAGACAAAATTGACACACACCAAATTAAACTAAATTAGATTCATTTGATCATTAATTAGAGCGTAATTGGGACGGCTATCAAGTCGTCCTAGCTCAAGTAACAAGGGTCCCACTCCCTCTCTCTCTCCTCTCTCCAAGTCCGGTATTCCATTCCGCCGTTCAGATTTTCGTGTACTCAAAATCACACCACAAAAAGTGGAAGAAAATCAGAGCAGCAGGCGGGGCCCATGGTCCTTCAAGAAAGAAAAGCCCAAAAAATGGGACCCGTCGGCACGAATACAAGACGAGAACCAATCCAAAAGGGGTGCACGTGAATGCGCGTCACTTTTTCAATAAACCGCGTGAACCGACCCAGAGGCCCCCAGTCCTATCCTTTCCCATCCCCATGCATGTATGAGAAAAACATATGCAACTGTTTCTCAAATCCTTTTCTTTCTTCCTTTGGTAAACCATAAAACCCGCCAAACATGTACCTCACCCTCCAAAATTAAAAATTTAAAGATGGAATTATCCTAAACATCCGGAACATGACCATGACCATGACCAACAATTTGTTTTTGTTTTTGTTTTTAATTCTCGTAGTTATCATAATTTTTAGTATAAACAAGATTTAATAACGCGCTTAATATAATACAGGATTTGAGTCGGTGATCATATCGTCTAATGGTATTAAGTCTTCATTTTATTAGGTACGAAAATTTCAAAGTACTTTATCTTTTAAGAAGACCATTTGACGAGTTTTGTGTAGTTTGTCATGGGGTTAGTTTATAGTGTGCTAGTGGGAATTGGTGGAGCATGACCAACTTTTCCTTTTCTTTTCTTAGGAAAAGCACAATGTGTTACACAACCCTTTAATGATCATAGCAATTAGCGAGGTTTAATTACTTTCTCGGAAAATTCACCGTTGTCCGGGAAAAGTTGAAGATTTTTGAGATTTAAGAACACCCTTTAGGAAGTTTTTTGTTGCTAGCTATATTAGTTAATTTAGTGCTAGTGGGAAATGGCAGAGAGGCAGATAGTGATGGAGGTTGGGGAGAAGGGGAATGTTGGTGCTTCAACTAACGGTGAAGATGATAGCGATGGTGTTGTTGGGGAATTGATGGGAGTGATTGAGACCGTTGGATCGTATTCGGGGTTTCGGAGGACGCACAGGAAGGAATGCTTGAACTTGGTGAGGAGGTTGAAGCTGTTGGTGCCACTTATGGAAGAGATGAGAGAATTGGACATATTGATACTTTCTACCACCAAGGCTTTGAATTCTTTGGCTAGTTTGAAGGAAGCACTTGTTTCAGCTAAGAAGTTGTTGAGGAATTGTAGCTGCGAAAGCAAGATTTACTTGGTCAGTACTCTCTCCCTCTCTCTCTCTCTCTCTCTGAATTGACTAGATGGGTTCTGATATTAATGCTTTTGTTATTTGTTTCTGTGTTTATAACATGATCAGACACTAGAAAGTGAGGCAGTGATGGGAAGATTTCATGCAGTTTATGATAAACTAAGCCAGGCTTTGGATGATTTTCCATATAATGAGCTTGGAATCTCAATTGAAGTCACAGAGCAAGTAATTTGATTCCTTACTTTCCTTTTAACTTTTTCTTGTGTTGCTTGCTTTAGCCATCTTCAAATTTTGTACCTTTTCAAGATACTCAAATGGAAGATTTGTTTACCATTCACCAGCTTTACATAAGTTTTTGAGTACGTACTTTGCTCATGAGTTTTTCTGGTCATAGTACCTTGCCCATTAATCACTGATGTGGCTGTAAACTTGGTCAATTTTCAGGTTGAGCTAATGCGAACGCAACTCAGACGGGCGCAGAGACGGGCTGATACGCAGGACATGGAGCTAGCAATGGATATGATGGTTGCATTCTCTCAGAAAAAGGAAGGCAGGAATGCAGATAGTGCAATACTTGAAAGACTAGCCAACAAGCTGGAACTTCATACTGTTGCAGACTTGCAAGAGGAAACAGTGGCTGTTGGAAAGCTAGCTAAGAGAGGATCATTAAGGCAGAATGCTGAAAGCATTCAACAAATCACTGATCTTTTGGGAAAGTTCAAGGAAATTGCAGGCATTTATGAGGACTTCTTGCTTGATGGTCCAGTTTCAACAAGAAGTCCAAGGAAGTGCCAGTCTTTGTTGATCCCTCATGAATTTCTCTGTCCAATTACATTGGAGATCATGACTGATCCTGTTATCGTGGCAACTGGACAGGTAATCTCAAGTAGACCATATGAACTATTTGTACCACTAGTTGTTACCATATATGCACATTTTGATATATGGTTTCATGGATTACATGTCGTCGTGGGCAAGATCATAAGTTATGGTTTCAGCATCAGTTTGAATTCTGGTCATCATCTAAACAGAAAACTTAATCAGGAAAAAAGAAATTGCCTCCAGTCAAAATAAAATCTGAAAGCTTTTAAGTTCAACCATATTTTGATTTTCTCAAATGTATAACATGGGGTCTGAGATAGTTTTCCTTGCCTTCTTTTGAAGACTTATGAAAGAGTAAGCATACAAAAGTGGCTCGATTCGAACCACCGCACCTGCCCAAAGACAGGACAGACATTGGATCACTTATCGCTGGCGCCAAATTTTGCCCTCAAGAATCTAATCCTGCAATGGTGTGAGAAGAACAATTTTGAACTGCCCAAGAAGGAGCCTTGTGCAGGTTCTGATGACTCATCTGCTGAAATCATAGAGGAAGTGTCTTGTTTAGTACAAAATCTATCGTCTTGTAATTTGGAAGTCTTAAAAGAAGCCATTTTCAAAATCCGTATGCTCTCCAAAGAGAATCCGGAGAACAGAATTCTGATTGCTAATAGTGGAGGAATCCCCCAACTGGTTAAGCTCCTGTCTTATCCCGATTCGAAGATTCAAGAACACACCGTGACAGCACTTTTAAATTTGTCAATTGATGAGGCAAACAAAAGACTCATAGCCAGAGAAGGGTCCATTCCTGGTATAGTTGAAATCCTTCAGCATGGAACAGATGAAGCTAGAGAGAATTCTGCTGCTGCATTGTTTAGCTTATCGATGCTCGATGAGAACAAAGTACTAGTGGGAACTTTGAATGGAATTCCTCCCTTGGTAGATCTTCTGCAGAATGGAACAGTCAGAGGTAAAAAGGATGCTGCCACTGCATTATTTAACTTGTCTTTGAACCAAGCCAACAAGTCTAGAGCCATCAATGCTGGTTTAATACCACCATTGCTTCATTTACTTGAGGATAAGAGCTTGGGCATGACTGATGAAGCCCTCTCAATTTTGTTACTCCTTGCATCACATCCCGAGGGTCGAAATGAGATGGGCCGGCTCTCTTTCATCGAAACCCTGGTCGAAATTATCAAGAACGGAACCCCCAAGAACAAGGAATGTGCTACATCAGTCCTTCTAGTGCTGGGATTAAACAACTCATCTTTCACTTTGGCTGCTCTTCAGTACGGAGTGTATGAGCATTTGCTGGAGCTGGCTAGATGTGGAACCAATAGAGGGAAAAGAAAAGCAAATTCCCTTTTGCAACACATGAGTAAGTGTGAGCACATTCCCTAACCAACAAAATAAAAAACTTGATTTATAATCCTTAATCATTCTTGAGTGTTGCCTAATTAAGTTTTAGTGGAGTAAATCATAGTTCAAGCTGTGTTATGTTCTTTCCTGTGTGTCTTTTTGCCAAAGAGAGTGAGAACATATTCAGGTATAGATTGTAAAATGCTAAAAAGAGTCTTTGAAATGAAATAAGGTTTTCTTTTAAGATACAGATTCTTAGACTTTTCTTTATCTTCTTTCTTCTGCACAGCTCCAATGATTATCCAGTGTTTATTGAGTTTTTTCAATCATCATATTGGACTAATATTTGATTAGTGCCTTATTAGGTGCAACTAATACTATTGCAATGATATCTATCATTAATTAGTGCCCTTTAGAAATTGCTGAGAAATTGCTAATTGTGCTACAAGGCTACTTGCAGGACATCAGGTTGTTGAGGAGCATATCACATTTTATTTTTCTGAAAGATCATCATTTCTTGTCAATCTGGTGGATGGAATTAAATCAGGTGGATCATAAATGAAAATTGCGACTAGCAACCCCCATCCAACCAAAAACAAACATTGCAACTAGCAACCTACCTATACAAACTAAATGAAATCTATCAACAACTCATAGCTCTAGATGTCCTTTTCATTTACAATATAAGCATCTCCCTAGAATTCTACACACAAATTGATATAGTGAAAAAATAATATGACCACTTTGAATCCTATTTTTATTATTTAAACTACAAGGTACTTTTATGTCATGTACACATCCATTGGTGCATGGTTTTTCTTTGAAAGAAATTGATATTATTATTGGGTAATTAGATCTTAATTCCAAAATTTGACAAGGGCTTGTAGCTCAAGTAATTAAGAGTGTTTACCCATACACCCAAGATGTTATGTTTAATTCTCCCCTCCTATAATGTTGCTTATATAAATTTTTTTTTTAAAAAAATCCCCAATATTAGCTAGGATCTTAAGTGCAGGGGTAAATGCTCTTAACTACTTTAGCTACAAGCCCCTTACGTGTGCCCTCCATTTTTAGTATATTAGAGAAGTGAGAGAAATAAATATAGGGCTATATGTTGTTTTTTTGTGTTTTGTTGTTTTTTGAAAATCGATAGTCTAAACTATAAGAGCAACTCCACTCATTTGCCCTTTGCCATGGCAATGGGGGAACTAGGGCAGCTACTATTCACGTGAATAGTAGCTGCCCTTGTAAAAAGCAATGTGTGGTTCCACCCGTTGCCATGACAAGGGCAAATACTATTCATTTTATTATTATTTTTTCACAAATTTGTTTATCTAAACAATTAATTTGGATAATATTTTTGAATAAGATTTTTGGGTTTGTACGTGTCAATATTATTATAAAACTCATATTTCAATCGGATAAAATTTTCGAATAAGATGATAAATAAAAATACAATTTAAAAGTGAATAAAATGTTGAGTAAAAAGTGAATAATAGTAGAAGTAGAAGAAAACGTATGAGGATTTAGTGTTGAAAGTGAAGAGTATTGGTAGGTATTTATAGAAAAAAATTCCAGAATTTTTTGGTATATTTTTCATAATTTTATAGCAAAAAAAAGCCCAAATAATAGTAGAAGTAGAAGTAGAAGAAAATGTATGAGGATTTAGTGTTGAAAGTGAAGAGTATTGGTAGGTATTTATAGAAAAAAATTCCAAAATTTTTTGGTATTTTTTTAAAAATTTTTGAATTTTTTTCATTATTTTATAGCAAAAAAAAGCTCAGCCGTTGGATTGGAGGAGAATAGGCAATCGGAGCGCCCAGACGACGACACATGTCTTCTAGCTGTTGGTGGAGCGCATGACGTCATCCCCCCCCCCTTTGGGCTCAAACTCGGGCTAAAGTTGCCTTCGGGCCAGCCCGTCTTCGTGGGTCCCACTCCCAACACTGGCTTGGGCTCTTCGCTGGAATTGGGTTTTTTTTTCTCCCCCCAAATAGAGGCTGGGCTCCTCGCTGGAGTTGCTCTAAGAAAAAGGGGTTTCTCATACACATACTATCAATGTGTGTGCCATAGGGATTCATAGCTAGACCTGTTGACCAGATGGACAATGGTTTGTTACTCCATTTTTAGTATGTTGGGGAATCATAGTGTCTCAATGAGGTAATGGAGCTTAAGGAAGCGTGATCCTGCATTATTTTTTGTTATCTGATTGCATTATGAATGTGGTTGTTGGATGATTAATCATCTTTTATTGTTTTTTAATTTTATTGGTTTTCATATGAAATTATTACTTCAGACTTCAGAGGGAAGGTGGTTTGATAAAGCTTGAAGGGTCAAAAAAAAGAAAAAAGAGGTCCCCTGAGATTATTATAACATAATTAGACGCAATGAAGGAATAGATATCACTTGAGTTAATGTTCATCAACTACTAATATCTGGCAACAAGTCATGCTTTTACATATTTGTCTTATGAGATGTGAAATTAACTTAACTAATACAACTCATTAAACTAATGTGTGGAAGTCTGACAACGTTATTCAAGATTAATAGATAATCCGACACAATTCGTTTCACCCGTTAAAAAGGTTAATCATATTCAATGTTGAATACTGGTTAGATTTGTTAACCAACCGTTAGTAAGAATAAAAGAATTAATTTTTGAACAAAAAATTACTTAAGTTCATTATTTAGACATTCTACATAAGAAACATAAATGCCCTTTACATAGCTAAAAACTTAAAGATAAAATAAATAATTAAATTTCTTAACACCCGATAAGGGTTTTTGTGGGTTAACACGAACATGACATATTTTTTAACAGATCACTAACATATTCACCGGACACTAACAAGTCTATCGGTTAGCATGCCGGTGTGCATGATTTCCAAATCTATTATGGAGACTTTCAATTCAAGTGGTAGAACGCTTTGGTATCATATTCATCATGAAAGTTATATTTTTGTTTCTCAGTGTGGAATAAGAAAGTGAAATATGTATGATATCATATGTGATATTTCATTCACAATATAATTACAAAGATTGTAACCCTAATCTTGAATGTGAAGATAAACGTCAAACAATTAAAACTATGAAACCTCCAAGCTGAGTATTGTTAAAGCTACAAGGGTACCATAGCAACTTGAACTCAAAGTATCATGGCACAACACGATTGGTCACTAAAATAAATTATAATAAAAATTCAACTATTTATTTAATTCTTATTTTCTTTTGATAAGATTTTAATTCTTGCTATAAAAAAAAGAAGGAAAAAAAAGAAGGGTTCAAGACTTCAATTCCACAACCACAACAAGAATATGCGAACCAAACCGTAGAGAATCTGAGCCCTCTCTTTCCTTTTTCTCTTACAAAAGGGTTTTCCCATTTGGCACACAAACCCACATATACTCTGATTAATCTTTTACCTGTCCAGTTCCAAATCTTCTTCAATCTCCTCCCTTTTCTCTATTTTAATTTTGTAAATTATATATTTTTTATTTTTTATTTTCCCCCAAATTTTTATTTCCCATATAAAATAGCTTATATTTTATTCAGAACACAAATTTTTTCTGGGCTTTCATTAGCTTTCACACTTAAGGGGTTTCGATTTTTTCAATTTCTAGGGTTAGGGTTTTCGTTTCATTTGTCTTCGTGATCGATCGATCGATTGGGTAGGAGAGAATTATGGGTGCAGAGGGCGATTCGAGCGAGCCTAAAGTCAGTGGCGATGGAGGAGGAGAGCAGATTAATATTCGATGCTCCAATGGGTCGAAGTTTTCGGTGAGGGCGAGCCTGGACTCGACTGTTGGGGATTTCAAGGCAATTTTGGCTCAGAATTGCGATATTCCAGCTGAGCAGCAAAGGCTGATTTACAAAGGTCGTATTTTGAAGGACGACCAGACCCTGACTAGTTATGGTACGGTTTGTTGTTTCTCTGAATTGACTGTATGCTCGTTTCGTTTTCTGGGCCTGTGATGTTCTGCCCAATGTTTTGATGAATATCGATTTTGTAATTTTTATCGAATCTGGTTTTGATTTTGATGTGGGTTTGTGTTATTTTTTCGAATTCTGCTTTTGAATTGATTAGGTTTTTATTGTGAAATTGTTAATTTGGAAAATTATGTGGATGATGATATTGGTGGATTATGGCTTTAATTGTGGTTTTATTGCCCGTGCTGCTTTGGTAGTGTTTAGAATGTTGTGGGTGAGATTGTTGGATTTGGACGCGGTCAGTGGCTGTGAAAGTACCCATATGTCATGATTTAGGTGATTTACTGTAGTCTAATGGATGGTTGGTTTCTTGTATTGAAGGTCTGCAGGCTGATCATACTGTTCATATGGTACGTGCCTTTGCTGCAGCTGCCTCAACCCCTGCTGCTTCTGCTGCTAATGCTACTTCTGCAAGTCCTAACACTGCACCAGGTGTTACACGTGGTGTTGGCTCCACTGAACGCGATGGGCTTCAAAGTCCCGACCTTGGGGCATCTTTGTTATTTGGGCAGGGTTTAAACCCACTTGGTGGTGGTGGAGGAGCTCCTGGTTTATTTGGAGCTGGGCTTCCGGACTTTGAACAAGTGCAGCAACAACTGACTCAGAATCCGGACATGATGAGGGACATAATGAACATGCCTGCCATTCAAAGTCTAATGAATAACCCTGATTTGATGCGAGGCTTGATCATGAACAATCCGCAAATGCGTGATATCATTGACCGGAACCCAGAGCTTGCACATATACTTAATGATCCTGGCATTCTCCGACAGACATTAGAAGCTGCAAGGAGCCCAGAACTCATGCGTGAGATGATGCGAAACACTGACAGGGCAATGAGTAATATTGAGTCTTCACCTGAGGGATTCAACATGCTAAGGCGGATGTATGAAAATGTTCAGGAGCCATTTTTGAATGCTACGACAATGACCGGGAATGCTGGAAATGATTTGGGTTCAAATCCATTTTCTGCTCTTTTGGGCAACCAGGGTGGGGCACAAGTCAGGGATGGGTCTAACAACCCTTCAACCACTGGTTCAGAAACGACTGCAGGCTCTGTTGCTCCGAATACAAACCCACTTCCCAACCCGTGGGGCAATACTGTTGGTGAGCTTCTCCCATTCTCTTTATTATCCAAATTTTCTTTTTCCTGACAGTGGCCTGAATTTCTTATTCTTGACTAATTTCTGTTATTAAATGGAAAATTTTCCTTGCAGTCGTGAAAATAGGACTGGTATTGTAGTTGGATATTGATTTGTACATCAATAATTGGTTAAGCAAACTTTATTGCTGGCTCTTGAATCTTAACGGCAATGTATTTAGTTTTCAATTTTTACATGAAAATGGCCCACTAATTTTCAATGGGGTACATATATGTTCTAATTTCTGTACCGTTCTCAAAGTTTATGTTCGAGTCTGCATAATATTATTTAAGTGGTTGCATGTTTTAAAGTGTTTAAATGCAGTTGCTTTTTGACCTGAAACCCCCCCCAAAAATGATTATTAGGTTAACTTATGTCTTTTCCTAGCCTAGTTTGTAGCTCTTTTGGATAGGTTATATTTTTAAAAAAGAGATCCTTTTTTTTTGGTACAGAAAAAAGAGGTACTTTGAATACATTGTAAAATTTCTTTATTCATTTATATATATATATATATATATATATTATGATCTGAATTGTCAGGAGGAAATCAACCAAACACCACCAGGCCACCTCCTGCTGGGGATGGAAGGGCACCTGGTATTGCTGGCCTTGGAGGGCTTGGTCTCCCCGGAATGGAACAGATGCTTGGTGGCATGCCAGATGCTAATGTAATGAATCAGCTTTTGCAGAATCCAGCAATATCCCAGATGATGCAAAGCATGCTCTCGAATCCCCAGTACATGAATCAGGTACCATTGTTAGACAAATTTTCTTCACCCAAAAGGTGAATGTTCTCCAAAAGTGGAATTTTTAATTTATTCAATTTTTTTTATTTAAAATTTTAGATTATGAGCCTCAATCCTCAACTACGCGGCATGGTTGATTTAAATCCTCAACTTAGAGAAATGATGCAAAATCCGGAGCTCTTACGTCAGTTAACAAACCCAGAGACTATGCAGGTATTTTCCCTTTCAAAATTCTACCAAAATTCATTAACAAATATAATCTCTGTCTCTGTCGCTGTCTCTCTCTTTAAACAATTTATATGCTCTACTGGAACTTCTTGTTTATGCTCTTCTTAGTCCATGTATTGATATCTATTTCTTGGCTAATGTAACTTAATTGCATTTTGTTCTAAGAACATTGAAATTGTTTGAAATGTGAACCACCTAAGCTTAACTTTTAATTTTTTTTCCTACTCTGGCTTTGTCTCTTGCAGCAAATGCTTGCTTTACAGCAGTCACTATTTTCTCAGACCAATCGACAGCAATCAACTCAGTGAGTCTAAATATACGTTACCGCGCCTACTTGGTTGCTTCAATCCAATTAGTTAGCTATGTTTGCTGTCAGCATCTGATGTTTTTTCAAAATTTATTTATTACTTTTGTCTAAATACAACACCATTCTAGGGTCTCAATGATTGCATAACATATTTGTATACATCATTTGCCCATAGATTAATCTGTTTGTGTGGAGGTGTCAATGTATGTCATGGTTCGAAATTCCCTACGTTCACACCCCAACACCACCAACCTGGCCCAACTTGTGGTCTAGGATGCCAGGGATCATAGATTAAATTCATAATATATATATTTTTGAATAAAAACAATTGTATTAAAACAGGAACAAAATACAAAAGTGGATAAGGAATCCACAGCAGATAGATTAAATTCATAATATATTACTAATCATTTGTTGCTTTCTTGCCAGGGATCCAGCTCAGACTGGTGGTGTTACAGGTACTTTGAGATAGAAGTTCAAATATAATAATTGGTCGTTGTCATTTTCTCCATTTAGATATTCACTTTTTTTTTACCATCTATGTGTAATCAGGAGGCCCTAATAATGCTGCTGGGTTGGATATGCTGATGAACATGTTTGGTGGTCTTGGAGCTGGCAGCTTGGCTGCTGCAAACAACCCTAATGGTTAGGCCCCTGTTCTCACATCTAAATACAATCTTGCACTTTAGGAAATAAATCAGATTTGAATTATAAGAAAAGAAACAAAATATCATAAACTTTTGTGTTGTCTCTGAACATTTGTGCTTCTTGTTGCAGTGCCACCTGAGGAACTGTATGCGACGCAGCTGACACAGCTTCAAGAGATGGGTTTCTTTGACACCCAAGAGAATATCAGGGCATTGCAAGCCACTTCCGGGAACGTCCATGCTGCAGTAGAGCGACTTTTAGGGAATCCCGGGGCGTAACTTCACTTGGTTTTCATGTTTTTATATTATTCAATTGGGAATTTTTCTTGTGGACGTGTAAAATTAGTAATTCGGAGTAAAGTCTTCTGAAAGACACGAGACATACAGGCACTTGTAGATTCCATTTTGGGGGTGTGAATAAGCAAAGAACGCACAATATGATAGAGCTATGAACTTTGTGGCTAAGCTTATACATTTCCCAAGTATTTACCTGCGTCCCTCTTTATTTCTAATGTATGCTTCAACGTCCTTTGATCCATGTGTATCTGCACCTTTTAAATAAATGGTTTCAAAGCCTAGATAGGTTTGGTCCAGTACCACTTAGGTACGTTAACAAATGTATACCAGAACATGTTTTATGAGATGTAAGAAATTGTTGATGGCAGTTTCTATCAAGTGACTAGAAATTAGAAGGTTTTAAATTTACAGTTCGTCTCACGTTCTTCCTCTTATTGTCATTGGATTGTTTTTAATCCTTTTTTTCTTTCTTCTTAATTTTGTATCTAATCAATCAAGGACGGTAATTGATTATTTTAGTGTTATTTTTTTAAAATATTAAATAAAAGGCTCCTTTAAAGTGGCTCGGAGAGACTCCATTGTTCATTGTTGCAATATTGAATTAATGACTTGCGTTCGAGGTTTTGTAATTAAATTTTCCGTCTTTCAATAATATTATTTTTTTAATGAAAAAAAGTTTAGAGTGAGGAGTGGCTACCCATCCCAAGTTCATTTCATACGAAGACCTCTTTGAAGACTTAATATTATTTGTATAACACGAAAATTGTAGTAATCCTTTGTTACCTTTGGTAAGAGCTCAGTTCTCAGCCATGTGAGTAGAGGTTTGAAACCTCTAGGAATGTACATGTAAAGCCCCTTTCTACCATTGCTGTACTTCAGAAAAAAAAAAAAAAAAAAAAAAAAAAAAAAAAAAAAAAAACCTACAATATCAGGTTTTTCTTTATTGATTAGGTCGGACATAATATATATAACTTCCAAGTTAAATGGTCTCTAATGAGTATGTTAATTATGTTTTTTTGTTTTGTTTTATAGTAATTGAGTAGCTTGAGTGGTTTTTGTTGCTTCCAAACACGGAAGAACTTACAATTTGTAATTTTCATCTTCGAATAACTAGACTTCTAAGATTTTATGATCTTTTACTTGTCATCTACGGGATCTGAAACTTGTTTTCTAGTTTTAATTTTCAAGTCCAACCAATCCAAGTGTCTTTAAAAGGAAAAAGAAAAAATCAAGCAGGAAAACGTAGAGTGTTGATAATTAGGTCTATATTATATCAAACTTTTGGGGCAAATTATAAATACCAAAAGATTGTGAGACCAAAATCAAATTTCTAAAGCACACGGAGGGACTAAACTACAAAACTCCACGCATTATCAGAGGCTTAGAGCCAAAGCTTCTGGCTTTTGAAACCCGTCTTTTTTCTGTTTCAACTTGAAGCGGTTCCAATGAGCTACGGTAATGCTTCTTCCCCTTTACCTTGGATTGGAATTTTTCTTGATCAAGCTCTTTCTTTTCTTGCTCGAGTCTTACTCTGTTCTTCTATTGTCCTTCTGTTTAGGCGTATGCATATATTTTGAGACGCTCTATTTAGGTGTGTGGTTGCCTAACATGATCAAAACTCAATTGCATGACTAATTAATCGCAGTAATTTCTTGCCTAAATTTAAATCGATCAAATGGGTGCTCCTTAATTTTCAATTTCAATAGAACCCATGTCTTAAATTGTTAAATTCATATGAAAATGCATTGATCTATATCAGGGTCATTCGTTTATTGCAATTTTTCTTGAATTTTCTGGGGTTACAACATTCAATCCAAGCATCTGAACTGAGAAAGTTATATGATCATCCATTAGCATTTAACCTGCTTTTAGTCTGGAAATGGTATGCATTTGTTGGGTCATTGGCAGCTAAATTGGTATTTTCATGATGCTAAGTTTGGCTCTCCTGTTTATCAAAAGAAACTTACAATGTGTTTTTAGATCATAGTTCCAAACTTGAGTTTTCCCGCCAAAAATGAAAGATAAAATGTCGAGTATACAATAGTTAATGCTTTTCCGAAGTTTTGCTTATTTATTTTTTTGTTACACTTATTAGTACCCTAGTTGTTTTAGAAATTGTAATTTGCTACTTTTGACTGATTTTTCCATCACAAGGTTAATTACTTCAGATGGTTCAGCAAACCATAGATTCTAAATTTAGTGAATATGGGATGGGAGCTACTGAATCCGAATTGCCCGTTCATGATAAGCAACTGTCAGTTCCTGTAAAGAAGACTGCGTTAAGAGATCTGCAAAATGATATTAGAGTTGCAATGCCCAACTCTATTGGGAACTCTCCTCTATTAAAGAATGGAGGACCCATTAGTAATGCTCCTAGAGTTTTGGGCACCAAGAGACCTTTACCTGAACCTGAGTGCCCGATGAGCCTTCCTCAACACCAGCTCCCCAGTAGCAGTGCTGCAAATGGGCATCTTGTCTATGTTCGTAGAAAGTCGGAAGCAGATGTAGTCAGAAGTAGTACTTGTGATAATGCAAGCATTAATGCTGATTGTCAGGTATCAAGGACGCTTAGTCACCACGAGGCAAGCACCCGACCCAGTCACCACGAGACAAGCACCCAACCCAGTCACCAAGAGGCAAGCACCCGACCCGTATTCCAAACAAAGGAGTCAAAAGTTTATTGCATTCCGGCTTTTGCACCTTTTCCGATGTCAGCTTCAACCATCCAGCCTGGAAAACCTTCAGTTAATGCCCCACATTGTAAGTCTGGTATAAGAATAGCACCATCAGGATCCAATCCCCTTGCTTCTGCTACCCAAACATTGGCTGGTTCAAAGGGACTCAGAAATCTGCACTGGGAAGAGCGATGTCATCAATTGCAGTTGCTATTAAGGAAATTGGACCAGTCAGAGCAAGAGGATTATCTCCACAGTATGCTCTTGAATTGAGAAAATCCACCTTAAGATTTTTTTGTTTCAAATTGCTTAAATTTTAAATATACTGATTTACCCTTTGATTTATGTTCGTCTGTTAGTGCTGCGGTCGCTCTCCTCAGTTGACCTGAGCAAACATGCAGTTGAGTTGGAAAAGAGATCAATTCAGCTTTCACTGGAGGAAGGTAAGCTGAAATTGTGTCTTACTCTTTCTTTAAATAGAAAGATGCTAAACAAATCTCCTGACTTGGAAAGAACTAATGATGGAAATTCGTGCTTTTTTGTCTTATTCTAAATATATTTATCCGTGGTCTTTGTGTAACTTCACAATGGGAAAATAAACAAAAATATTTCTTTACTTGCAATTACTTGCTTGCCTAATCCGCGACATATATTCATCCACTTCATCTCCGAAGATTCACAGGTTATTTTGTTGGAAGTAATCTTGTATTGGGGTACTACTTATTTTAACAACATTATGCAGAGTTGTGAGTTGATTCTTTTATAACTATTTTCAGTGTCTGTTATTTGGTTTCTCAAAATTCTCAATGTTTTCACATGTTTGGTAGCTAAATTGATCTGCTGTACTTGTTTATGTACAAGGATAAAAGAAAGTGTTTATGGAGATGATTTAAACAATCATCAATCAATAAGTTTCGATGGTAAGGATGTTTTTTTTCCTCTTTTAAAGGAAATCACCCGAGATGTCTACTTTGTTCCATGGATATTTTCTTATATGCCTGTATGGCATGTATACGTGACTAGATTAATGATACTTTGTTCTATCTTCATGTATAGTAAAGTCAAATCATCTGTTGAGTTGGCCATCATAGTCCCCCATATGTACTCAGAAACATAACTGGTACTGTTCTCAGAAATTAAGAAAAAAGAACAAGAATGCACAACCGCATGATACATGTGACTTGGTGAAAACAAACATTGGCAAGGCTGCTTGCGGATTGGCTGCCTTGTTCATTCTTTTCAGTGAGTTATGTAACAGATGTATGTGATGTGGGCATTGTAAACAATTTGAGGTCCACTAAACTTATAGACGATATTTTTATGGACTTTTTGTGTGTGTGGATTTTGGTATTTCAGTGTAAGTGCTGTCGTCCAATTACCTGGCATCTATCTTTTTCAAAAGCATTCGTTACTGTTTGTCATTTTAAACTCTATAATCCATTTTATGATGGGTTAGAGTTGAAAGAGCCCATGATCTTTTAATCTTCTATGACTACCAGGCAATAATATAAAGCATAATGTTTTGATATAATGTCTGGTAATCATGCCTTTTTTTCTGTGGCCACAACTGTTTAGTCGGGTAGTGGTGGTTGCATATGAAGTTTTAAGCTTTCTATTTGATTGTGCCTATTGTATTTTCACCTAAAATATGTGGAAACAGCACAAAACCTATTTCTCTTATATTCCTCTTTGCATCTCCGATTCTTGCAGCAAAAGAATTGCAGCGTGTTGGGTTTTTGAATGTTCTAGGGAAACCTGCGAAGCAATTCAAAGTACCGTCAACTCATCAAGACCGATCAGATAAGTGAAAGGACACCAGGGAGGAGGGGGTAATTGTGATGCTCAGTAAATTGCTGCTGGATAGAAGTGTGCCTACTAGTTTCTTTTACACTAGTTGCATCTTTTCTGCAGTTGGTTTGCTGGTATTCACTGCAAGTCTGTAATATTCAGCCTATCGTATATACTGTAATTTTCTTTTTTTGGTATCAGCTGTATCCAAAGCTGCTGAAAATGATTGAATTGTAACTGTTGAAAAAAATGTAAAAGAAAATTTGTCAATTGTTATGATGCTATCTTAATGCTTCCTTGGTACAGCTTCTGATTTGATCCTTGCTCGTTTAGTTTGTGTTGGGCTATGTCCTCTGTGGTTCTCTGTGTATTGGGCTCAAAATGTGGTGGGCCTAGCTGTTTCCTCCATTCTTTTGAACCCAAGTTTTAGGTGGTAAAGTGAGGTTTGTTTTGGACCCATTTAGTGGCTCGGCTTGGACAACATTAGAGCTGAGACCGTCCTTATAAGACACTACTGTTGTCCAATTTAATAAGTTCATTATCAAAATTTTTAAGTTTACCGAACATCACGCATAACACTTATCCTATTTAATTGAAATAATTCAGTCCAGTTCCATTTTGCCAAAAGGCAAGAGAGAATCATGTACACCTTCAGCTCAGTTCAATGCTTCATGGAAAGTTTATGATATCCCAACCCCTACCCCACCAAAAAAAGTTAGTTAAATGAAAAAGCAACAATGACTGGTTTTTAAGTAGAATTTGTTGGTTACAAATTACAATGCATCTTTAGAAAGTGAAAGGGTTATACTTATTTTATTATTTGAAGTCCACATTATTTGTAAAGAGAAAAATAGAGATTTTGCGTAATGGATATATTATATATATATAAGTTTTAAGCTAAGTTAATTGCTTGCCAGTTTTTTTTTTTTTTTTTTTTTTTTTTTTTTTTGCTTGCTCCTTGATGCACACGCAATGTGCTTGTGGATGAAGAAAAGAAATAAATACCCAAAAAATATATACATTATGGGATAGTGGGTTTGAACTGTACGGATAGGAACCACAATAACTGTTTATAACTGCCAATTCAAGATGAGTCCAAAGTAACTGCTTTCCTGCCCTACAAAATCCAAACCTACACCAACTGTTCGACTTTTTTCGTCCTCCCCCAATTTTTTTGTCTTTCTTGCCAAAATCAGAGAAAAGCTTCAATGAACAACTCTCCCGACCTGGATTTCCGATTCCCCACAACCCACCAAGACCTCGTCGTTTCCACCACCGCCACCCCCTCCACTGCTTTCGCTGCTGCTTCTTCTTCTTCCACTTATTTTGTTGGGGACGATAAAACCCACCAAAATCCCAGGAAAAAACGCTCGAAACTGATCAGACTCGACAACCCAGTTGCTCCAAGTAGGATTTCAAGGCCCAAGTATGCCAAAAAACCAGACCCATCTGCGCCAAAGATCACAAAGCCCTGTAGTGAGTGTGGGAAGAAGTTTTGGTCATGGAAGGCTCTGTTTGGGCACATGCGTTGCCACCCTGAGCGGCAGTGGCGCGGCATCGACCCGCCACCCAACTTACGACGACCCGTTTCCCCGAACGTGCCATTGAGTGTGGAATGGCCAATGGGGGAAGCAGACCACGAGGCGGCCTCGAGTTTGATAATGCTTGCTAGTGGGTGCACTAATGGGACAAGTAATGAGATCACTACTCAGAGTATTAGTACAAGTACTTTTCAGGGTGCTCAAGAGGTGTTTGATGGTGGTAATGGGAGGTTTGAGTGTTCAAGTTGCAAGAAAGTATTTGGGTCCCACCAGGCTTTGGGGGGCCACAGGGCAAGCCACAAGAATGTGAAGGGCTGTTTTGCAATTACAAGGAGTGATGGTGAGGTTGATCAGGATGATCATCACAATGGTGATGGTGAACGGGATGATGGGGATGATGATGTGATGGAGGATAATAATAAGATGGTTATGGTGTTTGGAGGATCAGGGCACAAGTGTAGTGTTTGTTGGAGGGTTTTTTCAAGTGGTCAAGCTTTGGGAGGGCACATGAGGTGTCATTGGGACAAAGGGGATGAGCCATCATCATCATCCATGATGATGACCCAATTAGGGCTAAGTCAGCAGCACCAGCAGCCTAGTGGGATTTCAAAGGAAGGCCATTCTGGTGGATTGGATTTGAATTTGCCTGCAGCTTCTCATATTGAAGATGCTCAATCCTCTTCCTCAGGCCTCACTTTGGATTTAAGGTTGGGTCTTTGAGGGGACTTAAATTTCTGTCTGCTAACTCTCTAATGTTACTAGCAACTTAATTAGGATTGGTATATTTTGTAACTATTGATATTTGACTTGGAAAAGATGTGTTTTAGTTAAAACTTTTGTTGGCTCCACAATTAGGAGACAAATATTGTGTTTCACAGAATACCTGAAAATACAGTATCTCATTACTAATATACTTATAAATTACAAAGCTCAGTTCTGTTTGTATTAATCCAGTTGGTCCAAAGATTGAATATAGTTAGTCCTAATGTCAAGTCTGACAGTGGTGCAAAAACCAAATGTAGTCTGAAAAATCAGTAAAACAGTAGTTTGTGCAAGTTTTTTTATGTTAGCCCATTGGATTTGATGTAATGAATTGGGGTACTTGCCCCAAATGACTATAAGTTGATGCACGCACTTAGCACTGTTGTCAGTTGGGTTTGCAAACAAAGCCTCTTGGTTGTGGAAATAGTGCTTCCTTTTAGATTTGTGAACTGTGGGATAAATTCTACTGAATCATACCACACTTGATAGTATATAAGATTCTGATTCTTGTGGCTAGTTATAATTGACTGATGATTTATATCACTGGTAGTGGATATAGAAACACACATGATCAACTTTTGGTGGCCTTAAATTATACAGAGGGTTTAAGGTTAAACAGTTCAGGGCTAATAATCAATCATCAAGGGAAGAAGAATTCACAAGGCAGTATATTTGTGGGGAAAATAGTTTGGGCTAGCTGCACAATCCATTTATGAGTTTGTATGTGAATGTGATCTTTGGGTTTGAACAGAATCAAATCATTCCTAGTCTCATCTTTCTGACCCATCTAGACTTAGAATTTGGCTGACTTTGGAAATGATCCTTTCCATATTTTTTTGGGTCAAACTTTCCAATTCAGTAGGTGTTAGTTTTTTTCCCCATGTTACAGAGTAGGTATTACTTGACATTATCACACTATTCCTTGGCTCTCTCTCTCCCTCTCTTCCCAGGGCAAGTCAAATAATGATGAGCTTTTCTGTAAGTTGAGATGCTTTAAATTTCTCACAGTAAAGAAAAAGATCAAAGTTACCTTATGGATAAGAATCTAGTCTTTACTTTTTAACTTTAAGGAACTGTTAATCTGCTGGCATATGTAGGTCTGTATCTCAGATATTTACTTTTTCAAGCTTTCCTGACTCATGTTCAATTAACACAGCTGCACAACTTTTTCTTTCAAAGGCTGATCTACTTTACATTACTCTAAGCCTCGAAAATTCACAATTGGGTAAAACATGGTATAAAGCTTAAGTCAACTAACACCATTACATCAATTTTACTGCACCTAAAGTAACTTTGCCTTGAACGAATCTCTCTCATCTCTGCAACTTAGAGGATTCTTCTTGGTGATTTGTGTAGTTTACAATCAGATTTTCTGTTTGGTTTGTGAGAAAGTAGAAGAAAAAGGAAAGTCATTATACCTGTAATGGCAGGGTACGTAATGGCTATAATATTCAAATCAATATATAGAATTTAATTATTAAAAAAATTAAAAATAATTAATTTTTCCTTTATCATGTTAAATGATTGAACTAGCACATCATCCTCTCTGTCGGAGAATAGACATTGCCCATATCAACCTTTTTTTTTCCTTTGCCCTAAGTAGCTCTCAATTACTGTCATTCTATATATGGTCACTTCTATAAACAAACTTCACACGAAACCCCAACATGACATGACCCTTTCAAATCTTTATATAAAAATAACCCAAAAAAAAGTTACTGGTCCCTGAGACTCAAGAATTATATATATATATATATATTTAACAACAAATCTTTGAAAAGCTTGATGTACACTTCAACAATGCACTCATGATTTCTGATAAACCCTTTTTTTCCAACTTTCTGAGTCACTTGATAATTTTTGGGCAAAATTTTAAAGCAACCCAACTAAAACTGAACATGACTTCATGATTTCTGCCTTGACAGCCCAATAAAATGCTGTTTTAGCTGAAGGGTTGATTAGATTCCAGTCACACTATCTGGGAACTACTTCATATGCCACTGACTGTGATGGAAATTAGAAATTAATCCAAATTTTGCTTTAACATCAAAATCCCAATTCCCATTATAAATTGTTCCTACTAATCTTGCATTATTAACAATGTAGACTTTTGCCACTGTTCAATTCAAAAAGTCGAGCAATAGAAAAGTATAGCAGTCTACATCCCACTGCATATACATGTTTTCCGCAGGTTCATGTTTATCATAAATGACCATCACTTTCCCACAATCACTTTGCTGTCAAGAGTAATTTTAAATCACTTGGCAAAGAATTGATTCTTTCTTTGATTGTGGTTGGGTTTTGAACAACAAAAAAAGGACCACACATCAGGTTTTCTTCCACTAACCCTAAGCCTCACCAACTCAACTCTCCATTTACAAAAGATTGTACAATTACCTCAGTGGAAGGCCCTTTTACTGTTTCTGATTGGAGAAAAATTAAATTTTTACTGTTTCTGATTAGAGAAAATTAAATATTTACTGTGCATTATTTTCACCTTACTTAACACTGACACCAACAGAGACTTCACCTAACCCTACTGATTCTAGCTCTCCCCACTGAACATTGTCACACTGCTCTATATGGAGGCCCTCATAGTAAGCAAATTATCACGATTGAAGGAAACTTAATCACAATTTCACTTGGTTTTTCCCTCGAACTATTCAATCAGAGCTTTGCTCATAGTTTTAAGTCAAAGAATCGTAATCCGTCGTCTGTTAGTGTGGGCTTTGCCCATTATTGTTGTAGTGTTTATCTATATTTTCTGCAAAATATGATCCATATGAATATCTTGCCTCAATTCAACCAACCATGTGACACTGTTTTTTTTTCCCTTTCCCTATCTGCCCATTTGAGTTGGGACATGAAAATATGGGCCCCCTGACTGATCTACGTTTAAGCATAATCAATCAGCATTATTCAAGCACCTAGTTTTCTACTATAACATCTTTTTCTGCTGATGAAGATGAACAAGTCTCCTTAATTCCTTCTATTCCTCTTGTTGTCTTCCCTTTAGATTTACTTGTAGTCCTCTTAATCCTCATCAGAGCTTATAGGTGCTCTCACTTCACTTACAACTGTCTGCAACACTGGCCGACGTAAAAAGAATCTAAGCAAGTAAAATAATAAGATAAAATTAGCATAAGAAAACAAAATTAGATTAGTGGATATTTATATGCAGCGTGTTGGTTACAACTTACCAAATAAAATTGTGCACTTCAACTTTAGGACTTCTTACCATTTGAAAAAAAGTTGAAGCAATGTGTCACCTCAATTCAAATTTTATCGTAATGTGCCATCTACGACTTAGTGCATCCATTCTTTCGTCTAAAAAAGTTGCATGTGCTTCACACGTGAGCGTATGTAAATATATTTCGGGTATCAAAATATCCTTTGAAGTGGTCACTTGCAAATCACGTACAAATTTTTGAACCAAAAAGAAAAAAAAATGGAATTAGATAATAGGTGGCACATTATTACAACAAAATTGTAACATGAGGTGATATATTTAAAGTGTTTTCTTTGATAAGTGACAAATTGCAACTAAGCTTATAGTTCAAGTGACATTAATTTTCCCTATGTATATATATTGTAAAAGTAATGTTGTCTTACGAGGTAAACGTAGGCATACTATGTTATACATACAATAAAAATACGCCTACTACTTTAAAAATACTGGTATTTACTGTATATTCATATGTTGAAGTTTTAAAGGTAATTAATTATGATTAAGAAAAGGATTAAATTCAATTAAATACAGAGGCATCCTTTCCACCGATGGCGTGCACGTGTGTGCGTCACTTGAAAATACTTCTTCACCCAAGGATGAGTCTCCTTCTGACCTGTGTCGTAAGGACAGCGGAAATAGCCGCATACATAGAGAGAGAAAGAGAGGGGAAGAGAGAGGAAGAGAGAGGAAGAGAGAGAGTTATTATTTTTAATCTTTATATTCGCGTCTACATTTTACACTTTTTTTGTTTTTTTCCCGGAGTCAAGATTTTACTTCAGCACAGTTGACTGCCAGAACAAAACATAACTGGAATTGAAAGGATGCATGATATGATGAATATGATGAATCTGATCTTGACATTTACATACATACATGGATGGCTGCTTTTTTTTTTTTTTTTTTTTTTAAAATAAATAAATATTAGTTTAAAAAAAAAAAAAAAAAAAAAAAAAAAAAAAAAAAAAAAAAAAAAAAAAAATTTGTGGGGTCCAAGTTACATAAGAGATTCTTTTTCTGTTTTTAAAAATAAAAATAAAAAAAAAGGTTTCTTTGGCTCTTAAATAGGAGATTCGTCACACGTCCTGCCTCAAAGAATTAGACACCCAAAAACCAAGAGAGGAGGAAGCTTGAACAACTCTGAGTCTCTCTCTAAGGAGGAGGATATATAAATACCAAACTCATTTTATTTTTGAGACTTTGAGAAAGAAATTCCTTTATTTCCTTTGTGTGCATGGTGGGAGACCAATTCAGTTTCTTCTTGTGACACTAAACTTCAGCTTGTTTCTTCATAAAAGCTCAACTGAGATAACTTTTTCCTTCAATCTGAATTCACACAGTGAGTGATGAGTGACTTTGATTTAATTCTCTTCTGTTTTCTATAACATTCTTTTCTTTTCTATACCCAGTTCTATGCAGGCATGTATAAATGTTCTAGGACTTGTTTTGTTTGTATCTTTCTTTGTACAAATTAACCAGTTTCTTAATAACACAAAAACAGGATATTTTTATAAACTTAGGTTCTTGATTTTCTCTGACTTAGATATGTTCATGAATCCTAAACATTGAAATCAGAAATCTTGTTTTGTTAACTCTCATCATGAGTGCAGTTTGAACCCAGGCTGATGTAACTTCTGGATCAATGAAGTTTCAAATAAGAAAAAAAAATTGTTCTGGAGTGGACAAAAGTTATGAACTTTACGTTTAAAATAAAAAAGTGTGTGTGTATTGTGTATGAGTGCATGTGTGTATGTCAAGCTGTTGTTAGTTTCTTGGTCGGAAATGGCAGTTAGTTTCTTCCTTTTAATTTTCTTCATCTTGACGGTTCCCTGGTCTTGACTGTGTCTGAAATTTGGTATGTCATTGATTATAGGCGGATCTGGAACTGGAAACAAGAACAAGGGAAAGAAAAAAAAAAAAAAAAAACTCTTCACTATGGACTATGGTGCCTTGATGCCAAATTCTTCTTCCTATGGAACATTGTCTGACACAACTATGGAAGTGGACTTCATTGATGAGATTTTATTTGAAGGATGCTGGTTGCAGAGCAATGCTGGATTCAACCTTCTGCAGCAGCAGCAGCAGCTGGTTTGTCCTCCGATTTCTCAGGCTCTAACTGACCATCCTTCACATTACTTTCCTCCTTATGATCATCAGTCTAACAGCACTGTTGCTCATTTGAGTATGAGCCCCCATCAGCAAATCTATCAAGAAGAAAACACTGATGGAAGTTATCCTGAATCCGACTCTAGTTTTGTAGTTGAAGGCAACACTGAGGCAGGCAGGAGGTTGTGGATTGGTCCCAGGGCAAATCCAGGCCCTTCATCTTCTGTGAAAGAGAGGCTAATGCTGGCCATTGGATACGTGAAAGAATGCACAAAAGGCAGAGATGTGCTTATTCAAATTTGGGTGCCTATTAAGAGAGGAGGCAGGCAATATCTCACCACTCATGATCAGCCATTCTCTCTTGACCCAAACTGCAAGAGTCTTGCAGGCTACAGAAATGTTTCCAAAGATTACCAGTTCATAACCGAGGAGGATTCAGCTGAGTCTGTCGGGTTGCCCAGTAGAGCCTTTCTGGGGAAGTTGCTTGAGTGGACTCCCGATGTTTGTTTCTTCAGAAGCTACGAGTACCCTCGTATTGATTACGCTCAGCAGTACGATGTTCAGGGTTCTCTGGCCCTTCCCATCTTTGAAAACGGCAGTGGAACTTGCTTGGGGGTCGTTGAGATTGTAATGACTCCACAAAAGGTCAATTATCGTCCAGAACTTGAATATGTCTGCCAAGCTCTTGAGGTCTCTTCTTTCTTCAATTTCTTCTTCAGAAATTCTAATTATAAGTCACTGAAGAGCCTTTAGAAAAAGCTTCAGAAATTTTGATTATATATCTCTGAAGAAGTATGAGAAAATCATTAATTTCAGTGAATTATATTAAGTGATTAGTTAATTAAATAGTAGCTCACATCCACACAATTTTTGCTCGTCATGCCATGCAAGTATCTATATGTTGTCTTTCCATTTGGCCAAAAAAAAAACTATTTTCATTCATTTGTGTTGCACAAAATTTGTTGTGCTGATATGGAAATTGGCTTTCAGATTCCTCACATGTTCTTCATTGCGATTATTGCTACTGCATTAAAAATAATTGTTAGGAGTTTAAAAAATCTTTAATAAATTTATAAAGGCTGAGTTTTGTGTCTTCCTCAACTGAGGAGACTGATCTTGTATTTATAGGCAAAAAATTACTATGTTGCAAGCAACCAAGTACAAACTGGATATACAAATACAATGATAATTTATGTTCTAACCAACTAAAGCATATTGATTTGCAGACTGTTGATCTCAGGAGCTCTCAGAACTTCTGGCCCCTGTGTGTAAAGGTAAGAGGATGGCACAGCAGAACAGAAACTTTGATTATCTTACAATTCATTCCTAATATCACAGAAGTGCTTACTGTATGCTCTTTTTTTGTCTTGTCAGACGCGTGATGAGCTGTTCCAAGCTGCCTTGACTGAAATAGTAGAGGTGTTAGCATCTGTCTGCAAGACTCATAGATTGCCTTTGGCTCAGACTTGGGCTCCATGTATCCAACAAGGCAAAGGCGGATGCCGACACTCTGATGAGAACTATGCTCATTGTGTTTCGACAGTGGATGCTGCTTGCTTTGTGGCTGATCTTGACATATTGGGCTTCCATGAAGCGTGCTCTGAGCATCACCTGTTTCAAGGTCAAGGAATTGTTGGAACAGCATTCACAATAAACAAACCGTGTTTTGCAACTGACATAAAAGCCTTTAGCAAGACGGAATATCCTCTCTCTCACCATGCTAGGATATTTGGGCTGCACTCTGCTGTAGCAATTCCCTTTCGAAGCGTCTATACTGGACCAGCTGATTTGGTCCTGGAATTTTTCTTACCTAAGGATTGCCAAGACCCTGAAGAACAGAAACAGATGCTCAACTCACTGTGCATTGTTATACAGCAGGCTTGTCGGAGTCTACATGTTAACGTAGACAAAGAACTCGAAGAGGAAATCATGTTCCCGATCAGGGAACCAGTTATTGGTTCAGATGGAGGACTTCATAAAGAAGAAACTCAGAGACTGATATCTTCTCCCACCGAAGAGCAATCTGGAAAAGAGTCTTCCTGGATTGCACATATGATTGAGGCCCAACAGAAGGGTAAAGGCGTCTCTGTCTCATTGGATTATCAAACAGAAGAACCTAAGGAAGAGTTCAAGGTGACAACCCATTGGGGTAACACTCAGGGGAGTTTACACAGTGGGCAGGTATTTTCAGAATTTGGGCAGCTCCATCAAAGTTCTGGATCACATGGAAATTGTTGAGGGTGGTGCAGAGTCTTATTCTTTTGGTGGGCGTCGCACATCAGGTGGCAGAAAAGCTGGTGAGAAGAGGAGGACAAAGACAGAGAAGACAATCAGCTTGCCAGTTCTTCAGCAATATTTCGCGGGGAGTCTAAAAGATGCTGCCAAAAGCATTGGAGGTAGGAGAAAATCCATTACATATACATACAACTAGTACTTTTCTGATATTTTTCAGATTAAATATTCAACATGACAACTCAATGATATATACACCTAGTGCACTGTCTAAAATCCTTTCTTAATGCTATAATTAGATTCTGCTAAAGCCATTTCAAGAAAACTCTTTGAAACAAAATTTCCTTCTTGCATCTAAATGCAGGGTCTAGGCATAACCTTATTTTCCGATAAAAAAGAAAAAGAAAAATAAGGCATAACCTTATTTAGTTCCTTGACATTTAGACTTTTTCTGTTCCTGATTTCAAGTAGCAGCCCTGCATACCCCTTGTAAGAAGGGGCTGGATTGTTTTACCTTAGAGTTAGGGCGTCAGAGATACGTTTATCTCAAGCCATTTGACTTCAGTCAGGAAACTATTGGCTAAAATATCAATCAAGTTCTAAGCTAGCACATGCCCTTTGCCCTCCATAAATTTAGTTGGCAGTTCTATTCACTGTCTCCAGAGATTTTTAGCGAATAGCTAGCTCACCAATAATCTCTTACACACTTTGTTTCATATGCAGTTTGCCCCACTACTCTGAAAAGGATATGCAGGCAGCATGGGATTACCCGATGGCCTTCTCGAAAGATAAAAAAGGTAGGCCACTCTCTCAAGAAACTCCAGCTCGTGATCGACTCAGTCCAGGGTGCGGAGGGTGCTATTGATATCGGTTCCTTCTACTCGAGCTTCCCAGAGTTGAACTCTCCAAAGTTTCCAGGGTCTGGTCAGTATTCATCGATGAATATGAGCAACCATTCCAAGCAAGTAAACCCTCAACAACATGATCAGAGTGGCTTGTATAGCCATGTAACCACTACAAAGTCTCCATCCTCGTCATGCAGTCAGACTTCTGGTCCAAGTGTCTGTGTTGCTGGAGCACAACAGCATACAATTACTATCAACACCTTGGGTAGTGGAGATGCTTTAATGACAGAAGACCCTGTTGGAGTGCTAAAGAGAGCTTGCAGCGATGCAGACTTACATGCCTCATTTCAAGAGGAAACAAAGCTTATCCATAGATCCCAAAGCCATAAATCCTTCAGTGACAACCTGAGTCATGAGAACTTACCTCCCTTACTAGGAAGCAGTGGCCGGAGCTTGCGGGATGGGGGCGTTTACAGAGTAAAAGCTACTTTCAGGGATGAAAAAAATAAGGTTCAGCATGCTACCAAACTGTAGTTTCAGAGATTTGCAACTAGAGATTGCAAGAAGATTCAATTTAGATGATATCAGTAGAACTGGGATCAAGTACCTGGACGATGATTGCGAGTGGGTTCTTTTAAATTGTGATGCTGATCCTGAAGAGTGCATGGAGCTATACAGCTCATCTCCAGGCCGCACAGTCAGGCTCTGCCTTCAACAAGTTTTTCATCCAAATCTAGCAGCCTCTTTTGGCAACAGAAGCCCATCCTAACATTATCATCACTACTGAAGTTTTCTACTTGGCACATGTTGTTTAGGATCAAAGAGTGTACAGTTGTCATCTGGTGGAGTTGTTAGAAAGGAATTATGTTGATGGTTGGTTGAGAACTTAGGAATCTGTTCACAGTTCTATGTATAAAAAGCCATTTCATCTTATTTTGTAGATCAAATGGTTAATCTAGGTGAAATAATTTGAATTATGTTATTATTTATTTATTTATTAGGACCACACTTAGCCATCCTAGGCTGTATAAATCATGAAATTACATATCTGGCAGTTTTCATCTGTGAAACTGCCATTGTATGAACATTCTATTTGGTGCTATTCAGTATCTAAGGTTGTATTTAAAGGCTTAGGGTGCAGTAAATACGTCACATATTATTGTCAAAGAGGAGAAACAAGAAATATGTTCGTGAAATTTGTGTATAAATTTCGTGTGTGTGTGTGCGTGTGTTTCTATGTGACAAGTACAATGAGATGGCAACTGTAGAGAATATATATCTATATGTTTTATAAATTTCACAAATTTGACATTTTATTTACGGAAGTTATACCTGGTGTAAAATATGGATCTATTTACAGACTAGAGGAATACAGGCACAATGGACCCAAGCAAGCAAATATCAGATATGAGAAACACAATTCAGTGCGAAAGAACCAAGGGAGAATGGGCAGATGGAGATCTCACAACTGAGTAGAGGCAATACTTGGGGAACCATGTCCGCGAATGATGAATGGCAGATCTTGTGGCATGCATCCTCTAGAGGTAACAACTAGGGTTCTAGCTTCCTTCAACTTTGGCGCCAGTCGGTCTGGTCAAATTATTACCGCAAAGTAGGAAAATATGATTTATAGCGACCAATGCCATTTCATACTAAAGCATAATGCCCAAACAAAAGTAGCATATTGGTAGGAATACCAAGCCCAATCAAGTTCACTTGACACACATAAGGATGAAACACCTGAAAAAGATAGATTGGTCGAGCTTTAGTGCTAGAAATTAAGTTACTATAGCAGGTAGCAGAAAGTATAAAAAGAGACCACAAAAGTTTGGACCTTCACAAGCAGATGATAATTATTCACCTAGTTTGGTAATTGCTATTCAACAACAATGCAAAACTATGGTACAGAAACCATTTTTTGGTTAAAGAGAATTCTAGAAAAAGAAAGTCAAACCAACAGCCTAAAACGAAGTGAGCTGCATGAGATCTTGCATACCAACAGCCTAACACGAAGAGCTCATTGATTTCTAGTTAGTGCAATCAATAGCCTTGGAGGGATTTCAGTCTAATTGTGCTGTAAGATATCTAACATAAGACAAAGTAATTACGTTTATTCACTGAGCAAACTTGGCTGCTAATCCTACGTGGGATTTTGACAAGACTTACTGCTGGGTTCTCATTGATTTCACATTGCCTGCCACTCATGAGAATATATAATTTTTTTTCAAAGGAGACAAGTCAAAATGAGAAAAACCAATTATACCTGGAATCATAAAGGTTGATTTCTTGCTTGGCTTTATTTTTGGGGTTCCCTTATCTCTCCAACCTACTCCACGAAATTGTTCATTGAATCTCAGTAATCAATAAATTCGTTTTTCTGGGACTGCAAACTCGTTAGACTCCCTCGACCCCAGCCTTTCTGTACCCGCTTAAGGGTTTTCAGTGCAATTCCACTGCCATCATCTCTGTGAAAAAACAAAGGTAAGAGTTACCAGTTTAGGAATATCATCACAGACTACGAAGTTGATAATAAAATTAAGAAAGGCTAGATTGCACCAATCAAAACCTTAAAGGGCTTCAAGCATCAAGTTCAAGGTAACATTCGAAAATCAAAGATGCAGTAACTTAAGTGGAGCCAGGATTTGTGACTACAGCGGTGTCATAAAGAATCTAATGAAATCAAATATGGGCAGGCCTGACTCAGCCATGAAGCTTATTAAATGACTATTTGAGGCTCTTCATCAAATGCCTTGCCCCTCCCCTTAGAAGAAAAATGATTGCATATTCACTCAAGGTTATGGCAGAAACAAGTAGAGTTATTGGCTTATTTGTAACGTTTGGTATATTGTATGAATAAGATATACCATCATTCTTTATGGTATTTGTTTCTAAGACTGGAGAGGTTCCTTATGCGCAAACAGAAATAAGTTGCAAAGTGGAGAGAGGGAGAAGATAAAAAAAATACAACTCATGAAAATATCAATTCAAAAGTAAATAAGTACAGAACCAATATGGTCCGGTTATAACCACAAAACAATGTCAAAATGTGATTAACCAAAAGGGAAGTTAAGAAGAAACAAATCATGTATAACCTTTCATCCACCATACCTGTGCACTATGGTCTGCCAATCACTTCCGCCATTGTTACTTGGTTTTCCACCAATTATTTCCCTCTCGATTCGGTAAACCTTATCTGCTACCCTACCTTCTGACTCCATTTCCATCATTGCCTCTGCAAGTTCATCAGCCTCCTGCTTATTTCCCCTTTTACTCAAGCCATCAATTACTGGCAGGAATGATGCTGGATCAAACCCATATCCTTTATTCTTCATCGTGTGAAGAATAATGCTAGCATCCTCTAACTTTTCATCCTTGCAAAGTCTGTCAATGAGATCTTTGTAGAGGAAATTCCCAAGATAAAAATACCTGTCCAATGCAACTTCAAATAGCGCTTTAGCTTTCAAGATTTCCCCTCCAGCAAGCAACTCATTGAACATCAAACTATATAAGACTTCCTTGTGGCCACATACAGTTAAAGCAATGTCAAATACCTCATGTGCGACTCCAAAATCACATGCCTTGCAGAAAGCTTTAATTAATATTCTGAAGGTAGAAATATTAGGAGATATGCCCTTCTGCAGCATTTCATCTAAAAGAGAAGTGGCGTCTTTGACTCTCTCTCCTTCACAGAGACAATTCATCATATAATTATAAGTGCATACATCAGGAGTGACTCCTCTCTCTCTCATCTCATCCATGAGTCCATATATTTCAAATATTTGCTTTTTACTCCCTAAGCCCAGTATTAGTGAATTATAAGTTTGAATGCTCTTGTTGCAACCTTTCTTCTCCATGTCCTTCAACACCCGAAAAGCAGATGATATCCTTCCTTGTTTACAAAAACTATTTATGAACATATCATAAATCACTGAATCAGGGTGCAAGTTTTTCCCCATCATCTCCATGAACTTCTTCTTAGCTTCATCAAGCCTCCCAGCCTTGCATAACCCACTAATTATGGTTGAATACGTGATCAAATCAGGGATGCATTTCTTCCCATTATTACTATCGTCAACCAGGCCAATAAAGGAGTTTCCTAGGTTTCCAAGAGCCGCACTTCCATGAGTCCACATCCCACTCACAATTTCAATTGCCTTGTCCAATTTCCCATCGTTGCATAGACCATCAATCACAATATTGCAGGTCACGGTATCTAAGCCATAACCTCTCTCATTCATCTTTTGCAGAAGTTCCTCTGCTTCTGATGTTCTTCCCTCTTTCCACAGGCTATGCAGCAAAATGTTGCAAGTATGAGTATTTGGGAAGCAATTATTCATCATCATCTCATGCAAAATATTGCTGGCTTCAAATACCTTCGCTTTATTGCAGAACCCATGAAGTAAAGTACTGTAGGTCACCGTATCTGGGGAAATATTGTTTCTCACCATCAGAGTCATCACCATTCTGGCATCACGGAGCATCCCATTTTTGCATAAGCCATTTATCACAATGTTATATGAGTAAATATTAGGTTCTATACCCTTATCTACCATCTCTTTAAGAACCAGTCGTGCCTCTAAGAGCTTCCCATTCTTGACCAAACCCAACAACCATATGTTATAACTCTCTAAATTAATAAAATTTCCAGCCTTTTCCATAGATTTGAACAAGGTCTCCGCTTCCTCTAACATATCTTCCCTGCAAAATCCTTGTAACATCAAATTATACGTTACAACATTAGGTTGAGGCAGTCCCATCTCTTGATCTATATGCATATCTCTAAATATTCTAGAAGCTTCAAGGATTTTTCCTGCACTACAGAGAGCCGAAATCCTAGAATTGAATGTAACGGCATCTGGAAGCATTCCATCCTCTCTCATCCTCTCTACCAATTTCTCAGCATCATCAGTCTTGCCTTGTTTACAAAAGCTAGAAATCAAAGTATTATACACAACCCTATTTGGCAAAAGATTACAACTCCTCATCTGATCCAAAACCTCCAATCCTCTGACAGCCAGCCCAGCTCTACAATACCCACGAACCAAAATCCCAACACTGTACTCATTCGGTTGACAACCCTTCTCACGCATTTTGTCAAACACCTCCCGAGCGTCACCCAAACGATCCGATTCACACAGAGAACAAATCAAAAGATTAAAAGTATAAGTTTCAGGCTTCATCCCCGAGACGATCATATCCTTATACAACCACAACACGAAATCTACATGCTTCTCCCTAAGAGAGGACTCAAGAAGCAAATTATACAAATAAACAGAGGGGGGCTCATCAGGGAATCGGCTGCGGAGATCTTTAAAATAGGAAACGGCCATATCGGAGAGGTTCGACTTGGCCAAGAGCCGCACAAGCGAAACGAGGCAAGGGCGAAGGGTTTCGCTGGGCTGCGAGACGAGAAGGAGCTGGCGAAGGCTATCGATTTCATGGTGCATTTTCGAGTCGATAAGGATGCGGGTAACGATGGGTAGGGAGCTGAGGCAGAGATCTGAAGAGGAGGAGGAGGAGGTGGGTGAGGAGAGAATACGCTTGAAGAGGTGCCATGCTAGTTTGGGATTGTTGGTGTTCTTGAACAAAGCTTTGGTGAGTGAGGTTGTTGGGTCCATGGAATGCGTTAACGATCCTCTCATAACCTTCGTTCTCTTTTAATTTTGGTTTGGCGGGAGAGGAATGAATAGCTCATAGCTCAACTAACGAACTTTCAAAAAATAAAATTAAAGAGAGAAATGAGGCCCGGCCCATGTATAATATTTTTATATTTATTTAACAAATATGTTAATAAATAAACCAAAAATTTCAAATTCGGATCCGAAAATGTTGAAAATGATTGGAGTTGGAAAATTCCGAATTTGTAACAATATACTAATAATTTTAGCTTGTAATAATGTTTATAGCAAAGTCTAAAATATTGATGGTATTGGAAATATCAATAGTCTAAAAATACGGAAATTTCGATGGAAATATCGGGATATTATCAATATCGATAAAAATTGAATAAAAACCATAGAAATTGTAAAAAAAAACTTGGGAATTTTTTTATTGAAACTTTGAAGGATATTTATTTCATCAATTATCTATTAGTTTATCACAAAAAATTTGGAAGGAAATGCAATGCATGATGATTATAACTGATTTAAGTTGATTATGTAGCGAGTTGACAAACACTGTTAGTGTAGAAAATATGTAGTAATTAATGAAAGAAGATCAAACACATCATAACCATTTATATATAATGATTTACTATAATATTTTACACTTTATACATTGCATGGTAAGATACATGAGTAACTTAATACCACATATAGTACCTCCTTGCGTATTATCACAAAAACATAAACAATATGGTGGTTAAGGCATTGGAGGAGTTAAATGGCAGGGGTTCGGATCTCCTTTGTGTGTGTGCTTTGTGTGTTTTTTTTTCCTTTTTTCAATTACATTGATATTTTTGATATTATAGCGATATTTTGACAAAATATTATTGAAGTGTGAACGAAATTATCGACATTGATATTATCAATATTTATATGATATGTGCATGGATACGTTCCGAAATATCCGTGATCTAAAAAAACAATAATATCCTCAATATTTCATCAATATTATTGATATTTTAGACTATGATTCGCAGTATTCATACTAAAATAAAATAATAACTTTTTTGTCAAATTAAACGTACTATATTTACAAATTCTGAAAATTGGAAACTAGGTTCCAAAAATTGGGAAACAATAGCAAGTGTGAAAATTCTGAAAATTGGGGATAAGATTGAGTTTATGAAACGTTGCGTTAAAATAGCTGATTATTGTTGTAGAAACATTTTGAAATTGAATAGACTAGCGAAAACAAATAGCCAAAAAATAGCTAGTGTTGAAGATACTCTTATATGTAAGTATTTTTCATCTTTAAAACACGTATTTTTTACAAAATTTTCAATAAGACACAAAATTTGCGTATTATACAAATACGCTAAAATATTATTGAATAAAAATAATATATATTAAAATATTAAATAAATATAGTGGCAAAACTTTTAAGTTGTAATTTGCTAAAATTTGGCCAAATAAAACACGTACGTATTTTTATTCATATTTTTTCCCATTCCGTATTTTACTAACTATGAATGAATGTGAGAGGCTAAGATTATTTCTTACTTGTTGTAACGAAAATGAAATATGGTGATTTTGTAATATCTTTGCCAACTAGAACAAAAAATTTAAATAAAGATTTATGGGTATAGCAGTAAGAGAGGTGATAGAATTCTTCATGTAAAGTGTCCTTTTATGTTATTTTTTTTTAATTAAATAGTATAGCCGGTCGGTTATACCTTTTAAATATAATGAATTTAAAGTGTCACAGTGCGGCTGTACTACAGTTTTTGTTTTAAAAATAGTATAGCCGTATGGCTATACTTATTTTGACACGTGGGGCGACTAATCACTAGGCGGGTTCACTTTTTTTTTAATAATAAATAGTATAGCCGTCCGGATATACTCTTTTTTTTATTATAAAAAAAAGTATAGCCGCACGGCTAAATTCAGGTTTATTAATGTTTTATAAAATAGTATAGCCGATCGGCTATACTCGATTCTTTTTTCTAATTTTTTTTTATGAAAATTGTATAGCCGCACAAATTTACTGGGATTTTTGCTTTAATTAGCCGTGCGGCGATACTCAGTTTTATTAATGTTTCTTAAGAATAGTATAGATTGTTTTCTAATTTTTTTATAAAAATAAATAGTATAATACATATATATATATGGATCCTTTTTTTCTATTTTCGTTTGTCGATAAGATCATTATCCATAACTATTAGGCCATTACTCAAATCTCTATTGTTCCCTTTTGATTTTAGACTTTTCTAGAGTTATTATCCATATAAAGAATTTAGCACTTTCACGTTTAATACACGTACATACGTATTTTTCGATAATACATTCGTGTTTTGTACACGTCTTAAAGACCCAGTAAAATTCATGTTTTTTAATACTCAGTATTGTACTTTTACTAAGTAAGACAATGCTCACTTTAATCTTAATTTTAATAATTAAAATAGTGGCGGTGGTGCCATAGGTATATTATACGTAAACATAAATGTGGGCCGTGTAGCATCTCTCTTTTCTTATACATAAATTACCCACAGAACCCTAATGGATGAAAATTATACAAGATAAAGAGTTTCAAGAGTTTGTGTTGTGATACATTTTATATTGGCCGTTTTCAAATTGTCACAACATATCAAGGTTTCCACCTGCAAACATGGAGGTTGGGGCCTCGGAATGTATGCACAAGCACATAGTTTGAAGACCGCTGTCGAACGTTGGCCCGAAAAAAGTGGAGCCACACTTCCACAATTATCAACTCAAGTCTGAAGAAGATTCAACTTGGTGAATATCGATACTTAGATGTGGATTAGGTGGACCAAATATGCTCAATACCACCTGCAAACCACAAAAGGCAAGCATGGTTCAATCAATTTTATCGTGGCATCCAACCTATGGAACTACAGTGGCACCATGGGATAAGGACAACAATATTCGCAACACTAACGGGAAAAACGAAAAAAAACAAACTGTTGAAGTGACTTGCAGCATTCAACCAGCAAAAGAAGGTGGCCCAGTAGTGCATATGTGGCTAGCAAAGCCATCTTCTTTGGGTGTCAGAGTAGTAGCTGTGACAGGAAGAAACTCCAATAAACTTACCGGCAAAAATACGAGCCCATGCAAGAAACCAATAACCACCAATGCCAGGTACATTTGAAAATAGTAAACCTGCAAAGTTCAGAAAGCTTCTTTACATCTACAGCATCGCCAAAAGAACTTAAAAAGTTAAGAGGGAGAGATAAAAACCACAAAAAGTTCTGATCTTGAGAAGCCAAGGACAATCACTCCAACTAGCTTTGTAAGTGTAATCCCACTGCCATAACAAGTCAAGCAATTATATACTGGTTTGTTAGTTTATTGTCTGTGGACAAAAGCACTGCTCTGAGTAAAGAACTCCTAAGGATGCTTATAAGTAAATAGAGCAGTATGGGACTGAAACCATAGACAGTGATGGAGAACGAAGTGCCCTAATTTCAAGTTATTCTGATGATAGTTAAAAGACAAAAATATCAAAGAAACCTACAAATAGACATCATATTTCTCTAACAACTTAAGCTTTTGGACAAATTAGCTTCTAACATGATTCTAAAGCAGGCATGTTCAGTGTTCAAATTCCACAACATTTTTGGCTCATCCAAGAAATAAATCCTTAATGTTTTCTGATAAAAACTAATGTTCAATGTACAGATATACATATGTTTCTTTACAAATAAATCCTTATCAAACATATGTATATCTGTACAGAAATTATACTTGTTTTATAATTAATCATAGTAACTAAGAAGCTTAATGATCATTGAATGCATACTATCAGGCAACTCTTTTTCTTCTTAGATTTCATATTAGTCTGAGACAATTCTCACACAAAAAGATTTCAGCTCAATCATGGAGTTCTACTGAGTGCCACAGTCATCACACCTGAAATGCTAAACATAAGTGTAAACAGTTTACCTGAAGACAGAAGCTCCCATTGTACTCAGAGCTTCCTTTGCTCGTTGATTCCTGTCGCCATGGCTCACCTGCACAAGCATGCACAGGTTGGTAATATGGTAGCAAATTATCAAACCCAATGAAAGGCTGTTGGCCATTGAGACGAGATCTAAATGGCAGGTGGGAAGTTTCTATGTCAACCCAGGGACTAAAGAATAAGAAAAGGTTATTCCATTCAGCTCTTTTTTTTAGAGATATTCCATTCAGCTCTAATAAAAGAGATTCCTACAGCTATGTAGGGCATTTCCTTCATCTTCAAGCCAAAAACGAATTAGGAAAATAAGCGTGACACCACAGGGCTTGAGACTAACCAAGTAAGCATGTGTTATATGGACACAGAACTCAACAGCGATCCCAATTGACATTATGAGATTTACAACAGAGACTGCATTTAGTTGGATATCCAAAATGGCCATTACACCCTGAAAGTTCAGTTATGTATGTCAGTTCTCCTAACTGAGAAAGAATTTCAAGGAATTAAATTAAGGATGGCATGAAAGCGAAATAAATACAAGGGCACACAATTGCAAAAAGATTGCTGCAAAATAAGAAGCTTTTAATGACATTCAAGGTAAACGTACCATGAGGTCCACAACAATCATTGCCAGGACTAATATAATGATTGCTGAGCTCCATAAACTGTTATTAAAATCAGATGAGAAAGAAACAGAAAATTACAAGTTAAAGTGACACACAGAGTTTTCTGGGCTCAAGAAAGAATAGAAACCTGGAAGTGATAAGCAGACAGACAATGAAGATTGCACCTGTTATATCATCATATGAGATATTTTGGTAAATGCTTATAGAGCTGAAAATGTACATTCAGTCCTTAAAGTTCAAAACTGAAGCAATAATTTAAATCAGGAAGGTCAGCACTGTTGAAATTCCATTGTAGCTTCTTGCACTCCATCATGGGAGAAGGAATTTATAAAACGTTTATTTTGGAGTGCAGGAAGCTAAATAATGACTAAGGAGTGCCAAAGGTATTACCCACTAGGGAGAAAACATTTAAATTAAAGATCTAGATGGAATAGTGAAATCTCTACAGATCAAAATACAACAAAATATCAGTTCTTTAGTACCAAATACTAAGAACTCATATAATGGGCAGACAGATTCTGAGTGTTACTCGTAGAACTGTTAAACATCTCTTTCAGGCACTAAAATATCTAATTTCCATCAGTTTAAATATCTTATTGAAGAACACACAAGCACTAATAATCAGAGGCAACAACATATTATAAAATAAAAATATAGACTACATGTAGATCTGTATGCCCCCATGCATAACTGCATATTGATATAATCTTCTAGATACTAACCAAGTGCTATAGCAATGTTGATCAAAGCTGTCCTCCATATATCCAGATACTGCTCAAAGAAGATATAGAACACCGAGTATGGAAAGATATCCATCTGCATCAAAGAAAAACTGTAAGCATGACAGAGATCCACGTGCACTTGAGGAAGTAATGTACAGGCTTAGAAATGTTGAAGATGCAGGAAAAGATAAATTGTCAGGAGAAGGCCTCACTTTATCTCCTCTCCCCTGTTTTCAAAGCACATGGGAAAACAAGCATACTAATAATTCGACGAGGCTAATGCAAATCAACATTGTTAACACGAGAGGAGGAAATGCCAGTAATATATAAATTCTTAGTAAGTGATACTCAAGTAAGAAGACTCTGAACACAATCAACAAGAAATTGATACCACCACTCTCATAGAGAAGGTTTCAATAAATGAAACTTTAATGTAACTAACGCGCAGCATTATTTCAGCCCAAAAAGATACTAACAGCAGTATTAAGAATGTATTAGTCACCTGGTCTATAAACATGTAATGTCATTTCCTACATAGAAAGATGTGTTCTTCATGCAGTAACCAAATAACATATTAGAAATATGGACCTCCGGGCATAACTTGTACATGACAGGTTTTGAGAATGAGAACTCTTATTTTTTTCTAATAGAAACATTTTGTATTCAAAATTATAAGGGATCAAAAAGGAGGACATTTAGAACACAGACAAAAAGAAAGAAGCAATAGCCAGTGAAACAAACGCAAGGCCACGCAACACAGAAAACAAAACAGCCAATCAAAAGACAACCCCTTAAGATCCTACAGCCAGCAGATTGTGCATAATTGTAGGATAGGATATATCCTTAAAAGCAAGGGAAGTTGATGCCCAAAGGGCAGCCCAAAACTTCACTTTCTCTACCACTCCCACTCCCTTATAATCCTCGAAGATTCTCTGGTTACGTTCCAGCCAAAGGTTCCAGATCACTCACTGCCTGCATCAGACTGCCCCAAAGAATTTTAGCTTTCTTTCCCCTTCCCAAAGCATCAAATTTGATGGAAAAAAGTTTGAAACAGCCTTGCATCCAACATCATCATTCTCTTGCATACAGAAGTAGCTTATTTCAATTCCACTATGACCAGATATGTTTCTATCAATGTAAAATGCATGCACTTTCACTAGCCTGTCCTACAGTTTGGCATTAGGTAGAAAACACCCCTCGTACCAAAATGATTTAAAACAAAAATCAAACTGGAAAGCAAAGCATCCGATTCCAAGTATGTGCAAGCAAAATTTCCAAATTATATGGAACCATGCTGCTTGCTGAACTTTAACCTTTAAAGAATCAGAAATTCTTGAGCTAAAATCCCGTGCAGCTCGCAGTGAATTGACATAATCACCCTGAGAACAATGAAAGATCAAACAAAAGCAGGTTGTCACCCTAAAGTTATGCAAATTAAAGAAATTTTTAAGCATCAGTTTACTCAAGATACAACCATACTTGTTTGTTAAGTGGTGTGTGATAGGTACGGAACTCAGATGCTCTTATAACACCACTCCCATAACCTGAAAAAGAAAACACAAATGTTTCTGAAATTAGACTATTAATTCAATTAAAAGATTTCAGCTTCATGAACGTTTTAATCACATCGCATGAGAATTTAAGAGCATAATTCTCTCTCTATCTATCTCACACACAACAGAGATATTTTTATGCACGGAGAGAGAGAGAGAGCGAGAGAGAGAGAGAGGAGAGAGAGAGAGAGAGAGAGAGAGAGAGAGAGAGAGTTCTGATCTTACACACCATTTAGATCCACACTGTTAGTGTAAGCACCATGGCCACCTTTTGCACAATCAGCAGATGGCAGTGCATTGAGGAACCATGGAAGCTTCTCTCTAAATTGTGTTGTAGATGGACGATCATTGACCAAATCTGAGTGCCGAAAGCACTGGAACCAATTTAAAATGTTAGTTCTTGACCCTGGTGGTTTCTAAGGTTAATCTCAGCTGTATACATAAGATGGGCATTACTGTTGTACAATCTTTGCACACTCCACCAACGCCACAAGGACCATCATCAGGTGAACAGCAAGGTGGCTGGAGAGAAATGTGTCAGCTTCAGTACATCGTAATTTAACAAACAGCATGAGAACAACACATAAGTTGAATTCTTATTGTTTACTGGTCAATGGATATGGTAAAAATATATCACAGATCGTATAATAATGCAATCATGAAAGTTATAAGCTTACAAATGAACCACAATTTGGCATACACAACTGAGTCACCAAACTAAAAATGTCACTGAACAAAAAAGAAAGAAAGATCCAAAAACGCAGATTTGCGACATAATCTACATATACATCTTTTGTATGTGTAATGCATGCATGGACCTGCATGTAGAATTTTTTAATCATGTAAGAAAAAAAAAATTCTATATGATAGTAAGAGGCAGTTCAAGTCCCAGGGATGAAAGCGACACATTCCTAAATTACTTTTCAAATGAGACATGTAAAAGAAACCAACCTGATCATCAGGTGGACAATAAGAACCATTTAAATACTTCCGACAGCAACCAAAAGCCTCAGGTGAGATCCATACCAGAAAATCATCAAGCCAAGAGGCAGCTGGCTTAGCAATGTAGCTAGATTCTGGTGTTAAAGATGCTCTTGATATCTGCAACATTACAGAAGACGACATTGAAGAAGAGGGAGAAAAAAGTATATGCATATACACAGAAAATGCTTCACAATTGTCACAGTCCGGAGCCCAAATCAAAATAGATAAAAGGACAGAGCGGTCAAATTCAAGCTAAACAATAAACACAAGGAAGAAGGAATTAGAGGACAACACACAAAATTGTACAGCATCCAGACTTGGGAGGGAGATACAGAAACCACAAAATTACAATGTGAGCAATTCAAAATTTGAGATCAATTTGCATTAGAAGTGCCCATTTTTAGTGCATATTGATACAATGTGTATTCATGGTAGAAGGTCCGACTTCACTTCCAATTTAGAATTGAATACCCCTCCACATTTTTGTACCTCATTTAAAAGAGAGTTTGAATCACATTGGCTGATGGAGCATAACTGGTCTGTATGTCTTGATTCAGAGCTGAGACAACCAAAAAAACACTCAACTGTTAATCATCGTATGAAAGGAATTTCTTCTCAGTTATTACTTGTATATCATAATGAAGCAAATGCTTTGACATAGAACAGGGGCTTATGTTAAAGAGACGTATTGATGTAGCAGCCATAAAAGACAAATAATAGCAGGCATCATGATTAATTCTTCTCAGTATCTATGCCAAGTTGGCAAACAATTATCTACTATGCCCCCATCATCATTGTATAAGAGGCAGTGGCATCAGTCCCATCATCACTATAAAATAGTAACCCAACAAAAGCAAATGTTTCCATTGCCCTAGTCATCAACAGTACCATCAGACCAATTTTAAAATATTTTATTTAATGTGACAACTACAGATCTTTTAATGATTATTTGTTTCTTTATTCTTATTCATGAGACAACCCAAAATTCCAATTATATAGCAATGTCTTCCAACAGCTCCATCTCCTGGTGATAGAGGAAATAAATAAATAAAGGAACTCCCTTGCGAAGTACTCATCTTAGTTATGTGATGAGTCCATTCTAAGAATGGATTAAGGCCGTCAAAGAGGTGCTTACCTAATAAAGTTATTTTATCACCTAACAGATAATGGAAGAAAACAACAAAAGCTCATATTTTTTCTGAGGCACACTATTAAAACCCCCACCATTTTCCTTTCATAACAGCATTATTCTATTTCCTTTTCATATCTTATTTTGTGCACTGTCTGCAATAATCCTCAAGCTTGAAATATACCGGAAGAATACAGAACCTGAAAATTTGAGATCAAATAGAACGGAGACCACACAGGTACCTGTAGTTGTAATCCTTGACAACAAAATATAATGGTGGTCCAATCCTAAGATGCTCTGAGACATTATTGAAGTATCCCTGACACGCAAGACTTAAATTATAAAAGAAGAAAAAGTCAAGCTTTTAGGGTAAGAAGATTCCATAAAACCACCGGAGACCTGAAGGTAAGAGTCACGGGGAAGGGCAATCTCCTGTTCCAAACCAGGTTCAATCCTAGTACATAATGCCTATAAGGATCAAAATCATGTAAAAAGTTTATGTTAGGCCTCAAGACAATAAAACTAAATAAACTACTATTTAAAAATCATTGAGTGACAAAAAACCATAAGCAACTTACAATGCTTGCCAAGGTAAAAGCAAGAAAGACAGCAATAACAACCATTTTAACCACCCAAAATCCAAGAATGCGTGCATGCACTTCCTACAATAAAGCCACGATCATTCTTTTCAAAAGAAAAGGAACAAGAATATACACGATCATTAGTTTACTTCTCTCCAAGAAATATCACCCATTCTCAAAATCTCCAAGACAGGGAAAAATAATTATTTTTACATGATACACAACATAAACCATGGCCCCTTTAAGATGAAGATGTCTAGTAGCCAGATATCTCCGTCAAACAGAGCAGAACAAAAGAAAAGAAAAGACAAAAATGTTACCTTCATATAGCGGGTCAGCAATCCAGTTCTTCTATGATAGATCCCTACATCTTATTATATAATGACTTGATCAGAACTAACACCAATTTGAAAAAGGAGAAGAAAATGTAGATCTAACATGATTAAAATAGACAAATCAACGCTGCACTAGAAAGGCAGTGCAACTTCAACACAGATACAATATGTCAGCATGCCTATATAATATACCTTCACTAGTTTCCACAGAAGATGAAGAGACTTTTATGCATGGAAAACAATCAACCCTGTTATCCTCAGCTCTCAAAAAGTCAAAATATATCAGCACAACGAAGGCAGTAACTTGCAGAAAGAAGTCCAGTAGAACAGCAAGGGCTGTAATAGAAATAGTGGATATACATCAATGTACTGGTGAAAGCAAAATTCCAAAGTAACTGATTTAGGATAAGGGGAAAAAAAAAATTACCTGCAAACATGGAGAAGACACGGCAAGCTGGCATAGGAATGAAACTTCCAACTGCAAATGCCAGAATCTCAGACAAACTAGCCAACGTTATAGATGGGCCAACTTCAGCCAGCGCATTGCTTATTCGCATTTCTAAAGGTAACTCCAGTGGTTGCCGTTTCACAGCATGTACCAGTATACACATGTTATCTACACCAACCTGATTATAGGAACCAAAACGAGAACCATTTGAAATATCATATCAGACAAAGAAAAGAACATGAGAGAAAAGGATGGGGGGTTCAACCAAAGATCTCTTCCCCTTTTGAAAGAGAAGGTTGCGATTGAACATGAGGAAGGGAGGGTTTGGAGGTGGAGGAAACTATTAGGTACTGTAAATAACAAATAAACAGATAAAAATTTATCTAAGTTTAGGGCAACAAATGGAAAGATTGAAGAACAAAAAATGAATAAAAATATAATCCGGTATGAAGACAAACTAATGAAGAAGTTATCTCAAGCCACCTAGAAAATAGAAAACCTAAATTACAGTCCAAATGTACAAGGCCAAAAGAGAGTGGTATGACTCTGCTGTGTTTCTTTTTTCTCTTCCTTTCCAGTTCCTCCAGTGAATGCTTGAATCCAGATTTATGATTCTAAAGTGGTGGTAGTTACAACAAGGGATAAACAACGTTCTATAAATATTCAAGGGTGGAAAAGAGTAGTAAATGTGTTTTTATTAATTTACTGATGAGTATTAACAACAGCAAAAATACCAGGACTCAGCATGTATCTCCTAGATGAACAGGGCCTAAGATCAATAAAGAACACAGCTGTCGTAACAGGACATAAGTAACACTGACACCCATAGTACTTATATAAATAACTTACGGCCAGAACGAGGAAAGGAATGACTTCCATTATGATTAATGTAGATTTAATTCCAACAGCACTGAAAAATCCAACAGATCCAAGGACAGAAAGCACAACAAGCATGACTCCTGACAAGCCAAGTAGGACCTACAAATCATCAAATCCAAAAATTAATAGCACATCTGAAAACTTCATCAATGCTATGTATGCCACATGGACATGAAGTAACATGGCAAATACATGGTGTTCTTGTGATACTTCTTTGATTAGTTTCTATTGATTGTTGCTAAGATATGTGATGCATCAATAAAAGACACCAAAACCCTCCAACTTGATCACACACAAGCCTTCACAAGTTAATCTTCGTTTCTCGAATGCTAGTTGTCTGTACCCTTGCTATCACTCAATGACTAGCAAATCTTTAACAGAGACAACTTTTTATTTCATTTTATTTTGATAGGAAACAAATTGTTCAACAGAGACAACTGTTGACACCATATCATCCACATACTATACTGTAGCAAATCATGATAAAACATTGGGGTTACCAGAGTCAGATGATAAAGGTTGGCAGCGGAAGTAGTATTATATAGTATAGTTAAAGTAACTTTACTAGATGAGCAAGCAGTAGAGGATAACACGTTAGTGCATACAACATGCATATATATATGCATGCTGGCAAATGGTATGAGGAATATCAGACTACTTGAACAAAGGCTTAAATCGTACCTTCGATGAGAGGTAAAAAGAAGATAAATGAGGTGCATCTCCCAAGGTTAGAGATATGTAAACGAACATTACCACATAGCTTACCTGATATGATGTAGGAAAAGAAGAATAATTATGAAAGGCACTTATTTAAGTACAATGTTCAGCAACAAGTATAAATATTTTATTTATTTTGTTCATGAGTGTAAGATGGCATGATGAAATTTATCTGCCATGGATTGCTTGAGTGACATGAAGACATCCAAGTCTCAGACTTACTACTATGGTTATAACATCTGCAGTACTTTCTCTTTTTAACTCTTCCTCAATTGAGCTTTCGGCTGAAAATGAGAGAGTGAGATTCCGAGACAGAACCATTGGCAGCAGTTCCTCCTGTCAACATAATTGCTTCAGATCTCAATATGGAAGTATCATTTATTGACTAACTCAAGGGCTTTTTCTTTTTAATGTGTGGGAGCTCATTTGCAAATTGAATAGCAAATATAAGAGCAGAAATACAAACCAAGCGGAATATATATAGCTTTGATAGGGTCTCCTCTTCTCAATAAAATTTCACCGGACATGCAATACAAAGAAGCATGAATTTTGCAAAACAGTGAAAATGAGAACACTAAATGAATGGTAAGATGTGAAAGTATGTTAAATGGGAAAGGAGACGCAGTAAACACAGTAATCAAATGCAGATACACCTCAACTTTCCAGTTCTTAACCAAAAAACCAATCCAAATGAAGAAATTGGACCAATCTACAAAAGTTATCATTATACAAAAATTGCACAGTTATAATAGGATTTATAAGTTCTCAATCAGTACATGGAAGGAAAAAATTTCATTAAAGCAAAACCTTACTAACAAGAAACTTAAGATGCAGCAACCATATGATGGCATGAGATGAAGTAAGATACACTGGGAGATCAATCACATAAATGCAACAATTATTTAAATGCTATTATGCATACAATCTAAAATGCGCATAGACAAGCATTACATGTCACTAACAAAAACAATGCAATAGATAGATGTTTAGTGCTCAAACCTTTGCTAACTGAATAAAAGCCTTCTCCCAAGCCAATGCCTTTGCATTCTCATTTCCTACATCATCAACTGCATTATTAACTGGGTAGGTGACAATGAATGCAGAAGCCTGAAATTCGAAGATCATCATAGAATTAGTGGATACACATATATCTGAGAAAAGGATCATTAAGCTACCTCTGTATAGTTGTTTTCCTGAGAATCCTCCCAAGGCAGTGCTTGGATCAAGTGGAGCCTGAAATGCGCTCAAACATGTGTCTGCAGAAGTATAATGCTGCAGGTGGGAAAATGATGGGGATGTACATCAAAGTATTCAACACTAATGCTTTTAGAATAAGCTTTTGATGGGTTAAAAATAAGCAGACAGTTATCCTTTAAGAAAGTTGATAAATAAAAACCTTCAATCACTGTCTAAAAGGTAAAAACTAGGTTGTTACTGCAGTTTACCTGAAAACAATACTCGGCATGTACAACTCCTCCATAGCTGTCATAATTTTCAGGGTCCATCTTAAAATACTACCAAACAGAGAAAAGTAAAGAAATAAAATGTCAGTGATGTAGTAAGCATGATAACTTCAGACAAAGTTGCTTAATCATTAGGGGATTTAAACATTAATTCCAAAATCACAATAATAGCACGAGTAAGCAAGGTGTAGTCACTGGGTCTTGCCAAGCGCAGACCTTCCCTCAGTGCTATTGTGCCAGTTGTGTTAAATAGAACACAACCAAACACGTGAAACAGTAGAAACAAAACTTATGCAATAAAACCTGCAAAATGCTTTGGGTGGCACAATCTTGCCCAACAGGCTTCAAGCAAATTTCTGTTAGAGCTACCATTGAGCCAGAATAATTAGCACGAACTCCATCAACCTGTTGAAACTCAGTAATTGTCAAACTCACATTAAAATGGGGAAAAAATACAAAATTAAAAACACATAGTAGTCACCTTGTTTTGTATGTCAAAAAGCAACTGAATATTATCATCTGTGACAATACTTGGTGACTTGCCATGCTTCAGATCGGGCACGGTCGCTATTATGAGCTGAAACGGAAACAAAGACCGACATCTAAAGCATAACGTTTTTACCTGGTTTAAACCACATGCAGCCCATACCAGAATCATGGCATTGTAACTCTTGGTTTCTAAGTATTCTAATTCAAAATCCTCCCCTTCAACTTTTTTTTTTCTTTTTTTTTTGGGCTTTAGAAAATGTTACAATCTTTTCAATGGTATTTATTTTGTTTTTGTCATATACTTTTAGTTATAAAAAAAAAAATGACTTACCAAAAGAAATCTGATTAAATACACTTTCGTTGATCTAATTAGGACTTTTAACCAAAGGGATTCCTTACTTGATTGGAAAATCAAGTAAGTCACAAAATTGATAACAAATATTCAATTTCACAATGAGGCTAAATATTTAAAACCTGTTACATTAACAGCAACATCATGATTTGGGTACTTAATATTCAATTAAATTCTATGTTCTTTAGTAACTTTATATGCTAACTTGTAATATATTAAAATAGCACGGAGTGCTAGGTCAGGTTTTTCCACTGTAATTTCTGGAAAAAAAAATGGATGAAAAGATATGAGAAGTATTACAGACAAATAACACAGTTAATGAAACACAAAGTGAAACATTAAAACAGTTCTAAGACCTGCTCAATTCTGTAAAAGGGGGCAATATGGCTATCAAAAAATTGTTTCTCTTCCGCTGCCTTGCTCCCACGACCTACCCACAGCTGCAAAAGGTTACATATCAATGCTTGACCAACATTCTTTCTTTTGGATATAAGAACACTGAAATAATACTAATTACATCAAAGGTTATAATAAAAATTGACAACAAAAGAATATAAGTGAAAATTGGAGCATCAGTATCACAGGGGCCTTTTTTGCATGATAAAATAAAAAAGAGTGAAAAAAATAATACCTTCTCTGGCCGTGTCTCCACCTTGAAACAAACTAGCCCTACACACAGCACAAGAACAATTGCCACCGATGAAAAGAGCACAAATGTGGGATTTCTGGAGACCCAGCTTCCATAACTCCTGCATAGACAATGAAAATCATTCAGCATAGACTCCATATGCCATAAGCAATGGTAGAGTTTCTGACCTGTAAAAGTTTGACATATATCCCTGAAGAGGAGCTAATTGGATCCTTTTTGTAACTTGAGGATCTATCTCAGGCCCCGATAATGTTATAAAAAATTTAATTAGAAAAGGCCAATGGCTTAAAAGAACTAGAAAAGCATTACAACAAACTGAATAGAAGATTAAGTTGAGACTTCAAAATAAGCATCCAAAAAGTACATTGCACAAAGCCAATTAAATGGTATTACTACTCAGCTTCTCAGCAACCTAAAATAACAATTTACTGCATTTCAATATCAATATAGAAATAGTTATTGTAATGCATGCTTACAAAAAAAGCTCCTAAACCATAAGAAATGCACGTCTCCTTGGGCTCCTTTTTTGTTGCCCAAGGTTATCAAATTATGCAAGACATGACAAAACTGATACCTAAGACAAATACACAACCTTATCCTAAAATCTAAAAAAAAAAAAAAAAGGTCCTCGATATGTAGAAATTGGACAGAAGATTTATGTTGTTTAATCTATACTATCAATTTCAAAAAAATTTGGATAAACAATTAGAGTTTAATTGAATGTGCTTTCCTTAACTTTTAACATGGTCTTAAGATTGAACCAGTAGACAGAAGCCTATTATTCCATTAATACTCTCAATGAACAGCTTCGATTTTGTCATGAAACACCCATATATCAAATGTAAAATCACATTGTAGAGATGTTTTATGTAAGAAACAATACGTTTATTAACATAAAGACATAGAAGTAAAGAACATGATGGACAAGAAGTCATCAGGAGAAACCAACTAAAGATACAGGCTTTAGAGATTTAATTTATAGTAAATTAAAGCGGAAAACATTCCAGATATCTAAGAGACTAATATAGTATGGGACAAAGACGCCCAGACTCAAATGTCAGCACAAACTTCACTATAGCAACCGATTGATGAAACTAACAATGGAAAAAGAACAGAGAAATAAAATCTAAAACCAAGGAGCATTTGTTTATTGTTAAAGGTAATCCATGACATAATAATAATACCAAAAGTAAAACAAACATCATGTCCGACCATATCTAATAGGTCAGGGTATCTTTCTTTTTCTGATATTTGGTTATAATTAAATGCAGATGTTTGTAAAATATTGGATAGGACATTGTGGTTTTCTTTGTGGGTTTTTTTTGTTTTTTTGTTTTTGTTTTGGTAGCTTAATCCAGGGTTGGTAGACTTCCGTTCCACTGTTTGAACAGATTTCTTTCTTTAATAAATTGGGTCTCTCAAAGAAAAGTCCAAGTTTACCTTTGTGACAACACTTTCATCCTTTTGCAAGTTAACAGAGCCAATGCCATCATCGTGAATGACATTCAACAATGGTTCCTTGCTAGATTCAACTCTCCTCCTTTCACTTGTCCGGTGAAACGAGCCCCAACCGAAGAAAGCAGAAATTAAGAGAATATACAATATGGCAACAGAAAAGTCAATGCACTTTACCTGGAAGCATCAATGGTCAGTACTCAAGTTATTTACATGTACCAGAAGGCTAAATTGACACTCAAATAAAGCAACAAATTAGTTAGTTAGACAAAATTAAAATAAAATGTGTATTGGATCAACTCCAACCTCAAAAGATAGAATTCTGATGGAGCATGGCTCTTTCTTCTGTTGAGGAGGTTCAGGATTAGAACACTCTTGAGATGACGGGCAATCACCACAAGAGCAGCCCAGTGAAGTGTCAGCACATGAATAAACGGACACATTCATGAGCTCCATTCTAGATGACTCCGGAACAGTCAACTTAAAGTCAATGGCATAAGGTGAACCAGGGAAACCGAGGGCTGCTTTCTCACCAATAAAATCAAACCATTCTGTTGAAATGCAAATTGAACCATTAAAACTTCGAAGTATATTCATGTAAAAACAGGGACAAACATTCTGGTGTCACATCTGAACTACCTGCCTCAGGGCCATGACAAGCTTGTATATAGTTGGTATGACCCTTAACTTCACATAAATACTTGCCTCCTTCCCTGGAAGTAGGAACTCCTATTTCCTGTCAATCACAGTTTGACATGTGTGTAGAGATTTATCTTTTTGCGGTTTTCATGAATTATTTTTGCATGTGTCAAACTATGATTTGCAGGAAGTAGGAATGCCTCCTTCCGGGGAAGGAGGGAAGTAGTGTCCTTAATCAATACTATACTTCAGAAAACTCTCCTTGTCAACCATTGTTTATGAAAATTCAATTATACCCCAACTATAATAGATAATTTTAGTAAATCATTTAAAAACTTAAGGACACTTTTGTCATTATATACAATCCCACTTTACGTTTCAATGGAAGGAAACACCTAGAAGTCTCAGACAGTCAAACTCGATGGACACAACATTGAAAACAAGATATTAATTGCAATATAAAGTGATCTAACAATAGACTCTGTCTACTGCACGTTTTAAACCCCCCAGAGTTATAGTAGGTCACCTTCAAAGTTTTTAGCACCAGCCCCAATAAATTCTATTGCCCGTGTGTTCATAGTTCCAAACTTAACATCCTTGCAAGAGTTGTACAGCCCTTCTCCAAAAGTGTCAGCTATGTAAAAATCAATGGCGTCCACAGTCATATTGCCATTAACCTGAAACGACAAAAAAAGGTCAATCATTATTAAAAAATAATGATAATAAAAAATGGGACTAAAAAGATATATGATAGGAGCTTTCATTAAATTCATGGTTCTTAGATAGACTTTCTGATTAAAGGTTGCAATCTTTTACTAACCAACAGTATAATAGTATTAAGATGCAAGGGTCAAAATCTTATGGCAAAAACATGAGAAACACTTTGTTTACACGTCAAGTTGCATAGAATAAAAAATTGACTATACAAACTGACATTCATTAACAGATGTTTTAGTTCAATCGATGTTGTCCTACAGAAAAAGGTAGAAACGGAGAGCAACAAAACCATTTTAGGAGCATAAGGCGGTATTTATGCCAAGAAAACCTTATAGTCAACTTTGAAACGGAATATATGAGTTCATAGGCACTAAAACATGTTTATAAGCACAAAAGTGTTACCAGCAAAAACAAAATCAAAATGCCAAAAAGGTACCATAACCAGGCTATAAATAGGATTATTCAACAAGTTTAATAACAATAACATCAAGTCTGACCTCAGACACAGAGGTCACATTGATAAACTGACTCTGACTTGGAGAGCAAGAAAGCTCGCAAAAAAGATTTAGGAAGTTCCTCAAGCATGCTGGACACCCTACCAGAAATGGAATTGCCTGCAATAGATTACATACAACAAAGTTGAGGTATAACAACAGGCATAGCTAGGAATTCTCAGACTGATGTATACAAAAAAGCCAATATGAAACAAAAACAAAAAATGTGCTACTTACTGAAAAGGCTCACGCTAACTATTGCATTTGATTGTATACACAAATGGAACCATTGAAGCAATTTAGTCACACAAATATCCAAAACAAATGGAAAAAAAAAACACATAAACAACACAAACAGAACAGGTTCTACGCACTGATCTGAACAAGGTTCATATCCTGATAACTAAGCAAAGTGTTAGTATTAGGTAAAATTAGACAAATCAAACACTATAAACCACGGCATAGCATTAATCAAAGCCATCATATATTCAGGAAACTCAGTGTCCACAAGAAATACATAGAGGAACAACCTGATGATCTTTATAAACCCAAGACTATATAGTAAGTGCTGTGGTAATTTGAAAACCAAAAGCAGTAAACTACATAAGTGCAATGATGGTTCTAGATACTAACAAACCATTGACAATTAGTAAGTTCCACATATTAACAACACAAGAAATGGTCCCACTCATTCAATATCAGCAAACTTATCGGATTTTTTGACAAAGTTTATGGAAAGGGGCAAAGTTACACAATATTTGACGCAAAGTCAATGAATTTTAACTTCAATAAATAACATCCTCTTTTATCTTGAGATAAAAGTGATTGCTTAACAAACAAGTTCCACTCCCCATAATAAAATCAAGTAAGAAAATGGCATCAATTATAGACTTATAAAGTGGTGCAAAGATGATTAAGATACATTAGCTGAGTATTGTATAATAACTAAGTCCATATAAAATGTGATAGAAGCGACGTTAATAACTGAATTTAGTATAAATAGGTGGTAGAAGCAGTCTTACTTGTTGAACCTGTGCCCGCAATGTTTCAAACTGAAGCTCCGTGCAACAAACATTCCCACTTATTGTTGGACACAAACTTTGGATTTTGGCAGAAAATAGCTCATCAGGCTACAAAACATGTAATATTACAGAAACCATCAAAATGCAGCATTGAAGGGGAAAATATAAAATTAAAATTAAAATAGGTCTTCATGTCACTGCAACTAGCCAGAAGTGATGTACCTTCACAGAGGGAGAACCGTAAGGGCAATTCAGGACTTTCCCGTCGCTGCGTTCTCCACATATATCATACATTGCACAGTATTCTTCAGAGTGCCTTTTCCTAACCAGAAGACCAGAACTATGTTAATCCTTGTACAGAAGAGAGGATGGAAGCAAATTGAGCAGTCGCAGCTTCACGCCATTTATGATGCAGTGTCATTATAGGGTAACACAAGCAAGCAAGAATGATAAACAAAAGATAAATAAAGCAGTGTCATTGCAGGGTAAGAAATCAGTTCCGTAAAGACCTCAATGGGCCACTGCTCGATCATCACCATTGCAGTTATAAAGGACATTAACCAAATCAGTGCACCAAAAGAACCATTAAGTGAGTAACACAATATGAACATTTATGTAACAACTAGCACAGCAGAACATAAATTCATTTGTACATCACCTTAATGAAAGGACCACAAGCTAACAAAACTTAGAAGTAGAAGAAAAAAAAATGGAGAAAACCAGTCAGTTTATACAAGTCTAGCCTCGGAGCAAACTAGCCTTACCCAGATGTAAGGTCAGAAATCAAAAGAGCCCGTGAATCCGTCTTCTCGGCCGTAGTTAAAGAGGCAAAGATGATAACCTACAGCAACCAATTCAAAAGCCACACACACACAAAAAAAAATTAAAAATTAAAAAAAAAATTCAAAAGAACAGAAAAAGCTAACCAGTTATAGCAAGCACTTTACTTTATCAACATCATTGGGAAAAAAAAACTGAATACACAACATCAAAGAAGTACTACAAAAGCTCCATGTTCAATAATCACTCATATAGTTCCATAAATAATCCAATTGGGTCTCCAGTTTCTCTAAACACTATCTCTACAAATTACAAACCAACAGATTTTATAAAGTTTCTTTTGCATAGAAGAACAAATTAACCATACATCTAAACAAAACAAAAGAATTGCAGAAATTAAATGAGTAAAAGGACCCAACCAACAACATTTCTGAACTACTCATGAGGCTATCTATCGCTTCAGCAATCATTACAGACCAGCCCAATATTGTTCTCATAAAAACAAAAACAAAATAATCAAAGAGGGAAAAAGGTTTCTTGCCTGAAACAGAGAAAAAAAAGCAACAAAACACAGACACGACCCCATTGTTTGTGAGTGATCGATCGCAGCAGCGCGAGGTTCTTGGCTTTTTTTACTGGTTGGGCACGAGTCAAACGAGAAGGTGAGGTTGGTTGACTGCGGTGAGAGAATGAGTGTAACGTCTTTTTTGCAATTTTTTCTTCTTTTTTTCTGCAAATTAATGAGAGTACGACACGCGACATAATGTGGATGAGTCATAATAATAATACTTTGGCTACTTTTAATATTCTTGCTTTGTGACACGCGGCGTTTAACCGTGGGTTAGTGAGATAGCCGTTTGTTAACGTCAGCGAAACGATTTTTTTTTTTTTTTTTTTTTTTTTTTTAATTATTTTTATATTTATAAGCAAAACGGTAAAACTTTGCGCTTCATTTTTGTTGACTCGTCGAAATTTTTACAGGGAACTCGAGCAATAAAATTTTTTTTTAAAAAAAAACCTTTTACGCGGAAATTAAAATGCCACGTAATTATTTAGGGAAATTCTATATGAACTCCATTATTTGCTCTTTACACTTCATAATCTCATTACACCCTACTGAATTTTAATAAAATTTCAAATTACTCACTATACCCCATTTTTCTTCCTAAATTGCCTTCATGAACCTCATTCCCTAACTTACTATGTAAACTCCATCCCATACACCACCTATCGAAAACCCGCTTCCCTTTCAGACACACCTCATCTGATATCAAACCCCACCCCATCCCTTATCAAGCCCCACCCTATCGAAAATTCTCTCCTCTTGCAGACACACCCCATCAGATTTACAACAAACTCCACTGCATACCCCATCCTCTTTGAAACAGAGCCATCACACAACTCATCTATGCAATCCTCATCACACAACCCATCTCTGCAAACCCGAATCCTGAACACCTCACCCCGTCGCAAACCACCATTGCCTTAGCCATCGCAAACATCCATCACCAATCTGTCAAGTTTTCACAAATCCTTCGAAGAGCTAAGGTTTTATTTCAATTTTGATTTCTATATATTACGTTTATAAGTGTTGATTAAGCCTAGTTTTGATTTCACTTTTGAAAAGCCAAAGTCTAATTTGAATTATTGATTTCAACTTTGTGGGTGTATGGTTCAAACCTAGTTTTACGAAACTGGATTTTCGTTTCAATAGATTACTACCGAAATGGTTACATTGCTTCAGTGGTAGTCCACCGAATTTCAACCTGAAATTAATTTTACTTTCAGTGGGTTACCACCAAAATCGTTACCTTATTTCGGTAGTAGTCTACCGAATTTGTTTCCATTTTCCAGGAGATGCCCACCGAATATATTTCGGTTTTTCAATGGTACTCCACCGAATATGTTTTCTTTTTTAAGTGATAGTCCATCGAATTTGTTTTCGTTTTTCAGTGATCATCTACCGAATACGTTACTAAGTGTGTACTTAATATTGTTTTTTTAGATATGAAGAGGACTCGCAGAAGTACTACTGAGGCTTCATCATCTCAACTTAATAGACAGTGTCCCACAACCTCAATGAGGAGACAGAGAGGGGCTCCCCAAGATCACTTTGAGGATACTACAGAGCTTGAAGATGTAGCTGCTACTCATGATAGTAATGTTGAGGTACATGTGGAGCCTACTGAGCCATCTCGAGTAGGTCTCATTGATCCATTTTTACTTACGAGTTTTAAAACTCACATAGCAGTTGCAATTTGGAATAACCAAGTAAGTCGTTTTACTGTGACAATAGAAAGTGGAATATAAGTCTGGTTCATGGTAATTAACCTAAATATATATATTTTTTTTGGTATTTAACTAGGAACGTGAGCCCCTTAGGTGCATGTCGAAGACATCTACCCTTCATGAATGGAATTGGTGGGGTATTCCAAATAACGGTATATTTAAAGGGTATATTCAGATGTCTGGATTAGAGCAACTTATTAGGTGTTCTTATCAGAATATAGATAAGATTATGGTATGTACATTCGTTGAGAGGTGAGATCCCGAAACAAACGCCTTTCACATGCCTTTTGGTGAGATAACCATCACATTGGATGATGTATTATCTATTTTAGGCATTCCTGTGTTTGGTGCAGCGGTTGCTCCGCTTGAAGATGATAACGACATAAATTTTGAGTTGTTAGTTAATTACTAAGGAGTGACTGATGAAGAGGTTACTAAACAATTGCACCAATACAATGATGAGTATGTGAGTTTGTCATGGTTACGGGCGCGATTCTCCAATGTTTCAGACACATATTCAAATGAGTACATCATGTATTCGCCCATAGCATATTTGCTATATCTCTTGGGTTGCACTTTGTTTGTTGACAAGACTGGCACGAGAGTCCAAATTGTGTACCTTAGACTACTTAGAGACCTTGATAGTGTTGCTAGTTATTCATGGGGTTATGAGTGCTTAGCATGGTTGTATAAACAATTAAGCCAAGCTTCGAGGTCTGAGATGAAGCAGATTCCTGGGTACATGACTTTGCTGAAGGCATTGGTGTATGAGCACATGCATGGTGTTGTTATCCCTGATCATGAGCTTGATTATTTAGAGGTCCAGCCTCGTGCACTTCGTTGGATTCCACGTCGAGACAATGACATGACATCGGTAGACGTGTAGAAGTATAGACAACGGCTTGACACTTTAAATGTTGATAAGGTGTGTTTCTCTCACATATCATCCAACTTTGTTGTGTTTTATATTATTTATTTATTTATTTGTTGTTCAATAATGTATTTTACAGTAGTTCATGTTATATTGTGTATCATATTTCTAAGTAATGCATCTCTACTATTGAATATCTACACATAAAACTCATATTATTAAAAGATAAATTTTGAAACATTAATGCCACGTTAATGATACTAAAAAGGATTTCAGATAAAAAAAAACACTCAAACTAATTACCGAATTAGTTGTGAATTGATCACTATAGTCCATTACACATTTTGTTCTTACATTGTTTCCTTCAGTAGGGGTGTCACCTTGTTTTTGTTCCTTCAATGGGAGTAAGATCAAAATAGCTTGCATTAAATTTGTGGTCGACAATAAACTACGGAATAAATAAATAAATTTCGGTTCGTTGCTACTGAAACATAGGTAAAATTTCGGTAATAAACCACTGAACAACGTTCCATGTTACGGTGGATCTCCATTGCATATTAAGTTCATGACCGGTCAAACACAACCGAAATAGGGAGGGAATGAGAGTTTAAATAGTTGGAGAGCTTTCACTGTCCAACAGTTGTTGGAGGGAGACAAAAAAGGGTTCTATAACAAAAAGAGATAGTCAGGTAACTCACTTAGCATATTTGTTTAGTTTATCTCTTTCGGGTTAAACCATCGCTATCAATTAATGTGACAGGTTTTGGAAAAGCTGTGCCCAATAATTGATCAAGATATGAAATATTTTGATCCATAAAGAGAGAAGCTGAGTAAAGAAGTGAAGAAAAGATGAGAGAAGATTTTTGTTGTATGTGAGGCAAGTTGAAAATGTTGAAATCGGGAGAGAATGAGAGTTTAAATAGATGAAGAGATTTCACTATTCAACAGTTGTCGGAGGGAGACAAAAAAGAGTTCTAGAACAAAAAGAGATGGTCAGATAACTCACTTATTTGTTTAGTTTTCCTCTTTCGGGTTAGACTGCCTATATCAATTAATGTGACAACTTCGAGAAAAACAGTGCCCAATTATTGATCAAGATATGAAATATTTTGATTCATAAAGGGTGAAGTTGAGTAAAAAAGTGAAGAAAAGATGAGAGAAGGTTTTTGTTGTATGTGAGGTAAGTTGAAAGTGTTGAAATCGGGAGGGAATGATAGTTTAAATAGATGGAGAGATTTCACTGTCCAACAGTTGTTGGAGGGACACAAAAAAAGGTTATATAACAAAAAATGATAGTCTGGTAACTCACTTAGCATATTTGTTTAGTTTTCCTCTTTCGTGTTGGACCGCCTCTATCAATTAATGTGACAGGTTCTGGAAAAACAGTGCCCAATTTAAGTTATGATTTCGAGACAAATTGGTTTGTATTAGGGCTGGGCATTTGGACCCGAAACCCTCCCAAACCAAACCGATGGGTTGGGTTGGTTTGGTTTTTGTTCAATCTTCTTTTTGTCATCAGTTTGAACCCAAACCAAACCGAAATATATGGTTTAGTGTACGATTTGCAATATTCAAAACCACGGTGTAACCAAACCAAACCGAAGATATTAAAAAATATTATATATAATATTATTATAAGAAATATATGTATATATAGATATATAATACATAGTTTCAATATTTTCTTTTTCCTCTCTCTCAATCTCTCCGTTTGTCTTGTCTTAATTAGTCCCTCTCTCTCTATTTTTTTCTTCTCATTCTTCTTATATTTGTCTTCACTCCCTCTCCCCGTCTCCCTCTTCTTCTTCTTCTTCTTCTTCTTCTTCTCTCTCTTTTCTTTTTCTCATCTTTTTCTTCTTCTTCTGCATTTCTCCCTCTCTTTTTTTTCTTCTTCTCCTCTCCATCGCTTTTATTTCTTCTCTCTCTCTCTCTCTCTAAGAGCCAAAAAACCGAAAACCGAACCAAACCAAACCACCAAGTCCGGTTAACCAAAGTGGTCAGTTTTCATCAATTATGGTTTGGTTTCGGTTTTCAAAATAGCCAAACCGAAGCATACGGTTCGGTGTCGAGTTGAGCCCAAAATCGAACCAACCCAAACCGAGCCCAGCCCTAGTTTGTATTATTAATTATATTATGTGAAAACTTATTATATTTATGTTGTGATTGTTGGATACTTAGTGTTGATTGTTGGAGGCTTAGAACAGAACGGGAAGTGAGACTCCCCTACAGGAGTCGAACGATAGTTCATAAGATGGAAAGAAAATTAGACAAATAGGTTGGACAGGCGAGCGAAGCGAGTTGCTGGCTGACGTCCCAAGGAGTCTCTATTCATCTTTGTTCAAAGCGGGACGCATTTGACCGAGTGGAGACAGCTGTGGAAGCAGCAATCCCTTGCCTCATGAAGGAGATAAGCTTACGTAAGTAGGGCCTCACCTCTAGGGGGAATTTCTGACGAATTGTCTGTTCGACTTGTATGCAACAAATCCAACCTATTTCCTCAACTTCGTCAACCATTGGAACTCCTTTGTAAAAAAACAAGAAGCATTTTGGGTCACATTTCTTACTTGAGTCCCCTATGGCTAGTACAATGCGCTAGTAGCATATTCTATAACTCAGCTGAACTAGTTTCAAGGGTTGGATTCCCCCGGATAAGTAAATAAGTCTCTAACAATCAATACTAAGTCTTCAGCAGTAACAACATAAATATAATAAGTTTTCACAAAACATAATTAATAATACAAACAAATTTGTCTCAAAATTATAACTTAATAATAAAAACAACAATAAAATAATACAAACCAATAGTCTTGAAATCATAACTTAATAATAAAACTCAATACTAAGTTTCCAGCAATCACAACATAAATATAATAAGTTTTCACATAATATAATTACTAATACAAACCAATTTGTCTTGAAATCATAACTTAATAATAAAAACAATAATAAAATATTACAAACCACTTGTCTTGCAATCATAACTTAATAATAAAACAAAGAATAATGCCTTAATCATTATAATATTTTTTCTTCGACAACACCCAACTTGACAACACCTCAGCCACAAGCATACATCTGTACAAACGAAAATAGCCTTTTTTTTTCAGGTTGGTAATTGTTTTCCATTTTCAATTTTGATTATTTTCGTTATTTTCTAGTGTCATTTGCGCGAGTCATTGGGGGTGTCGATGGATAATAACATGGCTAAGAACATCCACAATGAGCTCCCTAAACCACCTCCTTAGACAAATTTTAGGGAGGAATCGTAAAAATGCAACTCCAACCACACTCCCTATCCACCTCCTAAAATAGGGAGTCCTCTAGGAGCTCCTAAATCTAAGGAGAGAGAAAGGACTCCTAGTGGCTCCTCATAATTTAATGCTGCTTTATTTAATGAATATTTCAAATCTTTATTTAATGCTAACTATTTTTTATTTTATTTTTTAATAGAGATTAACCAATCAAAAAAGAGTTATAGCATTTATGACTCTCCAAATTAGGGAGTATGGTTGGAGTTGAAATTTTTTAGAGAGCTCCTAAAATAGCTTTCTTATATTCTTAGCCAAATTTTAGCTAAGAAATAGAGAGCATCATTGTGGATGCTCTAACTCTTTGTAAATGGAGTTTCGAAGTCCACGAGATCGGCTTTCAAGTCTTGTTTTCCTTTTTCTTAGAGCAAAAATAAATAAAGAAGTTATTCAATTAAATCCAAGTCATCAACAATATTCCTCTTTTCAGCCTTCATACAAGCATGCAACATTTGAAGCATAGAGTGTATATTTCCATCATGAGCTGGTGAATGATCTCCAGCAACAAATCTATATGCCTTGTGACCAACATGCACTAAACTGTAGCCAGCCACAACCCTAACCCCTCTTTCCTTCAACAAGCTTCTCATACTAGCAGCATCAACCCACAACCCGCTTGCTGCATAAATACTTGATGCCAGTAAATACCCAGCTGAGTTTCCAGGCTCCAACTCAAGGACATGAGAGGCAGCTTCTAGACCAACTTCGCTGTTCCTACAGCTTCTACAAGCACTCAATAGTGCACCCCAAGCATTGCTTGCCCGGGCAGCCACCTTCAAATCTTGCGGAAATCTTTTGATAAACTCCATTGCCATTACAAGCTTCCCCGCTCGACCCAACATGTCAACTACGCAAGTGTAATGTTCCAATCTTGATTCAACTCCATGATCCTGAGCCATTGAGTTGAACAAGGAAACACCCTCTTCAACCAAGCCTCCATGGCTACAGGCAGATAGCACAGAAAGAATGGTCACTGCATTGGGCTTCAAACCATACAGCTTCATTTCTGCAAGCAAAGCTAAGGCTTCATGGCCAAGACCGTTCATTCCATATGCCGCTATCATGGCACTCCATGACACAGTGTTTTTTTCAAGAATTTGTCCAAAGGCCTTTCTTGATTCTTCTATTGCCCCACATTTCGAGTACATGTCAACAATTGCAGTGCCAACGGCTACTTCTGCTGACAAACCTGTTCTAATAGCAATTCCATGCGCCCATTTTGACCTCTTCAATTCAGCTGAAGCTGAACAAGCCTCGAAAAGATTTATAATGGTGATCTCATTGGGCTTCTGGTCTTGTGCCTGCAACTGCATCATCTCATGGAAGACGGCAATTGCTTCCTCAGGTCTACCACAACTGGCAAACCCTGAAATCATGGTGCTCCATGAAACCACATCTCTTTTCTTCACCCCATTAAAAAGTTTCCAGGCAAGGTCAACATCATTGCACTTTGCATAAGTATCAATGAGAGAATTCAGGAGTAATTCATTTGATACATATCCCCGCCTGATTGTTACACAGTGCACGGACTTGCAATGAAACATGCGCAAATGCTTGGATGTTTGAAGAACATTCACAAGTGTCACTTCATCTGCCTCAATTCCTTCCTTTCCCATAGAATAAAACAGTGTTAGGGCATCCAAATGCCTCTCATTAAAGACAAATCCTGTCAAAATGGAATTCCATGAGACTCTATTTCTTCGTGGCATCGCGTCAAAAACTTTAAAGGCAGAATCTGCATCCTGACACTTGGAATACATATCAATTAAAGAATTTCCAACAAACAGATCACAATCTAAACCTCTATAGATTACCAACCCATGGACCGATGTTCCCATGGTCAAGTCCTTCAAATGAGTGCATGCTTTAAGAATACTGACCATACATAAACCATCTGGCTCAATACCACGCTCATATACCATCTTTTGGAACATCAGCATCCCAATCTGAGCTTCCTCACAATGCACAAAACCACCAATCACCACACTCCAAGAGATGACATCTTTGTCACGCATTTCATCAAACAATTTCTGCGCACTGTCCATGTCAGCTTCTTCTGCATACAGACTCAACAAAGAGTTTTGAACTGAAGATACAGAACAAAACCCCCCTCGAATCACGTAACCATGTACTATCAGACCCTCAAACTTATCTCGAAGGCGACGGCAAGCTTGAATTACAAGCACCAAAGTAGAAGTATTGGGTTGAAACCCATCAACACAAACCCTAGCCTTGTTAAACCACCACAACCCTTGTACTAAATCACCCCCATCAAGGTACCCATAAGCCAATATATTCCAAGAAACTCCATCTCTGCTCCTCATACAGTTAAAAACACCCAATGCAGAATCTAGGTCCCCTGTTTTGATGTAAAAGTCCATGGTGGAATTACCAATGGAAGTGTAGGATTCAAATCCATTCTTGATCAAACATCCATGTACTGACTTTCCATAGGTATGAGAGAGAAGATTTGAACATGCTTTGAGAATAGGAGGGAAGGCTGAAGGGTCTGCTAGTTGAAGTCCAGCTTTCTTGATTTCATGGTAGTGGCAGAGCAGTTCTTGCCATTTTCCATTAGATGATAACTCTTTGAGCCTCGAATTGCAATTAGAAACACCCAAGTGAAAGCTTCGGAAACGCATTTCCAATATGCCGCACATATGCACATGCTATTATCATGGACTCTTATTGTAAATTGTAATAAAGTCTGATATTTGTAGAGTTCGAGTATAGTATTAATAAATAAATACACGTTTTATAACATAAATGAATTAATAACATCAGTGGCAGCCGCAGGGAAGAATTTCTCATTAATTGACAAGTGTTTTTGAGCAAAATACACACTCCTCTGAGTAAAAAATTCAGTCCAATTCTTTTTCTCATAAAGGTTTTCGGCAATTTTTCCGAATTGTAACTTGGGAGAAGTTTTTTGCAGAAACGTCCTGTTCTCTTTCTGGACGCATAACATCATCTCTGATAGAAATAAAGAATTTTGAATTTCCATTTCTTCTTGGACAACAAATTTTACAAGAGCATGTGTGTTTGAAGGGGGAGGGGGGAGGGGGGAGGGGGTGTTTAGTTTTCTTCTATTCACTGATGCTACAAAGTCGAAGATAAGGGTTATCAAACATTACATATTTTGACCAGTATGCCTTGTACTTCGAAATAGCCAAATCTAGCCATGGCTTGTAGTTTCCATTGTAATGGATAACAGCTGCATTCTCTATTGCTGTTTGATTGAGGGCTGGGTCGTAGCCAAGTCCCAACGCATGCCAGCCCCGATCCAGCGGATGGGTCAGGTTATAAAAGGTTATCAGTCCTGGTGGCAATGTACCAAGCTTCCAAAGAGTTCTATCCTCATTCTGCAAAACAGTTATTCCATCATCATTCGCCATAAAATTTGAACACACCTAGCTTACATAATAAAACAGGCATAAAATTTTTTTAAAAAATTAAAAAAAATTAAGCAACCAACAAGAATATGTAATATGAGTTGAGAATAAAAAAATGGGGATCAAGGGAAGAAATGAATGTAATGAAACTTTACCATGTCTTGCCAACGATGATATATTCCAGTGATGTTTCGCTTCCTCCACTCCTTCAAGTCAAAGATATTCATGCCGAATGCCCAGCCACAAGCATTTGGATCGAAATTTGCATAGATTATTGGACTTGAGAAGTTGAGATATTTATCATACCGATGGAAGCTCTCTTTACAGGTCTCCACTGCACCATTTACCATCCCTTGAAGATCAATAGACCAAAGAGGTGTCAAATCCTTCTGAACTACAATATCATCATCCAAAAATAGGATCTTGTCCAACTTTGGGTAAACATCAGGAAGGTAGAATCTGAGATGATTCAGCAGGGACAAGTATTTTGGATTCCGATATTTGAGATGATCAGAACCCAGAGAGAGGGATGAAGGATGATTTGCCTTGAAATAATATTCTTGAAGTCTGGCAGATTCAAGTTGACGGAGAACAGAACACGAAGAAGAATTCAGCCACTTGAAATCATCAATGTTTTCAACCTGGATTGTTGCTCCTACAGGAGGGTTGACAAGAAACCACATTCTCATAGCAGCATAATTTAGTTTATCGGTGACTACATGGAAAACATGCTTGTTGGGTTCCTTCGCATGCAGCACAGTAGAATTAACAACCACTGATGTCGCTAGAACATTATCGGAAAAGATAGCATAGTGATAGAGAGAAGGATCCTGAAGCTTTTCTTTGTTTACATCCTCTCTACTATGATAACCCAGCAAGAAATAGTCGGATGCAAGTTGTAGAGGAAGGCAATGTAACGGTTTAGGGACTGTTTTTGCGGCAAGCTGAGTCAAGAATGCACTCTTTTTCTTCAGATCACTTACATTCTCTTCAGTTGACTGAAGCATGGCTCTTAGCTTCCTTTCCACAGTGAGGCAGTCATATAATTTGTCCTTTGCTATAGAGAGAACGCGACCCATTGCTTTTGCTTGGTTAAGTGCACTGGTAAAAGGAAAAATAAAAAAAACAAAAAAAAACTAAGCATGAAAAATCAAGACCAAGCCTGGTAAGCTTGCAACCAGAAAAAGAATAGCAAAAACCTCGAATGAAGCTCAACATCAGAACTCGCTTCTCCGATAGCATGCTGACTAAGTTTAGAGTGTTTCATGAGAGAATTATAAAGATCGCTTTCATTCTTAGACTTGGCAATGTTTGCGTAAGCTTTGGCCATTATAATCTGATCCAGCATAAGTTTCAAGGTTGAATCAGAATTTGGGCTTTCATAATCACTTCTCCATATGCTGTACTTTCCCTTGACAATGGGTTCAAAGCCTTTTGATCGTTCAATTGCTGCTGCTGCCATCTGGTTATTAGCTTCTTTATCTTTTCCTATCAACTCTGCAGTCCGAAGATTCCTCCTTTCTTGCCGCATTTCCTAACAGGCCAGGAAAACCATCAAAACCCCAACCCAACAGAACAAAACGATTACAGTGAAGTAAAATAAGAAGCATTTGACAATTCACCCGCCGCTTGAGCTTCACTGGGCTCATTGATGATAGACGAGAATATGGAAGTTCATTTATTCCAGCTTGATGATCATCTGGAGGATGCTCAGTCTGCTCTTCAAAGGTCATTCCAGATTGAAATGGATCCTCAACCATCTGGAAATTAGCACTGACTAGTAAATTTCCTGTCAATGTTTCTATCTACAAAATACAACTCCAAACCAGTTGAGCTAAAACAAATAGAAATATTAAAGGTTGTGAAAGATCTATCTACATGGCATTCGTTGCCTCCAATATGAAAGGGAACTGAATATCCAATACCTGAAAACTCTTTGGATGGTCATGCCTTCCATCAATAGGATTTTCCAAGACCCAGGAAGCAGACAGATCCCCCATTTTAACCCTACTACTCCGCACAGCTCCAAGATTGTTGCTGTATGTCGCAATTATGTCAATATTCTGTGTGGAATACGATAAACATAAGCACCAATGTTATCTACTCTGAACAAAAAGAAAAGTACCCGTTACCAATTACCTTTTCATCTGGAAGAGTGCTGGCTCCAACGACAGAAGATACACCTTCTTCCTGTTCAGTCAACATTTGACCATATAGTAAAGATTTTGCAACATGATATGTTGTTTACATAACAGCCATTTCAATTAGAGATAAAGATGAGCATGAAGGAGGGGTTTGTGGGTGTCTGTCAAAGATACATATCCCTTCAGCAATTAATCAACTCTGTTACCACCTATCATATGAATTCTATCAATCATGTATAGCTCCACAGGTATCATGTTCTCTTCCCCTGTTCATCACTCTCTCCCTCTCTTCCCATCTCCTACTCTCCCTCCCTCTATCCTCTCTCATATAGCGATCAGTGAGGGAACTTAAATTATTGAAGATCAAAATACAACTCTATTGGAACTATTCCCTTCGGCATAATGCATTTTCTTAGATCATCAAGAAGAATGGCAAAGGATATAATATACTAAATATTTAGTCATCTATATTACTAAATCTGAACTTACTCATGCAGAAACTATACTTGCTAACTTAGGTTCTGTTTTGTAATTCGTTGCAAAGGTATTCTGGACTTCAACATTTTCGAAGTACCCTTTTCAACCATATCTTGAATAAAGATAAAAAATCAACTGCTACAAGCATGCCGATGAAAAGGAAACGTACACAACCCCATGTAAAGATATCAAAGGGATACCAAATCACAAACAACTAAAGAAGTGTGTTTCTTACAGGTTGCATAACTATAGTAGTATCACCACAAGTGCATAGTTACTAAAATTAACATCAAATTTCAAAAGATGGGATGGGAACCTTGCTGTCTTGGCATTGCTCGCAATCACACAACGGTTGATATTTACTGATATATCTTCGACTGAAATAAATGCATATGAAAGGAAATCACCAACAGCAATCCAAACGATGAGAGAGTAACGAATTGGATAAAATCAAAAGAAGCAAATCCGAAAATCAAGAACAAAAAGGATCATACCTTGCTGAAGCATCGGATATATCTGCTCCAACTAGAACACAGTGTAAAGCAACCTGAATGAATTGATACATCAAACGCATAATTTAATACCGAATCTGAAATTAATTGATACAGAGCCAGATCAATACAGCATTAACTACTAAAGTAAGATTAGCATTAATCAATCTACATCAAACCCTAGAAAACCACAACGACAGCCCCAAAGAGCACGCAATGCATAGACAGGGTCAAAGCAATAGAAGCGCGATCCAATTCCAAGCAGAATCATCGCGAACGGACCGTTGAGAGGGAATGAAAAAGGAAGAGAAAGTAAATTGTTTACCAATGAGATACAGAGGACAAGCAGACGAACTTCCATTGCCGATGTACAGAAGAGGAGAGAGAGAGAGAGAGAGAGAGAGAGAATCGCTTCTATTTCTGAATTTCTGAATTTCCGATTCATTACGACGACATGGTCGTTCCCCTGTTTTTTTTTGCCTTTTTCCTTGTTACAAAAACGACATGTCATAAAGAGGTCTGTGTTAAACAGTCGAACGACATGGCCATATTGGAGTCTTCCTCAAAGTCAGAACTTCTTCATGGCACGTTATGTTTGGGAGGGAGTGTTTCTAGACTTGCTAAAAGCGCTTTTTAACAATCAAAAGTATTTTCGAGCGCTTTGACAGACCTACTTAAAAGTGTATAAAAGCATAAAAGAGCTTTCTACATAAGCACCTGAATTTCTAACAAATTTCCACGATCTTTTAATAAAATTGCTTATGAGCATATGTGGTTCTTAAAAGCACTGATTTACAGATACAATTACATGATTATTCAACTACTGTGATAAATTTACCCTCGCAGAGGTAAAAATGCTCAAGGAATTTCTTCAGATTTGCTTTTGATATACAAAATAATTGTAAATTTGTTCATTTCATTTCATTACAAACCTACAAAAGTAAAAGGTAACCTGACAATCAATGAATGCAGTAACTATAATATCCAGGCTTTTCTCCTTTTTTGCTCTCGACTCTTTTAAAGAATTTGATAACAAAATGGAGGGGTTGGGTTGTTGTGGCATGTAACTATAAATTTTGCCACCTGAAAAATCATAACTAAGGGCTCTACTAAACAAGTTTCCAGGCTCTCAAATCACCAAAGCTACACAATAATTACACTTTCACTGCTAACAAAACATACCCAGTTCAATACAACAAACTCATTCTAACCTCCCATTAATGAAGAAATGGGAATTTTTTGACATGATCTTGCCTAAGGAAAGGTCTGCGCTTGCTTGACAGCAGTCAGATCAGAGTTACCGCACTCGAGGTGACTGTTGGTAGGTTTGATTCCCATCCAGCCTGGGGTGAAGCGGTGAGCGATGATGCAGCGGCTTCTGGCCTTGTCGATGAGCCATAGGATGAGTTGAACGGGGCCTAGGCTCCCTTGAATGTTCATTGGCAGATTCAATCCGTTCCAATGTCTCCACAACATCCTTCATTGATGGCCGGTTTTTCTGTTCAGATTCAATGCACTTTAGAGCAAGCTGAGAAATTCGGAATGCAGCTTTGGCAGGATATTTTCCCTCCAACCGGGGGTCCATAATTCCTTTCAATTTTCTTTTATCTGATAGGAATGGCTTTATCCAGTCCACTAAATTATGTTTCCCACTCGGACGATTTTGATCAAGTGCATGCAAGCCTGTCAATATCTCGACCAGAACAACACCAAAACCATACACATCGCTTTTCACATACAAATGCCCTGTTCAATCAAACATGATATGAAGAATGTCATGGAATTTGGTAAGTGGCCTCAATATTTGGCCAAACCAAGGAGCCCACAAATTCAAAAGGTTACATAGAATTACCTGTGGCAACATACTCAGGAGCAGCATAACCATATGTACCCATAACTCGTGTTGTCACATGCGATTGACTAGCTGAAGGACCCATTTTTGCCAAGCCAAAGTCAGATATCTTGGCAATATACGACTGCAATACAACAAAAAGTTATAATAATAATAAAATAAAAAGAAGATTAATTTGTCAGTCGATAAGCAACTTCTGAGTTTCTTTTTTTTTATATTTTAGTCAGTATTTTCTAACCAAGCTTCAAACTTAAAAGCTACCGTGAAACCGAACCTCATGATTTATCAATTGAGCTGAAGCCTAAGAGTATCATTACTAATTTTTTTTCCTTTTTGGGTTTTGTAAGAGTATAATTATTTGAATTACACATGAGTTTATTCATAACAATGATTTGATGTTTCTTTCACCAGCATGATATGGTGGACAAGAATGAGATAGGTTGCACAGGTAGTGGTTGAAAACATGCCAAGGAAATGAGTACTATAAGATATCCACCGTCATTAGCTTAGTTCTCGATAACTGTTCATAATCAAATAGAAGTTTACCCCATCAAGTAGTATGTTTGAAGCTTTGAAATCTCTATAGATTACTTGCTTCTCTGATGTATGCAAAAAAGCCAAGCCTCGAGCTGCTCCTATTGCAATTTTAAGCCGTATATCCCACGGAAGTGGCTGAACAGCTGAGCCCCCTGCAGAAGTAAAAAAAACGATGAAGTGTAAGGCAAAGGCAAAAAACGAACTTGATGTGTTTCAAAAACATATGAAGAACTTGCTGATTTGAAAAACGTATGACAAACTTGCATCACTTGTAAACACCCATATGCCTGCACACAGGGAAATGCTTGCATATATACCCAGTTATGTCAAAACTTATTTATGCTTTTTTTCTTACTTCCAAATAGATGGTTTTCCAAGCTACCCTTTTGCATGAACTCATACACGAGCAGCAGCTCCGTGTCCTCCAAACAGTATCCCAATAGCTTTACAAGATTAGGATGAGATAGTCGCCCTAAGAAATTCACCTCTGACTACACCAAAAAATAACAATCAGATAAGCACACAATGTGTAAACTAAATTGACTTGATACACTGTTTACAAACTTTATACTTTTGGAAAATGGGTCAAATATGCGAGAAATCCTCCAAATGTACAATTTATGTATGTGTGCAATGGATGTGAGAGAGAGAGAGAGAGAGAGAGATCATGGCTTGAGTTGAGGGGTTGGAATAAAAGAACTCTGGCCACTTGGCCCTTTTTTGTTCAACTAGAATCCACAATATCATCAAATTGTTTTATTACTCCGAACTCTAAATGTCCCTTAAGTTGTTGTGGACTCAGGGCACCAGCTGGATAAACAAATCGGCACTCCACCCTCCTAAATAAGCAGTGGATACCACAGCAATCGAAGTTTCAAAGATAGTTAACTAATTCACAGTTTAACTTTCGTCTACAAGATTCTAACATCTCAAAACAATATTTTCCAATTTGGATTAACCTATCTAAGGGGTCATTTAAAAATAAGATTAGAGGTAACAAGCTAAACTGCTAAGACAAAAACAACTGAACGTCACCAATTATATTAATTATTTCCCAAGTAGAGTTAAATTACCTGCCATTCCTCAAACCCTTGCAAGCTCTCAGAACTCAATTTTTTCACAGCAATCACTGTGGTTTTTCCAGACTTGGTTGGTGCCTTTTCATCAAGCCAACCTTTGAAGACCATCCCAAAGCCTCCCTCCCCAAGAACTGTATCTGATCTGAAGTTTCTGGTTGCAGCCTTCAATTCTAAATAACTGAAGATCCTCAAGTTTGGGGTGGGTAAGATCTGCCCATGTGGACTGGCCTCATCGCCACTTGCTGCCGAGAACTGGCTATTCCGAGATAAAGTACTCCCCCCTGAAGATGTGGTGTTACTGGTTGTCTGAGATATGTTACTGACCACTGAAGAAGAAACAGTATAAAGTTAGAAACGATACTCACATGAAAAAGAATGGAACTTTTTTTTTCTTTTTGTCATGTAGCAAGTCACAAGAATATCAACTTTCACTTAGACATCCAAGAAATTCCAAGAGAAACAAAATCTAGTAACTTGAATAATGAATCAGATCAGAATATTCATTATTCAATTACTGGTCAAAACATAGTTCAGAAACATAATTTTGCATTTGAAAAGAAGGAACTTTGGCATGAAGTTTGGATTTCAATTGATCATAGGCATTGCTCAAAATCTAGTAAGAGAAAAATCAAATGCAACAAAACCCAAATGAAAATTTGAAGAGTCAATGGAATCTAGTGAACGACAAGAACAAATCATCAAAATTTACTTGTGGGCTACCTGTAGTGAGATCACCAGTAGTTACTGGCGTTGGGTTCTCAGCTGGAGAACCCCAGCAAATCCCCATCTTTGTCTCTCTCTTCTCTTCTTGTTGGATGCTATGTGGACAAACAGATGATGACGAAGAATTTGATAACTGGTCCTTTTCTCCTTCTCTGGTCTTATCAACTATACTATCTCCTTCAAGCTTCAAACCACTAAATGGGTCTTTCTCTCTCTCTCTCTTCCCTCTCTCCCTCCACTATCCGCAGAAAGAAAAGAAACGGGAAAACGAAAATAAAAAAAGCATCCGACTTTGTTATGTCTGTGTTTTGTGCACTTCACCCAATTTAGCATCCAAAGGATGGAAAAAAATGAGAGCTTTCAGAGACCGATTCAATAAAAAAAACACGGTTAAGAGGTCCCCGGTGATGCAGAAAGCAGACTAAAATGATGTTGTTGTCTGTTCTAAGTCAACTGCCGTGGCGTTGTGAACGAGTCAGTCAAGGAAACAATTTCCATTCAAAGAAAGCAACCAGAGAGAGAGTGGAAATTAATAAATTAATAAATTAATAAATATCCAAAGGGACATCTGACTGAAAAAAATCACTTAATTGTCGGTCACGCTATTATTATTAGATAGTCCGTTGTCCTAAACAAAGAGGTCTTTCTGTTGTGCCTATAAATTCTTTTTAATGTATATCAAATCATCTTTTCACTGGAGAGCAGAAAACTTTTCCAAAATGCAGTTTGGGTCAATGCGACTGACCATGGAGTGTTTGACTGATCTCCTGTTGTTAGCCATTGAACTTGACAACTTTCTTTCCTTCAAAGAGCCCAATTATCCATCTCTCGAACTTGAGACACTAGAAAGAACCAAACTTACCAAAGTTTGGGTCCAATTTTTTTCATTATTAACCTGTCATTAAAATGGAAAACCTTGTCTTCATTTGTTGTTTGTTTTTTGGTGTCTAGGAAGGAACCCACATGATCCAAGGTGACAGCTTGTCATAGATTAGCAATTTCTGATTTAAGAAAGAAAAGAAGAATGAAGTTGTACTTTGCATCATGCTTTTGTTGACCAAGTCTCTCACCAGAGCCACAACTCGCATGGTTCATCTTCCCCGGGCCCTCGTCATGGATCATGATCAAAAAGTCAAACCTATGATAGACTTTTCAGTAACAAGACAATTGGTACGACCCAAAGAAAACAGGCGGTTCTAGAAAAAGAGAAGGTAAAAATGTTCGGTGTTTGGTGTGTGTGAATATAACCATGAATCCGTATAAGTAACCTAGTACAAAAGAGGATAAAAACTCAAAACATCTTAGGTTCGAAAATTTCATAAAACACCAAAACCAATTGGCAACGAGGGAAGTAGTTCAACTTCTTATAAGCCATTGTTAGGTTTATCAACTTTTCAATGTGGGACTTTTTACCTTTACATTCTCACACGCCCCCGTACGTGTGGCAAATTTTCAAGCATAATACGTGGACAACACATATTGGGTGACGTGGAGCACGTATGGCCGTTGGGCTTTCACATGTGGGTTAACCTGCTCTGATACCATGAAGGAAGTTGAGGTTCCACCCCAAATCAAAGAAAGCAAATTCTCTCTTGTTTGTTGAGTTCTTCAATATTCATCTTCTTCCTCCAACCTCAATTCTTCTTCCTTATACTGTTAACACAAATAACATTCGGATTTAGAGTTACACTAGCAACAATAGCTTATGTCTGCATTGATTGTAAAATCTACTTACATCAACGGTTTACAATCACACACGGCCAAAAGAAAAACATTAGTTTCACAGCCTGATGCGGCAATAAGTCGCCTGCATCCAAGCACATTTAAACTTTTCCAAATGAAGTTGTATTATATGAGATAAGAGTGATTATATTACAAGTTGCAAGCAAAACCATTCATGTGACTCATAATGTCATCATATAAAGCCATGAACACATTATTGGATCTCAAGCAAACTTTATTTCTTTAGACTAACAAAGATTTCAAATGTTACATTACATTACATCATCGGCAAGCAGAGATACACTCCTTGGACTAAACAAGGATTCTAAATGTAAAATAGCTATCGTACATCATCAGGAACGCATCTAAGCTAAATCATGGTTTCGATCGATACAAATGAAACCTTTCTTTTACTTGTGGACCTAAGAATTAGGATACATTAATCTGTACATGAACAAACCTACTCTTTTACAGTACTGTTAGGCGAGGCTTCGCTCCGCATTAAAGGGAGACCTATCATTTCATCACTAGGAGGAAGTGAATCACCCACCATTCTATGGTTAACTTAATCAAAGGAGAATGGAAAATAGGAGTAAAAAAAATCAATTATTCTCAGAGCTGCAATGCTAAATCTGGCTGCGCTGAATCAGTCCGGCTAGAACTAGGAGAACTTGGGGACTGAAATCTGACGTTCAGATCAGGTGGAACTGAATCGGGTTTTTGTTGTGGTGACAATCCTGAATCCGGTTTCTGCTGTTGTGACAACCCTAGCAAAGACGGCCGGGGAGGAATCCCCAATGTCCGGGCTGCCAGTGCCTCTTTCACAGAATTTGGATATGAACCGGAAGAGTTTATCGTACCCGAATTTTCAGAAAACTTTGTTTCTTCTGAATTTAAGCTGGTTGACGCTGATGGTTGGATGAAGCTACTATTAGTCCTAGAGACCGTATCAAGCATTTGAGATGACTGGAAGTTAAAACCACCGGGCCTGGCCAATCCAACTAGCTTTCCCATCTGAGCAGGAAGGTTTAATCCATATGTTCCATTAAATCCATTGATCCCGGGTTGGATTACAGAATTTTGATGGATCTGAAATGGAGGTCTTGGCCTAATTACACCAAGATTGCTGCTCATATTAAACCCAGTACGAGAGTTCGATCCTTCAACAGTTTCTGCTTTTCCAGTGAGGGGTTCAGGCGATTTATTAGCGGCTACGTGGGGTGATGAGGTAGCAGCAACCAGAGGAGGAGGCCTGCTTATATGGCCTTCCAGCGCTGAAGGAACAGAAGGCACACGCTTTTCTGATGAGTTATATCCTGAAGGCTTGTCTGATGATTTATCTCTGTTAGGCTCAACAGAGCAAGATGTTGCAGCAGAAGATGAATTTGCACGGATGGGAATGGGCTCTGATGAATATGGCTGCTCTAGTGAGGCTGAGGCCAAAAGCAGTGGCCTATGTGGCACAACATCATTTTCTCCAACCCACCCAGGTCCAAACTTAACACCAGGGGGCAAAGACCTTTCAATCTTCTTTGCAGCAATGTTCCAAGCAACAGGTCCAATATTTGCAGCAAATCGGGTCAGGCTCCTTGCATAACCATAGTCTGAGTGAAGCCCTACCTGATTCACATAAAAGACGAGTCAACAGACCACACAAAGTAAAGTCTGCAAAAGGTAGCACATATGAAATCGCCCACCAAAAGGCAGGAAGCAGGAAACTTCTGATTAATATATCTAGGTATTCATACTAAGGTATCCTCCATCACTAACGTACATGGTCCTTATGCAAAGTTGTGACCAATTTCAGACACATAAGTATAAACTTAGAGAATTGAACAACAGTTGTATACGTACAGCCATTAGATGTTTCCTTTCTCTATCAAATGTAGTCAACACTGATGACTCTCGTCCACCAGCTGAAGGGTGAGATTGATTATATGTATTGCGCCTGTTCTCATCAAAAACAAATTGTTTTCTCCCAAGCTTCGAATTACCCCGCAACATGGAGCCTGAGATAATTTTTTTTTGGAAAAAGAGAACAGCACAAAACAGAACAGAAGACAGATTTAAATAAATAATCAAAGATCCATCAACCCTGTTAAATGGATATATGTAGCAACACCATAATTGATAAACACAGAAAAGTAACTCAAACCTGTGAAGTCATCATTCCTCTCAAATTTGTTATCAGCTAACCAACTAGTATAAACATCATTATTTCGTGAACCATGGAATCGCCCAGATGAATCTGCCAAACCAGACTTGTCCGAAAAATGAGGTCCTTTTCTCAGATCATAATTCGCATTTTCTGCCCCAGTAGCAAGAGTGGCATCTGAGAACTCTGAACCAGCACGCTCCAAGGAAGGCCTGCCCAGTGGTTTTTTCAAATTTTTGGTCGGTGGTCTACCTCTTCTTACAACCTTGGGTCCTGGCTCATTATCATCACTATCTTGTCTCAAATTATCAAAATTCTTTTTTGCTAGCTCGTGTATGGAGCGCGCCTGGAAAGAAGCCATCAAAGTTCAGAAAACACATAGATAGCCTCAAATGAGGTAAGAATAAGAGCTGGATCTAACTGTACCTGCCGAAAATATATAGTATCTGGGGCATTGTACTGCATTGCATTGGAGCATATTAAGAAGATATCACTCTGCAAAAGCATAAATCAAATTTTAATTCTGATGAACCAAAGTTCTTGCAATATTACAGAGCATCGCTCCTTCAACAATGGCCTAATGCAATTCTATGGCTAATTTTTCAACAGTTAAAAACAAAATTACTCGATTCTCCAATGGCCTAATGCAATTCTATGCCTTATTTTCAACAGTAGAAAAAATCAGTAATGTAGTACTCTATTAAAAAATATATTTTAGAATAAAACATATGTATCAGTGAATTCTTGGAACGTATAACGTTTAATCAAGTAGATTGCATAACATCAATACATGGTTAAATTTTTATTGCTTAAACTAAACAAGGAGTGAATTATATGCGGTCTATAACTGCAAAAGCAACATGGCAGTGGCCCAACTTTTAGGATGGAAACATCTGTTAACCTCCTCCCTGAGCATCCTCCACAATACATCGTCCATATCACGCATTAAGAACAATATCTGTTTCTGACAAATGCATCAGATCATTTGATCTTTTTGCTTCAGGGGAGGCGATCACAATTACATTGTATCACTAAATTGCAGTGTTTAATCTCCTTTACATAACAATATGCATTCTGCTAAAAACAGCAAGTACGTGTTCTCAAGAACATCGCAACCAAAGAATTTAAATTGAAGGTAGTCCATTAAGTATCTCTATTAAGTCACTGAATGAAGACAAGGAGCCATTTAGAAAAAGATAAGTTGGTAGACACGGAAATCAGCCTAGGTGATATTACTCTTATTAGGTACAACCATGTTAAAAAGCCGAGAGTAAGCCACCCAAGTTTATTTCACACTTCTGAACAGAATCTTCATTAACTCTCTCCCAAGTGAACTAAATTCTAGAACTGGACAGGAAAAGAAAAACACTAATTCTAGAAGTTAATGCTCCCATTGAGCACTAAAAATAGAAAGTACTTTATATTAACCTATTTGTGAACTAACGAAATACCCACTCTACTAATTATGTAACTTGCCAGAAAAATCAAATGACCAATGAAAAGGTAATAAGACTACAGCTTAAGTGTTTAACATTCAACTAACAACTCATCAAAAGACCTCAATTTTAGCAATACAAAATGTTTATAGCAGTGTTTTCAGAGAAGATTATTATGTGGATTCCTACTTACCACACCTTTTTAACCGTATTACACCAAATCTCTCATAATCAACCCACTGAACCAGCATGGCGAAAACACATCAAACACTGGTACAGGATAAGACCAAAAGCTGACTTGGGGAGATAGATCATTCCACTATTATGAACAAAACAGATGATGCAAGGAGGATTTAAAGAAGATGGAATCAGTGTAAGCTGACCTCAAACTGTTCCAAGCTAGTATACACTCCACTAGTAAGTTTCTTCTTCACCGTCCCAAAATCCATAGGATGCTCTATTACTTCATGGTAGTCCGGAAGCTGCACAGCAGAGGAAAAGTTCACTATAAAAAGGGAATCTTGACAACAGTCCTGGATGTTAATGCGTCGCCATTATATAAACTAACCTCTTTGGGGTCCACTGGTTCAGAAAACACACCGTACGTGTCCTTCCTGAAATAATTAAAAAAACAAATATCATCAAACGGGAAACTTAAAGGCCAGAACAAAGTAAGCAAAACACAAATTCAGAAACCCAAAAAACACACTTTTGAAGCCTGTCGAGAACGAACAGCAACAGCTTTTTATCAGGTAAAGGCGTAGAGGCTCCAGAATCCAACGCTGTCCCTCCTGCACAGGATTGCAAACTCATTGATGTCAAAAAAATAGCTTCCAAATGCAAATCCAAATGAAAATTCTTTCCATTATGAGCAAACCTTCGAGGGCGCTTGAAGGGTTTGTAGCTGAAATTGTCTTCTCACCCTGCAAAAGTGAATTAAATTTAGTAACCCAAAAACAGCACGGGAGCAGATGTACCAAATTTATTTCCATTGTGGGTGAGGAACCACTAGCAAAGTAGCTGTGAAAAGGCAAAGTAGCCAGGCATTCAAAGTGCCAAAAGGGGAAAATACAGTTACAAACTGTGAAATAATAAATTATAAAATTAAGAAAAGGAGAAAGGACAAATTTAAACTTTTAGCAGATATGACAGTCAAATCATTATTAGGCTTAGTGAATAAAAGATGAATTTAAGTTAGAGCTTAAAAATCCAGAAAATAAACACCAACAATTATGATCAGTTGAAAAAAATTCAAGAAATATATGTAGTTCTGCAAAATTCAAGACCGGAGAGAATTCCTAAAGACGGACCAGGTCAACCCATTTGCTAAGATTCTAGAAAAACCCCAAAAAAACGTTGTTCAAAGGTGCGAAATTCAAGGAATATTTGAATTTCCAAATATAATGTCAACGTATATTTTTCCAGACCCCCAGAAAATGACCCCAAAAAAAACAGGGATTTTTGGCGCTTCGAACCCGCGAAAATAAAAAACCCCAAACGAAAATCCTACCATTTTAACCCAAAACTTCAATACCTTTTGAGGGTGAGCGAGCCCAGATCCATCGCCGATCGCATTGATTTTGCGCTTCTTATCAACCTCCGGCGCAGCGTTATCGCCATCGGCGTTGGACTCGGAGCCGCCAGAGTTCAAAGACGCGGAATTGGCCGACGATTTCTGATTAGGAGGCAATCTGAGGACGAGCTTGAGCTTTTTCTCGCGGCGCTTCCCGGCCAAAACGTCGTCGTCCTCATCTTCGCCGTCGTCCTCGTCCTCGTTATCGTCGGGGTTAGGGTTGCGGCGGGTGGATCGACGAACCGGAGCCTTGGCGGAGTCGGCAGGGGCAGTCTTGTAATTAGGGTTGGAATGAGGGGCAGAGTTGTTTTTGCGCTTCTGCTGCTGTTGTTGTTGTTGCTGCAGCTGCTGCTCTTGTTCTCTGAGAGTCCGTTTTTGAAGATCTAAAAGAGAGGGCCGTCCTTTCTTCTTCTTCTTCCTCTCCACTACCTTACCCATTTTTGGTGCCCCCTCTCTCTCTCTCTCTCTCTCCCCCTCTCTCTCTCTAGGGAGACAACAAACAGGGTGTTATTTTTTAAAAAAATTAAAAAAAATTAAAAATTAAAACCAGTTTTTAGTTTATTTGTAATTTTTTACTTTATTTATTTGTATTTGTATGTGCGCAATGACTTTTGGGACGGAGGGGCATGCGAGTCACGTGATTCTCACACGGCTTTCGCGTGGCTCGACACGCGTTCCGGAAGATGCCAAACGACGCAAGTCGTGTCGGAACGAACCCGGTTCTGGCAAATGACTCGGGTTTTGTCTTTTATCTTCGACTGTCTACGAGGTTTTCTTCTTTTCTGTTTTTTTTGGTCGACACTGAATATGAGGTTCACAGTGTTTTAATGTACTTGTTGCCGTTGGGTTATTTAATAGTTTGGGTAGGGAAAGTTGGCTTACTTTTGTTAAGAATTATCCAAAACATTTACAAGTACAAATTTACTCTCATTACTTTGTGAAATTTATGAAGAACCATTTAAGTATGTGCAAAGCAAATAAGGTAAGAATCCTGAAACAGTTGGATTTCACACAATTTATTCATCATTTTTTTCTTTTCATCACCAAAATAGAGAATTCAACAAACGTTGGCTAGATCAGTTAGTCAGAATAGTGAGCTCGCTTTCTTGCATCCAAGTTCTATTCTTCCTTCCTGTATATTAAATTAATTTGTAGTTTTTTTTTTAAACTATCGATGTTTATTTGAAACCTTTTGCTATCTTTGTGATTGGTTTGTTAGTAAAGACTAAGCTCAAAAGATTGAGTATGGACTGTGGAATGAGTAACAAACTACGAGGTTTCGAATAACAAAATGTATTTGCTTGGTTGTAAATGGTATTTCTTACTACGTCGCATGTGATGATATGACACAAATCATTCGCAGGGTTTCAACTGGACCAAGTGATTGAAAGAAAGTTTCCTCTTTTAGACTCTCTGTTTCACAATACCTATCACAAGTTCCCATTTTGAGAATGAAAACAAAAGTTTCCATCAAATCCCACGCAAAATCCTGAAAAAAAGTGTAAAGCTTGATAGGGAGGAAGCTGTAATGGGACCCACTTTCTTTCCGTGGGCCCAGCGCATGACGTGGTGAGAGGTCAGACCTGGACGGACGGACCGACCTCGATGTAGCTTTGAGGAACCAAACCCCCTGTTCTGCAACAAAGTGAAAAATTGTGAAAACCAAAAGAACCCCAAATGTGTATAGCTGTGTTCGAATGGCAAAATCACCCAATTTACCCGCTCCTTCTGTTGTTCAACAGGGACGAGTTTAAAAGCAGGTGAGTCTGGCGCTTCTGGGTTGTTCTTAATTTTGTGTTTTTTGATTGATTTTGATTTTATTTTGTTGGGTGAATGAGCAAAAAGTACAAAGTGGGTTTGTTTTGGTTGAGTCTAACGCTTCTGGGTTGTTCTTAATTTTATATTTTTTGATTGATTTTGATTTGATTTGATTTGATTTAATTTGGTGAATGAGCTAAAACTACGAAGTTGGTTTGTTTTGGTTTTGGGTTTTGGAGGCCAACAAAGCCTTTGGCATGGTGGGAAGGAGGGAAGATCTTAGGGGGAAGAGATGGGCTGGCAGGAGGGACATGGCTGGCTTGTACCAGAGATGGCAAGGTGGCTTTTATCACAAATGTTAGAGAAGTTGAGAAACTTGCTCAAGCTAAGAGCAGAGGGGACCTCCCAGTTCGGTTCTTGGAGGTGATTTTTGTGTTTAATTTCATATCTACTCTATCTCCCACTCTAGCTGTTTGTTTTTTGTTCTCCATGAGCTGTTGTTAAGAAGCTTGGTTTGCATATTTTGATGGGAATTGGGAACCCATGAATTGAATTTCCTTAGGGACTTTGCCTGCTTTTTATGTATTGGATTGCAGTCTGAAATTAATACTCACTCAAGTGAAAAAGATTCAAGATTTAAGGTGTAGGTGAAAAATCATTCAAAATTAGAAATTGAGTAAGGGCTCGTTTGGATTGTAGTCTGAAATCATATCTGTAAGGAGATAATAGGTGGAACATAATATCTGCATATATCTGTTTATGTGTTTGTGGAAATTAATACTTAAGTGAAAAAGATTCAAGATTTAAGGTGAAGGTGAAAACTTCACTGAAATGAGGAAGTGGGTAAGTACTAAGTAGTTGAAAGGTGGAAATGTACTATAGGGAGTTTTAACTTTGATCATTTCATGTGATTCAATTGCTAACCAATTCTTCAGCTAATATCTAAAAGGAAATTTATTAATGTCCTGTTCTGCTTTCTTTGTCCCTTTTCTGATTCTCTCTGATGAATTCAACAACCATTGGACAATATGAGCTTGTTGCTATTTCTATTTCTTCTAAGCATGTTGATTTCCAGTCCAAATATTCAAATTAGTTTTCTGTCAAACTGATCCCTTTTGTTAGAGACAAGATGAGAAATATCACAGATTTCTGTGATTGCAGGGCAAAAAGAGTGCCATGGAGTTTGCTGAGGAAGTTGCGGAGGAGGCAGGTCAGTACAATGGGTTTAATCTGATCTTGGCTGATATTTGCTCCAAGGCCATGGTTTATGTAACCAACAGACCAAAGGAGGACAAAAGTTTTGTCACCGAGGTCTCACCTGGGATTCATGTACTGTCAAATGCAAAGCTTGATTCTCCTTGGCCTAAGGTACTAAGAAGGCATGTTGATTTGGCTGCATTGCCTTCAAATAGTAAAATAGATAACCCAATGAAGTTGGAGAGCCTTCATTGTTTAGCACAGGACTAATCACATAATCAATTGCTTCATTGTTTGGTTGGTTTGGCTTGTTTGCTTTAACATGGTTGCCATTTGTTCTGTTAGTTAAACCTCAAGCCTTCATTTTGAGTCAGCTTCTTCTTTTTCAGGTTCAACGACTAGGCGACAGTTTCAAAGAGCTATTACGCGAACACAGTGGCGACAATGATCTTCCGATGAAAGAAATGGTTGAAAAACTGATGATGAACACGATTAAAGATGATGAAGAAAGCTTGCTGCCTCACGTTTATCCTCCAGAACTGGAATACCATTTGAGTTCCATATTTGTAGAAAAAGCCCCTCAGCTGGTAGATCTAGCTCGCTCTCGTCCCTTCTAGTCTCTATCTCTGCTTTAACACAATTTCTCAAAGGCTTTCTGTTTTTCATAGGGACATTATGGCACCAGAAGCACATCAGCATTGTGTGTGAAGACAAGTGGGGAAGTTATCTACCATGAGAGATATCTGGAAAATGAACTGTGGAAAGAAGGGACAGTAACTTATCACATGGACACGGACAGAGGAGAAGAAGAAAAATAGTTTATGGTTCCTTTGCTAACCTTAAACCCCATCCCATCTGGGATTTTTCAGACAAAAGGCTTCATTATTGTGGCTAGTTCAGATTTTACAGATTCCGTCTCTGCTTACATGTGGGTTTATGGTGCCTTAAAACTAATCACTGAGATATGTTCATCTGAAAGGTTCGATTCCCCCTTCCCAATATCGCAAGCTAGCTTATATATCAAAAGAAAGATATGTTCATATGTGTAAACTCTCTGTTTCATTATTAATCAGTAACATAAGCATGAGGATCTCACAGCATGAATCCGCAAATTCTTGAAGCCCATCAAACTTTTAGAACCATATAGTTATAACTTGTAACACTGAAGAGTTTTATTGACTTGCATATGTATTTCTACAAGACAGAAGACAAACCATAGTCCTTACATAGAGCCAGAAAGTCTTAAACTACTTTTGATTACATGATACTATAGCATCACAGTGGTGATGGAAACTTCAGCTGTGCTAGTTAATTGAACTTTTTCCTATTTCCCCTTAATTAAGCAGCGCATGACACACATGCGCAACCCTCGCCGCACTTGCAGTAGGCCTTCCCGGTCTTGGTGCTGACGACGCTCTTAGCGCAAGTGCACGGGTTGCAGCCACAGTGCTGTCCGCACGAGCACGTCATGTGATCCCCGCCCCCGCTCGTGGCCTCGGTGGTGTTGGTACACCTGGTAATACGTATAGAATCAATATAAAATTGCGTCTCAAAATTCAATTTGGATTCGTATTCGAACATAGGTTACTTGCCTGCAAGTGACCCCACCGGGACAGGGATTTGGGCAGCCGCAACTATCGTTGCAGCTGGCCTTGATACCTCCGGCTGTGGTTGTATCCGCCATTTTGCTCCTTGGTTGAGATTACTGAGATGAGAGAGAGAAAGCTAGCAGCTAGCCTTGCACTCCACTTGCTTCCTTTTATAGTGCCTCCAAGGGCCATGCACCAATGCCATATGGCACTAAGAAAGAGCAACAAGTGGAACATATCGTGGGAGATTCTAGATTTTAGGCGTGGTGGAGGTGGCAATACATTTTCATGCATTTCTTGTAGCTGCACCACGTATAGATATATGCATCAATAATAATGTTAACATTATTTTTTTATTGTTACGCAAGACGACGAAAAGTTAACGTTCTTGAAAATTCCAGGCTCCATGGCTGATCTCATCCTCCTGACTTAAAAAGTCAAAACGCTATCTCCAACTTTGACTTTCTCTGGATCCTTCTTCGGTGCATTTTGGATTTTATATCTTGGAATATAATAAAAGAAGGGTAGCTCCAATTTAATTTTTTCATTTGACGTAACTAAAGACTCATTTTATATTATTTTAATTATTCTTTAAAATTAAAATGATTATCAAACGGACTCTAAATTTTTAAATTACTTATTTTTTTAGGGTTCGAAAGTTATTTTCATATGCAACTACGACCATTTTCAAGAGGTTCTGGTTTTTTTTTCCTTCCTCTTTGCCATAAATTTCAGTAGGTTGAAACTTGAAACCAATTAAAATTATCATATGGAGAAGAAATAAAGATTCGTTTCTTCTGTTTGTTTTCAACAACCTAACCTAACATTGAGCTAGGAAACAAAGGGAGGGGACCCATGAAGGGCTGTTTAAGGATGTTTTCTTATGTGAATTCATTGATTATGGCAGCAGCAGGCAGCAAATTAATTAGATCCACTAACTTTTTAGCTAGATTGAATAATTATCTCTGTACCATGACCTTTACTTTGGGGCATGCTGTGGGTCATACAAGTAATAATATGTAGGGTATGGCTTAGATATTTCGATCATATCATTGACAAAGTAGTAAGAAAATGTGAATGATTGTAAAAATCTATAATTGAGGTGCTTTGCTTTGTGTTTTCTTATCTTCATCATGATGCAAAATGAGAAAAAGTTACTTATATCTGGGATATTATTTATAGTGTTATTTCAAACTAATTATTTATTGTCATGTATTTTAATTTTTTCACATGATAATATAACTTTTCAACATGACAATACATATTTTATTAAAGGGAAATGTTGAGGAGACCAACTTTAGATACCAACTTGTGTACCAACTCTCTAATAGAGCGTGACACCCATTATATTGGTGGGCTCCACCTCTATTAGAGAATTAGTACACAAGTTGTATTTAAAGTTGATCTCTCTAGCATGACCCGTAAATGGGGTTCTCAAAGAAATTTTAATTTACTTTGGGTTGTAAACATGAACACTTTTTAGATGGAAAAAGAATAAGACTAAAAAGCTCTCAAATTTCCTATTTGAAAACGTGATAAACTATTGATTTGATGGATGAGCCAAGTGGGCAAAAGCTTTTGTGCTTGACAGGGAGTGTAATAATACAAGCTTAAAACCATGTCAATTATGCCAGCAAATAGTGGCCACTTTCTTTTTTAATACAATTGACAAGGCAAGTTGGGGACACCCAAAAAGGGAACAAACCTGTAGTAGGTCATATTCTACCAATTTTAGGTACAGTTAAGTTATGCAGTTGAAAACCTCGAATCTTTTCTCGATTATCTTTGGAAATTGTTATTAACACTTCGAAAAAGTCGGTTTTTGTATTCCTTCTATATATAAAAGTAAGGGTAAAGTAGCTCTTAAAAGAATATACGAGAACTATTTTAAAGTGCCAATAACAATAGTTGTATCTTATAGACATCTTTAACGATCAAGTTAATAGTAATTCTTTAAACTTTTCACCCTTCGAGACCCAAATACACTCAACCCTAATTTGTGCGACTCGATTGAATCATCAAGGGAAAGTCATGATCCCAATACCATAATTATCATCTTAATTTCCCACTAATAAATGACAAACATTTCTAGGATTGAGAATTTCAAAATGAATTCAGAAGAACAATTTGCCATGTCATCAATGGAGAAAAACAAAGCAGCACTTCCGACACAAGTCTATTAAGAAAAAATAAAAAAGGAAAAAGAAAATTGCTTCACTTATTCACGCTATCATCTGTTCAACTTCCATTTTGCATCTCTAGAAAAACAAAATGTTTTTTTTTATATAATATTTTTTGGTCAATGGGAAAGAGAAAAGCGACATTTGTTTATCACCACCGGCATCTGCAGACTGCAGAGAGTTTGGTATTGGTACCTTTTGGACCGACCCTATACATTATTTTTTGTAACGAACCTCTTGTTTATTTTCTTGCAAGCAGCCACTCCAAAGACTTTGCAAAAAATTGCAAGCCCCAATGCCTCTTCTCTCATCTTCTAATAAATTAATAATATTATTATGTCTACTTTTGTGGTCCCCAATATTAGCTGTAGATCACAAATGCGCCATTAAAGTTGGGTCATGGGGAGTATGGCCTCTTGCTCAAGTCTCTCTCTCTCTACCAAAGTATCACTGATTTGACTAGAAAAAGACTCAAATTTGCCACTCCCATCATAAAATAACTTACAAAAATCCATGCCCTCCTTCACCATCTTTAAATTAAGATGAGTTTTTTGGAGCATAATTATGTACACCTGTGTGTTTAATTTTCAATTTTTTATTTTTTTAAAAAAAAATTGGGATTTTTCGAGAATCTTCGTTGTGATTTTCTTTGCTTCACCAAAAAAGAAAAAGAAAGTTATGTCAAACCAGATATTATAAAAAAGGCGAAAACCATAACTTTAAAACAATTGAAACTATATGGATCAAAGTGAAATTTCGGAAAATGATATTTTAGCCTAAAGAATAAATGCTGAGGAGCAGGAAGAACCCACATGACCATTATGCTTGTAATTAGGTGGTGGTGGTGATTACTATTTGAAGCTATCTTTTTGCGTTATTTTTTTAACTTGCATAATATAAGATTACGTCCCCCAAATGACAAACAAGAATATCTAATCACAGTTTTGGACTTATGTTAAACAAATACTTTATTAATTCATTTAACATGGGTTTCCTTGTCTTGGTGTCAAGACATGCTAACCCCACTTGGCATTGTGACTTCAACTACCTCTATCAGTGTCTTCGACAACATGATCATGACGACGACTGTGAGATACGACATTTTTGGTTGCGCTAAGCATTCGCTCTGCTATGCACTTCGAGAAGAAGTTGGATACAACGGGATGCTATTTTGACGGTATTTCAAATCAATCATGTATTATTTTGACTATATTCGAATCAATCGTGCATTATCAAATAAGTGCATAATTAAGTTGGAGATGCTATTTTGAACGTGTTTCAAATCAATCATGCATTATCGCATAACAGTGCGCTTAATTAACTTGAGATATTATCAGTGTCATTTTTTCAAAAGCAAATTGGCCAATCCAAACTGTAAAAGGGCTCACAGTACTTGATTAAGCTCAGCTTTTTACTTAAACTTGTGGTACGAATTTCTTACCAACTTATGATTGAACAAAATTGCAAATGCAAATTTCCTTCAAATGGGGAAGAAAAAGGAAATGGCCGGAAAACCATATGAACATATAAACATAACACTATAAAATTTGATATCTAAATATCCTAAATATAAAAAAATAATATTAAAAAACTTACAATAAGCTCAAGCAAAGCTTAATTTATCCTCCTCCTCCTCCACCACCACCGCCACCCCAAACCCAGATTCCCTCCGCCCTATCCATCCTATAAATTAAGAAATATCAAAATAATACAATTTTCTTTTTCTTTTTTTTTCAAAATTCAATTTAGTCTAAAGCATTAGGCCCAGCGCAGGCCTTGAGAACAGGGCTCCAAATCCACTGCAACAAAAACTTCCTCCCTTTGCTTCCATTCACATTGAAGGTCCTGCCTTCCCTGTCCCGCATCACCTGCCCAATGTACCCGCCACCGCCGCCAGTACCGTACAATCCTTCGCACAAGTCTCCGATCTCCGTCGGCGCCGTTGGGTCTTCGCCGGCGTACCAGGCGTTGATCAGCGGGTTCGAGGCCAGCTCGGCGAGCTCGTGCCCGATCACACTGATCATCCCGTCCACACCCACGTCCCTGTTCGGGGGCGAGAGAGATCCCGGCCCACCTCCGCCCATGTACCCGGGGAGGGCAAACGGGTAGGCGCAGACCTCCGGGCACTGCTTGCCGGAGTTTCCGATCCAGGCGTAGGGGAGAGTGTGGCCCACCATGGAGGGGAAGGTGAAGTAGTGGAACCCACAAACCGCTCGACAAAAGTCCTGAACGGTGACGTCCTCGGAGGTGAGGATGAGGTAGACGCCGTGCTTGTGGTCGACGGGGAAGGGGGCTGATTTGACGGCGGAGGCGATGACCTGCTGGACGGAGAGGCGGGTGAGGTGGGTCCCGTGGGAGTAACGGAGGTCGGAGTACTGGCCAGCGACGACGACGTTTCGGGACACGTTGGCGCCGGTCTGATCGGTGTAGAGGGAGACGGTGCGCCACCACTCGGCGACGGAAGGGGCGGCGGCGGAGTGCGCATCGGCGGAGATGGATTGGATGAAGTCGGTGATGAGGAGCTTCTGGGATGGGGCCCACTTGCCGTACCAGATGAGGTAGATGTTGATGGGGGAGGAGGAGAGGACGGGGCCCATGTGGTAGCGGAGGTGGACGAGGTCGGAGGAGCCCTCGAACTTCTTTGAGGAGGAGATGGCGCGCGGCGGCAGCTTCGGGTTGATGAGCTCGTGAGTGTTCAGGGACTGAACTGAAGCACTGGCATTGGCACGTGCGAGTCCGCTGTCACGTACGAGGATGAGGACGAGGAGGAGGAAGAGGGAGATGAGATTTTTAGAGAGGGTCATTTTTTTGGTGTGGGGAAGATTGGAGAGAGGAGGAGGGAGGAGAAGGGATTATATAAAGGTGGGGGAATGGGAATCGGGAGGGAAATGGGCTGGAGACAGCTGCAAGGTGTGGGCACAGAAGAGAGAGAGAGAGTGTGATTTTTAGTCTTTTGCTTTGAGTGTCACTGTCCCTCTCTCTCTCCTCCCTCCTCTCTCTATCTTCTGTTTGTTCTGGAAAACCGGGAATCGGCTTTTTTGAGAGGTGCTTCTGTTTTGTATTTGTAAACAAAATGATTTTTTGTTTGTATTTTTATTTTTACGGTTCTATTGAATGAAAAAAAAAAAAAAAATTACATTTTGATCCCTTCGGTTTTGAATTCGATTTCATTTGGATTTCTGTAATTTACTTTGTTATAATCATAATTGCATGTGTCAAGTATTAAAAATAGTGGTGAGCATACATATTGAGTTAATGTAGTGAGCAAAAATATTTCCCAAAATGAATACTAAGCACAATGGACTATACATGTTAGCCGTAAATTTGTGTAAATTTTATTGTAAGATTCACATCATGGTTACATGGAAGATTATCTCTAACATGACTCATTCTACTTAATTTAGTCGACAAAAATGTAACCTATTAAGCTAGTTATATTTTTATATATAAGCAATATTCTACTTTAATCTGATTTAAATTATAGGAAGTGGGATTCGAACTCGAATGTAGAGTAAGAAGCACATCCGCTCTAGTCAATTGGGCTAAGCAAACGTATGCAACTAGTTACATATTTTTTTTTTTGTTAATTCACGATCTGAATACAATTGTTAATGAACTTATAAATGCTGAAAAATACTTCAAACCAATAAGTTAACACTCTTTGATCCCTTATATTTTTCTTTTATCATTTTTTAAATTATTTAGGAAAATTGAAATGATCAAGTACCATAATCACTTTGCCATTGACCATTAGGGTTTGTCGACATCCATGGGGAAGATAAGAAAGTGAGGAGGAAAGGGGATACAAATGTAAGGTGGGATGCTTTTAATTTTGGTAAAGGAGAAAACGTCCATGCCTTATTTTGTTTATCATTACAAAAATAAAACTGTACATCACCAATCTCATAAATAGAGAAACAAAGAAGGGAAAAAAACTACAAATCACACGTATCAAATAAATTCAAATATTCATAAATTTGTAACGTCAAACTAGTGACGTAGTTTATAACTCACTTCATCCTAGCAATTTTATTATATGTGAACTATTTGATGAGTTTTGCAGCTTTTTATTTATTTATCGATATACGAGTTTTGCAGCTTAGTTGTTCATTGAGGTATATAAATGGCAATTAAGTAATACTTTGGGATTAAAAAATTATTTTTATTTGTGAAAAAAAAAGGCTTGTTTTTATTGCGACAACGACTATATATATATATATATATATATATATATCTCCTAAAAGCTTGGGGCAATGTTTATTATTGCCAATATCAGTAGCACTGAATACAATTTTTATTTTCATTTATTTATTTTTGTCTGAAAAAAAACCAGTGAATGTTGAGCTGTCCGATTACAGCACAATCAGACAACTGAATACATTTTTGTCCCCATAATTGGTGGGAAAAAGTGTGAAAATTACGTTTAAAGTTGACCCAGAAATTCCATGATAAGCCAATCTTTCATTGACTTTGCTTTTGCACTAACTGAGAGGCCATTGCTCTGCACAAAAAGGCCCCCAAACTTTGAAGTGATGACCAAGAGGCCCAATGTATTTAACCTTATTATAGATATGAGTTTCCAAAAATATCTACTCATTTATGCCCACAGTCTCAAAATTACTTAAATGACACTATTAACAATTTAATACTTGAATTCAATGAAGAAAATTACTAAACTCAAAAGCATGCTTAGCCAAAAAGCTTGGCGATGGAGATGGGTTAAAACAAGAAAGACATCCCTCAGCCTAACAAACTCAAAAGCATCCTCAGCCACAAGTCTTGCAAACAGCTCAAATAAAATGAAATTTTGAATTTAGGGATATCGGCTTGATCTACAAAGCCCTCTGCTTTATCATCTCAGCATCTTTGCCATACAACAGACATATCCCACACTTTTTCACCTCCAACTCCTGCTCCGAAAAGCCATAATAATACCTCCCCCGTATGGTGAAGTCAACATTGACCTCAGTAACAAGTTTGTAAAACGCAGTGGGGCTTTGAGCTCCCTCTACAACTTCTTCAAAGGCACTACTATACCACCACACCAACACCTCAGGTGAATCTCCGCTGCTTCCAATCATGAACGGATTACACCGAGGATGGTTGACTTCATGGCTTTCACCATTACTAGTTTTGAAGTTGTACTTGCATCCAATTATCGGAAAATCTGAAGCAAAAACAACAACAAGAGATAGAGCGAAACCCAAGAAATCTGTGCTAAACCAATCACGAGGAAGCTCAATCTTTATTGAACATCCCTCACTTTTATGGCTGAACCATTTTGGAATTTCATTCCCACAACATCTAATGCCAACAGAAGATCCCTGTACCGTGGATATGGACATCATAGTTATTAAACTCGTGAAACAAAAAAGAGCAACTTCTTCAACAGAAGTGAGTTACAAAGAGAGAGAGAGAGAGAGAGAGAGAGAGAGAGAGAGAGAGATACCTCATTTGAATTATATGATGTTTTTTCAATTTTGTCTTCTTTAAACTTTGACGAAGCAGTTGCCATTCGCATAATTCTGAGCTGTGCATCAGCCATTATGTTGCTTCGTGCGTTCTCATCCAACTCTGGGCATTCAAAAAATATATGTTGCTCATGAAGCCCTCGAGAAAATTTATATTTTTCCCAACCTTGTGCGAGTGCAGTGCTTGAACTTGACACTGTCTTCAGTGACGTGCAACCTTCTGCTTCAAGATGTTGAAGCAATGGGGGGAGCTCTGGTAAAGATTCAAGGCTCTTGCAACTATGGAGGAACAGGTGCGACAATTGAGCAGCTTGTTTGATGCTTGCAGGTAAGCTCTTAATTTTGGAGCAACTCAAATCTAACACTTGTAATGAGGTTAAGCAAAAGAGCTCATCGGGGACAACCTCAAGGTTCTTGCAGTATTGGAGTTCTAATTCTCGAAGCGCAACTAGATTTCCAATTGATGGGGGTAGCTCTTTAACCGCTGTACGTGATAAATCTAGAAACTCCAGATGTTCCATAGGCTTCGAGATTTCTGGGAAGTTTTGAAAGTTAGAACAATCCTGGAGATCAAGGCTCCTTAGAGATTTCAACTTCCAAATGTTCGTTGGGAGACTCACAAGACTTTCGCAATTGATTAGTTTAATTGCAGTGAGACCAACGGCAGACTCTATTGATGCATTCCTCAATTCTTTTATTGTTGAACTACTCAACGCTAGCTCTGTTGTATCCCTGGGAAGCTCCCAAAACTCGCAAAGAGATTCGCAGCCTTCTAGACTAAGAGAGGGTTTCAGCTTACAAGTGTTGCTTGGAAGACTCTTAAGATGTTTACAAGATGTAATATCTAAGTGAGATATTTTTTCCTGAGACCAAACGGATGAAGGCAATTCCTCTATTGCTGTTAAAGACAAATCTAAGAATTCAAGATTGCATGGCATCTCGGGAAGATTTTTGAGATTTGTGCACCTCCCAAGGTCAAGATAAGTAAGCTTGCCAAGATGTTGAAAATACGAAGGAATTTCAACCAAACTTCGACAACTATTCAGATCTATATGTTCAATTTTTAGACTCTGAGAGAGATCTGGGACTTCAGTTAGTCGATTGCATCTAGCAAGATTGATCCGTTTTAAGTTCACAGGACTCTGTAACAAATTAAACAAGAATTAATAACTTATTAGCATTCACTGTAGATTAATACTTTCTCGGTCACATGTTATACAGGAACTAAAATAAGCATATATAATATACCTGGTCTTCATTCCAAAGTTGCCCCTCAACTTGGCTATACGGCATTTCAAGGACAACAAGATTTTGAGCAGAAAATTTTGATGGCAAAGATTTCAAAGGATAATTGCCCCAGTAGAGATATCTAAGAGAATTGGGAAGACCTAGAGAACCAATTAATGAAGTTGCGAGATGCTCATAAGAATGGACACATAGCCATCTCAGTTGATGCATCTTTTCGAAGTTTGCATATTCCATCTCAAGCCAATCAAAGGATATGGCTTGAACATGTCCATCACTCTGACAATCAAGAGCAACAATATAAATGTAAAATATAATATACAAAAAAAGTTTAATCAAAATTACATTTGTAGGAATAATCTGACTTGTGTATTGAAAATGTGAATAATTAAACTACCTGGTTATTTGCCAATAATTGATTGACATCCTTTGCCTTGAGTAACCTACTGCCTTGTTCTTGAGCAATTGCCTTACCCATTTCTTCCACCAAATCATGCATCTCTATCCATGCCTTGTCATAGGAATATGAAATTGATATGAGAGACCTATCAATAAGATCATTGATTCCCGCTTCCCCATGGAAACCAGAACCATCTAATACTTCTTTAACATAATTCCTCTCATTGCCTTTATGAAAACATGCTATATCAAGAAATATCTCCTTCTCATGTTTTCCTAATCCATCGTAACTTATTCTCAACACTTGATTGATTTCTTCGTCTGGAAATTCTCTCACTTTTTTCCATTGATCTTCCCACTCTTGTTTGCTCTTGCAACGACGGAATGAGGACCCCATAACTTTAAGAGCTAATGGAATGCCCTTAATATAATCCACCACCTCTCTTGAAAACTCAGTGTAATCTGTTGTCGGAGAATTATTTTCAAAAGCATGCGAATGAAAGAGCTCAAGACCTTCATCAGAACCTAATCCCTCAACATTGTATATCTTTTCAGGGTCAACCTTTTGCTCAAGTAGTCCTTTATCTCTAGCAGTTATAATGATTCGACTTCCTTGGCAAAACCGATAATCATCACCAACAAGATATTCTAGTTGTTTTCGAGCATTCACATCATCAAGAACAATGAGCGCCTTTGTAAGCCTGAGCCTATCTTGAATATGACGTGGTATAAACGGAGTGTTGATATTTACATCTTTATCCTTTAATAAATCACGAACAAGTGTATTTCTCAAGTGATATATCGCATCTCTCCCTTCTGAGTTCTCCCTAACATTTTTAAGAAAACAACAAGCTTCAAATTCAGAGGCAAGCCTGTTAAATACAGCATCAGCAAGGGTGGTCTTGCCAATACCACCCATGCCCAAAATACCTACACAGCAAACACCCGGTGAATCCAAGCATAATAACGACTCAATTTCCTCAATTTTCTTTTCAATTCCAACTAGACCTTTTAAATCACTTGCCAAACGACGTCGTTTTGGGCCAGGTTTGATGCTTGCAGGTAAGCTCTTAATTTCGGTCCCCCACATATTTAACACTTGTAATGAGGTTATGCAAAAGAGCTCATCGGGGAAAACCTCAAGGTTCTTGCAGTTTTGGAGATATAATTCTCGAAGCGCAACTAGATTTCTAATTGATGGGGGTAGCTCTTTAACCGCTGTACCTGATAAATTTAAAAACTCTAGATATTCCATAACCTCTGAGATTTCTGGGAAGTTTTGAAAGTTAGAACAATCCTGGAGATCAAGGCTCTTTAGAGATTTCAACTTCCAAATGTTCGTTGGGAGACTCACAAGACTTTCGCAATTGATTAGTTTAATTGCAGTGAGACCAACGGCAGACTCTATTGATGCATTCCTCAATTCTTTTATTGTTGAACTACTCAACGCTAGCTCTGTTGTATCCCTGGGAAGCTCCCAAAACTCGCAAAGAGATTCGCAGCCTTCTAGACTAAGAGAGGGTTTCAGCTTACAACTGTTGCTTGGAAGACTCTTAAGGTGTTTACAAGATGTAATAACTAAGTGAGATATTTTTTCGTGAGACCAAACTGAAGAAGGCAATTCCTCTATTGCTGTCGAAGACAAATCTAAGAATTCAAGATTGCATGGCATCTCGGGAAGATTTTTGAGATTTGTGCACCTCCCAAGGTCAAGATAAGTAAGCTTGCCAAGATGTTGAAAATACGAAGGAATTTCAACCAAACTTCGACAACTATTCAGATCTATATGTTCAATTTGTAGACTCTGAGAGAGATCTGGGACTTCAGTTAGTCGACTGCATCTAGCAAGATTGATCCGTTTTAAGTTCACAGGACTCTGTAACAAATTAAACAAGAATTAATAACTTAGCTTGCAGATTATTACTTTCTAGGCCACATGTTATACAAGAACTAAAATAAGCATATATAATATACCTGGTCTTCATTCCATAGTTGCCCCTCAACTTGGCTGTACGGCATTTCAAGGACAACAAGATTTTGAGCAGAAAATTTTGATGGCAAAGATTTCAAAGGATATTTGTACCAGCGAAGACATCTAAGAGAATTGGGAAGACCTAGAGAACCAATTAATGAAGTTGCGAGGTGCTCATAAGAATGGACACATACCCATCTCAGTTGATGCATCTTTTCGAAGTTTGCATATTCCATCTCAAGCCAATCAAAGGATATGGCTTGAACATGTCCATCACTCTGACAATCAAGAGCAACAATATAAATGTAAAATATAATATACAAAAAAAGTTTAATCAAAATTACATTTGTAGGAATAATCTGACTTGTGTATTGAAAATGTGAATAATTAAACTACCTGGTTATTTGCCAATAATTGATTGACATCCTTTGCTATGAGTAACCTACTGCCTTGTTCTTGAGCAATTGCCTTACCCATTTCTTCCACCAAATCATGCATCTCTATACATTCCTCGTCATAGGAATATGAAATTGATATGAGAGACCTATCAATAAGATCATTGATTCCCTTTTTCCCACGGAAACCAGAACCATCTAATACTTCTTTAACATAATTCCTCTCATAGCCTTTATGAAAACATGCTATATCAAGAAATATCGCCTTCTCATGTTTTCCTAATCCATCGTAACTTATTCTCAACACTTGATTGATTTCTTCGTCTGGAAATTCTTTCACTTTTTTCCATTGATCTTCCCACTCTTGTTTGCTCTTGCAACGACGGAATGAGGACCCCATAACTTTAAGAGCTAATGGAATGCCCTTAATATAATCCACCACCTCTCTTGACAACTCAGTGTAATCTGTTGTCGGAGACTTATTTCCAAAAGCATGCGAGTGAAAGAGCTCAAGACCTTCATCAGAACATAATCCCTCAACATTGTATATCCTTTCACGGTCAACTCTTTGCTCAAGTAGGCCTTGATCTCTAGAAGTTATAATGATTCGACTTCCTTGGCAAAACCGATCATCATCACCAACAAGATATTCTAGTTGTTTTCGAGCATTCACATCATCAAGAACAATGAGCGCCTTCGTACGCCTGAGCCTATCTTGAATATGACGTGGTATAGACAGAGTGTTGATATTTACACGTTCATCCTTTAATAATTCACGAACAAGTGTATTTCGCAAGTCATTTAGTCCATCCATTTTTTCTGATTTCTCCCTCACATTTGCAAGAAAACAACAAACTTCAAATTTAGATGAGTGCCTGTGAAATACAGCATCAGCAAGGGTGGTCTTGCCAATACCACCCATGCCCCAAATACCTACACAGCAAACACCTGGTGAACCCAAGCATAATAACGACTCAATTTTCCCAATTTTCTTTTCTATCCCAACCAGACCCTTTAAATCACTTGACGATTCGCGATTCAATTTGGTCAAAACATGTTGAGCAACTTTCTCAACAAAATCGGCCTCTGTCCTGGCAAATATCGTTATGAAAGACAAACAATAGTATGAGTAGAGTATGAATCAAATAATAAAAAAGTAGAAATTGATACAAATTAGAGAGTTAGTTACCCTGTTTTGCTGGAATAATGAAACCCAGACATATTGGCTGCTTCCTCCAAAGCAGCCCTCCAGTTGGCCACCTCATCCCTAATGCGCTTAAGTGGACGATCTTCAAGTGCATAAGTTCCCTGCTGTTTTCGTACATGTGATGGATCTATGCGATAAAAAATGGGTATAACAATCTGTCCATAGCTTTTCTTGCATCCAAGTATATGCACAAGTTCTTTCAAACACCAAGTGGAAGAAGCATAGTCTTTTGAGAAAATGACTAGTGCAATTATCGATTTCTCGATTGCTTCTAGAAGGGCAGGTCCAATGTCGTCTCCTTTCTCAAGTTTGTTATCTATGTAGGTCTCAATTTGCTTCCGACGTAAAGCCGCGTGAAGATGGCTGGTAAAAGCATCGCGTGTGTCCTCACCTCTGAAACTAAGAAACACATCGTACTTTTCTTGAAGGGGAGCAGGAAAAGGAAGAGAAGAAGAAGAAGAAGAATCCATATCCCTATCCAAAACCTGCAAACCTATCAAAACATGCATATATGCAAATAACGCTAGGTCCAAAAAATCTCCACAAACAAGTATAAGACAGCTAATGATTAAGTTAGAGTCAGTACCTCCAGATCAAAAAAGAAGCTCCAGAGATATCAATCGCCTTATCAGCAAATATTAAGAAAGAAATAATTGTATGATTATGAAGACCTACGTTGCACCTCAGTATGACGTCTAGAAAGAAATGGTAGAGCTTATAGCCATATCCAACTCAAAAGTAAAAATCAACGGTATCCATAAGATCTCATCCGAAGCCCATTCGGAAAATGGGCTCGGCCTGATTATTTCGAAGCCCATTCAGAAAATTTCGGAAGTTACTATCTTCGGAACATTCAGACAACAATTTCGAAATGTCACTTTGTTTTAATTTTCTTGTGAATCATGATTAAGCTAACCCCAAAACAAAATAATTCCGTACCTCATATTTTTCATGGTTTCCAGTTAAGCCAGACTTCTTGGTCCTCTTTTGCTTCTTTCGATGGTAGCCTGCTCAGGGACCTGATTGGTAACTTGAGGGTTGAAATCCACTTCGTTTGTCATTTATAGATCTGCAGTAAAACATATACGACGATCAGCAAATCAGATCTATTAGGTGAGTAAAAGAAACACAAATAGAGACTTCGGGGCAAACCTGCAGTGGTGGTGGTGGTGTTGCAAAAAGAAGGTCTACATGGGAAAGGGTTGTTTCGTTTTCCAAGAGCCAGGCACCAATTAAATGCAGTGTTAAAACTTGTTGGTTTTTGGATTGGGAAAATCTAAGTATTTTCGGTCGGGTGGCATGCATTAGGGTCCAATTAAAGGCCAATTAAGACAAGCCACGTATAAAGCAAGTTTTGAGCAAATTATTTGTGTTGCTTTGCTTTTTTGTTTTTTTAATCCTAAGGTGGATGACATTAATCTATTGGGAAAATATATATATATATATATATTTTGTTAGAGAAAAACAAGTCTATATATTTTTAACCAATAGTCTTAAATTAATATAGTCCTATGTTTAGCATATATGAATATATGAGTACTGAAATAAAACATATATAAGACTTATAAATAAATAAAAAGTAATTATAATTAAAAATTCGGAATTTTCCAAAAAATATTGGAAAAATCGGATAAAAAAGGGTTGGAAGTAGTTCGGAATTTGTCGAACTAGAATTTAAAATACATTTCGATTTCAATTCAAATTTTATCGGAAATATCAGATATCGGCACTTTCAAATATCAGAGGTATCAAAGTTGGATTTTTTTGGAATGTTTGGGACTAGAATGGGTCGCAATCAGATTTTCTCATTCAATTTACACCCCTAGAAGAGACCAAACCAAACCCATTACTAATAGATTGGTTTGGTTTGGTTGATACATATATATTCAATTCCAACTGTGATATTTCATTGCTCCAATACTTTAATGAAGGATTAAACTGAACCGAATCGCACCACATCCAATCCTACTTTACAGCGCCTCCACACCCATCTTGACATGACTTACAAGGTCCATCTTACACTCAAGTAACAAACAATTAAATTTAAAAAAAAATTTATGAGATTCTTACTCTTGTGTGTTCTTTATGCTTTGCTAGCTAGTTAATGCCTTAATCCAATGAGGAAAGAAACCCAATTTGCATTTTGATTGTTTGAACCCAAAAAAACTCAAATTCCATGGACACGTGACAATGACATCTCCTCCAAGACACACCAAAGTGGACAAGAGGCAACTTGGAAAATGTCCTTCCCAAGGGCAATCATAAAATCATTTTTGGTTGCAATCATTTTTCATCATTAAAAACCAGTGGTTACCTAATGGGCCGGGCTATTAAAACCAGGGGCAGTTTTGAAATATCGCAACAAACACAGTACCTTTTTTGTCATAAAGCAGAAAAAATAAATAAATTGATTAACGACGATCGTTTTAAAAAAAACTCATCGACATCTCCCAGTGTATCCGTCGTCGTTTTCTTTTTTCCTCCAAATCGGAGAAGAAAGACAGCAAATCTCTCTGTATGTCATTTTAGGGCTTCGAATTTTCGTTCCCAATTCTTGGTTTTCTGATTGCTCCGCTGCTCCTCAGGTGAACGGTAGCTTGAGCATGCGGCGCTCTTGATCTCATGGTCTGATCTTGGCGAATCGCAATTCGACGGTGGTGATGGCGTCGGCGCAAAACCAATCGGCGAATGTGGATCTCTTCGATGCTTATTTCCGACGAGCCGATTTGGACCGCGATGGCCGGATTAGTGGCAGCGAAGCCGTCGCTTTCTTCCAAGCCTCCGGTCTCCCCAAACCGGTCCTTGCGCAGGTACTCTCTCTCCTCTCTCTTCTTTTTGGTCGTATAAGCCGTCGCAAAACCAATCTATAGTTGTATTTATATCATAGTGTTTATGATTGTATATGTATAATGGTAGTGGTTGATCGGGCTTTGATGTTGATGGAAATGTGCTCTCAATCTGATTGTTTTGAATTTTTAGTCTTGTTTTGGCTGAAGCAGTTAATGTGAGCTCGGAATGTCCTAGTTCTCTGATGGGAGCTGAGCGCTTTCATTTTGTATTACTGTAAATGCGAATTGATTTTTATTTAGTTAATTTTCTGTAGTATGTTGGGAACAAATGGTACAAAATAAGCAGATGAAGAATATAGACTACTGTTAGTGAGGTTAAGAGAGCCATGTTATCTTGTCATTAAACTAACTTTTGTGTGTGTGTGCTCAATTGATAGTAGGTGGCAGGCAGACTTTAGAAATGCTATTTGTATGGATACTGTAAAATGTGACATCTTTGCATTGATGGGTCACTGAAAATTGTTTATTAAATTACAGTAATGTAGTGGTGCAAACCTACAGTATGATCTCGTTAGGTTTTCCAAGGTGTCAATGATAGTATAAGACTACTCCGGAATAGTTGGAATTTTAGCATACAACTGAAATGTTCATGGTTCATGATGATATCAACAAATGGTATTTTATGCTGTATATTTGTTTAGTTGGAGGAAAACTGTGCAAGATGATAACTGGGGGAATGATATGTTATCTATAAATGAATTAGAAGCACTTTGTAATTATCTTTTTCAACCGACATTTGGATGAGTTATAGTTTATATTTGCTTCTTATGTTCATTGGCAGATATGGGCAATCGCAGACCAGAGGCAGACTAGTTTCCTTGGTCGGGCAGAGTTTTACAATGCACTTAGACTTGTCACTGTGGCACAAAGTAAGCGAGAACTTACTCCAGAAATTGTGAAGGCAGCATTATATGGCCCAGCTGCAGCTAAAATACCTGCACCTCAAATAAATCTTGCGGCCACGGCTGCACCTCAGTTCAATTCTGCTCCAGCAGCACCTGTAACTCAGGGTGGTGCTGTTACTCCAACATCCTCTCAAACTCTTGGGCTCCGGGCCCCGCAAGTACCACCTCAGTATAATTCTGCTGCAGCAGCAACTGCAACTCAGGGCGGTGCTGTTACTCCGACGTCCTCCCAAAATCTTGGGTTCAGGGGACCACAGGTACAATCTCAGTTCAATCCTGCTGCGCAAGCACCTGCAACTCAGGGTGGTGCTGTTACTCCAGCATCCTCCCAAACCCTTGGATTCAGGGGGCCGCAAGTGCCTCCAAGTGTGAATGTGAACCAACAAAATTTCCTTTCTCAAGATGCTAAGTCAACGAGGCCTCCAGTGCCTCCATCTACTTCTGATTCCCAACCACCACAGGGTGTTGCCACTCAAGGGTTCCCTAGGGGAGGTTCAGTGGTACACCCTCATCCGCCAAACTCGAGTATGTCAAATGATTGGATTGGTGGAAGGACTGGTGGAGCTCCGACGGGGATACCCTCAACATCAGGACCAACAGCTTCCCTACCACCTAGACCGCAGGCAGGTTTTGGGATAAGACCATCAGGACCACCAGCTAAGGATTCCAAGTCATTAAATATATCCGGGAATGGGTTTACTCCTGATTCATCTTTTGGAGATGACGTGTTTTCTGCAACAGCATCTCAACCAAAGCAAAATCCTTCTGCACATGCATTTCCTCCTGGCAGTGTACCGGTCTCATCAGCCATTGTACCAGCTGCTGGGACCCAATCTTCAGCTAGCCCAAGTACTGTTGGTTCTTTGCAAAGTTCACACATGATACAACAGGTTGGTGGACAACCTCAGCAGGCCCAGTCATTTTCAAAGCCAAACCAACAGGTCTCTGCTCAGACTAGCCCATCTGGAGTTTCACTTGGAGCTGGGAACTCTTCTTCTAGTCAGTCCCATATACAATGGCCTAGGATGACTCAAAATGATGCTCAGAAGTATTCCAATATCTTTGTGAAAGTAGACACAGACAGAGATGGGAAAATCACTGGTGAACAAGCGCGCGACCTATTTCTAAAATGGGGACTACCAAGAGGTGGGACTAGTTTTGTTAAATTTATCTTTTGTCTTGTTATTTATAAGGCACAGTTTCTTCTTCTATGCTAGCTTGAAACTGCAACTGATGCCTCTTTGTAAAACTTGCATTACCCCTATCTCTGAGTTAAAGTTGTTTAATTTCCCTCGTCTGGGTGGTGGCTGACTCACAATATTTAGTTGGTGGCATTTAGTTCAGACTTCCTGATTATAACAGGCTAGATCATTAATTTATAAGTTTTTTGTGAGATACCTTGCCACATCTCTTTGTGACTTGGGAACATTCATAGAAACTTTAAAATGGATTCATGTCTGAATGTGCGGTCTATATTGATGGTTTGAAAACATATCTGCCGCATTGTCTTGCAAGGGAACATTACTATTGTAATTGGATATGAAATTTCAGTAGTTTTTAAAACTCGTATAATGCTCTTCCTTGTCTTCTACGAGCATTTAGTTCCCTCACTCTTTAACTGTATGCTATTGTTTACATCTGTCAGAGGTTTTGAAGCAGGTGTGGGACTTATCCGATCAGGATAATGATAGCATGCTTTCTCTCAGGGAGTTTTGTGTCGCACTATATTTGATGGAGCGGTATAGGGAGGGACGCCCTCTCCCAGCTGTGCTACCAAACAGTGTTATGTTTGATTTATCTAATATTTTTCAACCCACAAATCATTACAACCATGCTGGCAATGTAGCCTGGAGACCTGCATCTGGTATTCATCCATAAAACGAATCACTTTTTTTGAGATCATATGTCCTTTCATGGAGATTAGTTTCTTATTTTTCACTTTAAAAGGCGTTCAACAACAGCAACCGATACCTGGCCCTGGGGCTCGACACATGGCACCCCCGGTTGGAGGAAGGCCACCGAAGCCAGTTGCTCCTTCTCATGCTGATGAAAGGCCACAGACCAATCAGCAGAAACCAAGAGTACCAGAATTAGAGAAACATCTTTTAAATCAACTGAGTAAAGAGGAGATTAACTCCCTGGAATTAAAGTTCAAAGAAGCAACTGAAGCTGATAAAAAGGTACTTGAACTTTCCTGTTCCCCAAATTTGACAGTGCGAGCCATTTGTCTGTTCATCTGATGTTCGAGCTTTCCCTCTTTATGGTACAAGTTGTATACCATATGTATTGTGGTAAAAAACTGGCAGCTTATGTGTTTTTTATTCTGAGAGAGAATTTGCTTCCTGACTAATTCTAAGCGCTGGTATAACATTTTGGTTATATTGGCTTTATCCACAACCCAATTGGTTTAATCTGTTCTCTCTCTCTCTCTCTCTCTCTCTCTCTCTCTCTCTCTGACTTCCTCCCTCCCCCCCTCCCTTCCCCCTCCACTTTCTCCCTCCCTCTTTTTTCATGATGTAGCTCCAAAGCCAATTCATTTCCAGATTATCTCCTTATCTATGTATTATTTTTGCAAAGTTATATGTCTTTGTTACTTCCAGATACATGTCAAACATAACCAAAGAACTTGAAAATCTTGTGATTATGCGTTTTACTTTGAACTTAATATTGTTGTTTTAATTCATTATTCTGTTGAGAAGATTTTCATTAGGCTTAAGTAGGAAGGCTGTTCTGGCAATGAATCATGATCAGTTTTCCTTGAATTGCCAACTTATGGATAGGAATTTCCACATACTGTATTAAACTTTTGCTCCATTTTCAGCTTTTTTCCTTCAACCTTTTAATATGATTCCTTTTGTTTCTTGAAGGTAGAAGAACTGGAGAAAGAAATTTTGGATGCTAAAGAGAAAATTGAATACTTCCGTGTCAAAATGCAAGAACTTGTGAGTATCTCATGTTATCTTCTTCCCTTTCTTTCTTGCATGCCCCTGCTTGGGCATATTGTATATAATAAAGTTGTTTTACTTTTTGCTTCTGAATCTAATTGTTCAATGATGAGTGATAGATTTTTTATGTCCAAATCATTTGTTACTATTAACTAGTCCACAGACTTTTTACTATTTGATCTTCAGTGGTGTGGGAAAAACTTGTATAAAGTGTGGATGGTTGTGTTGTGAAGTAGCAGTGATTCTTGTGCTGACAAGGACCTGTTGGGAAGTTAGGGCAGAAAGTGTAGATCATGTGTTTTTTCATTATCGCTTTAATTTGTGGATGAGACTGTTTAGGGAAGGAAATTTGAGTTGGGTAATTCCAGCTGGGTACTCTTCTCTGTTTTGTAGAGGGCATGAGTAGTTTGGTGGGGTTATGAAGGCAAATGTTTTTTGGGATGCAGTGTTCTAGCAGCTATTTGGGTTTCATGGCTTGAGAAAAGCTAGAGGAGTTTATAAAACTTTATCGGGGTACGGAGTAGTGTTACGATAAAGTGTGATTTCGGCCATCACCTTGGGCTTCAACATCGTCTGAATTTCATGATGTATCTTTTCAGCCATATTCACTGATTGAAAAACAGCTGTTTTCTATTTTGATATTTTAATTAGATTGAAGGTTCTGTATGTTGGAAGAAATTATATTGTTCCTGTAGTCTAGTTTTCATTGTATTACTGTTTACGGTGGACACTTGTCCACAGAGATTGCACTGTTTGATTGAAATAAAATATTGTTTCCATTTATTTTATTTTAATTTTTAAGGATTGACTAGGACTCTTTGAGTTGAGGAGCTTTGGTAGTCAATTAAGAGGTCATTCTTATGCACCATAATAGTGATGAAATCAAGATCCAAATTTTGATCAACAATGTAGCAGGGTCATGGGAAAAATTTGTCATATGTATAATTTTAGACCATATTTCTGGAAGAGTTCACAGCTTGTGGTGTATTTCAAGGCGGCTTCACTATGTTACTTTAGGCAAATGACATTTTAAAAGGCATTTGATTCAAACATGTACTAATTTTATATCTAGATACAAGCATAAAAAAATGTAATTTTTATGCTTTCAGTTTTTGAATGCTTATATTGGATGATTGAGAATGATAATACTTTATTTTAAGTCTCACATGCGTTGGGTGTGGTGTTGAAATTAGCATGTTTGATGACCTTGTTTTTGCTATAATCTATCTTTTCCTTTTTGGTATAAGGTTTTGTACAAGAGCAGATGTGATAATCGCCTTAATGAGATCACAGAAAGGGCATCTGCTGATAAACGTGAGGTATGTTCTAGAATGCTTGAGCCTGAGCACATATTTACATTAATCTTTAGCTACTATTGACTTCATGATCCCTACATGATTTTAGGCCGAGTCCCTGGCCAAGAAATATGAGGAGAAATACAAACAAACTGGAGATGTAGCTTCCAAGCTGACTATTGAAGAAGCCACATTTCGTGATTTACAGGTACATGTAACTACATTTCAAAACTTTATGTACAATGCCTCCATATTGTGTTATGTTGCTCTTGCTCATTCAAATCTCAAAGTGTCACATGCTTGCTGTTTGTTAAGTTAAGATTTAAATTATAAATGTCTGTGCATGCGAGATGGCTTACTTTTATTGTTTTATGAGATAAGTAAGAATGGGAATTCAAAATCAAATAGGTCTTTATGTGTTTTACTTTTATGAGTAACAAACATAATACATTTTTTAGGATTTCTAGGAGTAGTGGGATAGAGAGAAAGTAGGGTCGGAAAAGAGAAAAATAATGGTGATAGCCCAAGTGGTGTATTCAATTTTTTATCACGGATTGGATTATGTTATGTGATTGATATGCAGGAGAAGAAAATGGAGCTATACAGGGCAATTGTCAAGATGGAGCAAGGAGGTGATGCTGATGGCACCCTTCAGGTATATTTAAACGTGGGTGGTTAATGGAAACCTTTGCAGAACTTGTCTAAGATAATTTCCAACTGAATTTTCAGGATCGGGTTGACCGTATCCAATTGGATCTTGATGAGCTTGTAAAAACTCTCAATGAGCGCTGCAAGAAGTATGGATTACGTGGAAAGCCTACAACATTAACTGAGCTTCCTTTTGGTAAGTTGATCTCTTTCCTTTGTTGATTTCTTGGGAAATTTGAAATCCTATATATACTCATAAGAGTAGTTCTATTAAGGATTAAAATATAATTCATAGAAAATGTTATGTGAAAAGTATGATTTATGAGAAAGTCCCATGAATGCCCTTGGAGTTTTCAAAATGATTTTTCTTTATCGAAATTATTTGAAGGATTTTACAACACTCTGGATAGTCAAATTATTTCGATTTAGTAAAAGCATTGTCTTTCTAGAAGCTGAAATCATTGGAAATCTTATGTAGTCTTGCAAATCTCTCTGATTTGTTTGTAAAAAAGAAAACATGTAACAGGATGGATTGAACTTATTCAAAGTCTGTAAGGTTTCATTAGTGTCATTTCTTTTTTTGTCTTTATAGTTCACTGCTGCAATATTTGTAGTTTTATTACATTTGGCCGTTTGAAACTTATCTTTGCTTTTATATAAGGCTGGCAACCGGGCATCCAAGAAGGAGCTGCTGACTGGGATGAAGATTGGGATAAATTTGAAGATGAAGGTATGCCATAAATGAGTTTACGTAGGTCCAAGATAGTCTCTGTGATTAGAAACTGCTGGTAACACTTAGATTTTTTAATTTAATTTTTCTTTTTTTCTTCCTGGGGTGAATGGAGTATATTGTCTACTGTTCATAGTTCCTATTTTTGTCTATATGTGGTCTGCTAATTTGATAAGGGATTGTAACTATTCAAGATGACTCATGTAGAAGTTCACTTTTCAGGATTCACTGTTGTCAAGGAGCTCACTCTTGATGTGCCAAATGTCTTGGCGCCTCCAAAACAGAAATCATCACCAGCTCAGAAAGAAAAAGCTCCCACAGTTGAGAGTCCAACAGCTGCTTCTTCACCTAAAGTTAATGAAAATTCAGAAAAGCCTCAGAGTGCAGATAGAAGGGTAGTTGAAAATGGAGCAGCATATGATAAAAATGAAAATGATTCAGCAAAAAGTGCTCCAAACAGTCCATTTGCTAGCAGTACTGTTGGAAGCCCATCTAGAGAATTTTCTGATTCTAACTTTGGAAAGACTACAGGTGCAGATGCCTCACCCCGTGAGAAGGAATTTCAAAGGTATAGTTCTAGATCATTAGTTTCTACATGTTTAAGATCACCTTGATTGGTTGCGTGTTGATGCACTACACTTAAACAAGCCTCATAGTGCCTTTTACTTGAAATGAATTATTTATCAACCTGTCTGGCCTTATGGTTTCGTTGCAATTCTCTACATTCTCGTCTTTCCTTAAATTGTGTGCCTCATACTTCTCACCTTGCTATAAATTATCTAATCATTTGCTATTTCAAGAAAACATTAATAATAAAAGAAAGAAAAAGAATCTAAGGATTAGTATTGTTGGTAGCTAATAGTTCGCTTGATATACAGTTTGTTATGTGTCAAAAGATCCTGGTTTTGAAGCCTCTCACCCCTTCTGCGCTTATCTGTTAATCTGCAAGCTGCATGTTTGGGCAATGCCCATATGTTCCCCTATGCCCCCCTATGTATGCTTCTGTGTCCTTCTCCACGTGCAGAATGGAATTGCACTTGAGAGAGGGTGTTAGCTTGATATACATATGGTTGGCACATTTGGTAACAAATTAATCTTTTTAATTCTGATGGTTGTCAAACAATCTTTGGACAATTTTGACTGTTGAGTACAATATAAGCTGCCAAACCTAATCCCATCCTTTGAACACTTAGATCTTCGCATGAATTTCATAAATAACATCTACACGAAAATATGTGGTTCTTAGCAAATATTTAAGCAATTCCTGTACAATATCGAATAGCCATGTCAAATGGCAATGCTTTTAGTCTTCTGATGCTCTTTGCTCTTTGTTTACCTAACTGTTTGTGTTCTTTTCTTTTAGTGCTGCTTCTTTAGTAAATTGATATCCTTAAATGACCACCTGATCATATTGGTGAAATCTGGCAAGAATCAAATGTCTTCTATTGTGTAAATCCTGATACCTGTAAAGTTTTTTAAATTCCAAATTTTCATGTGTAGTGATCATGGGGGTCCTGGGTCTGTGTTTGGTGACAAGAATTTTGATGAACCAGCGTGGGGAACATTTGACACTAATGATGACGTTGACTCTCTGTGGGGTTTCAATGCAGTTAGTACCACCAAGGTAAGCCAATATTGTGTTTGTTATTCTTTTTTGTTTGTTTTTGGTATTTAGTGTATTCAGTATTTATCTAATGGAAATCAGTACTCTCTGACCTTGTGTCTATGTTGACTGGATTTTGCTGCATGATTGTGGTTATTACCACCTAGTTGTTTGTGGTGGTGATTTGTCCATTATTTGATTATAATGGTTGCTGCCTCAAGTGATCTAATGCTGACTTGTTTAGTTATTAAATGAGGTGTAGATAATTTTAACAATACTAGTTTTTTTTTTTCTTTCTTATCATCACTTAGTTTCTAGTTCTGATGGAATCTTCATGTAAAGCACGTCTGTAGTAAGGTCTTTTAACTGACCAATTATGATCAAACCCAGTTGGTTCACTGCAGATACAAAAGGGGTTGTGAAATTGTTCTTGGTGCAGTTAAATGTAAATTGAGGAGACCATGATTTTGGCACTTGGACTTGGTTAATCAAAACCATTTTGGGTTTGCATGAAAAGGGAGTAAATAACATGGTTAAACAATCTAATGCAACTCTCTTAATCATAGTAAAGAATTGTGGTGAAAGGGAAAAGCAGGTCATATTTTAAGCTAAAACGTGAGCAATTCATTGTCATGTTATTTCTTGTTATTGGTTTTTGTACATGATGAAAATTTCTCATATTTGGTCCCCACCTAGAATGCATGTATTCTAGGTTCTAGTGAATGTTTTTTTTCTTATGGCTAGTGGTTACTTGCCTCTTTCAAGCTCTCTGTTTTTGCTGTGTTGTATTTGTGTTTGTTGTTCGCATGCTGGGTTGTGCTGTAACTGCTCTTAATCATACATGTAGGATATTGATCATGAGAGTAATAGAGATCACTACTTTTCTGGGCCTGGGGAGTTCGGCCTCAACCCTATCAGGACTGGGTCATCAGCAGGTGGCTTTTCCCAGAATAATCGTCCCTTTACTTTTGACGATTCCGTTCCTAGCACACCACTCTCGGTCTTCAATTCAGGATACTCACCTCCAAGGTACAAGGATAGTTCAGAACCCTCATTTGACACCTTCTCCAGGTTCGATTCGTTCAGAAGTACACAAGATAGTGGATTTTTCCCTCAACAAGAAACACTGGGAAGATTTGATTCTATGCGCAGCAGTAGAGACTTTGATCAGGGTCATGGGTTTCCAACATTGGATGACATCCCAGATCCTTTTGGCTCTTCAGCGCCATTTAGGACATCACTGGACAGTCAAACTCCAAGAAGAGACTCGGACCCTTTTGGGTCTTCCGGGCCATTTAGGACATCATGGGACAGTCAAACTCCAAGAAGAGACTCGGACCCTTTCGGGTCTTCAGCGCCATTTAGGACATCACTGGACAGTCAAACTCCGAGAAGAGACTCAGATACTTTTGGGTCTTCTCCATTTAGTACATCACTGGAGAGTCAAACTCCAAGACGAGACTCAGACCCCTTTGGGTCTTCAGGGCCTTTTAAGTTGTCAATGGAGAGTCAGACTCCAAGAAGAGACTCTGATCATTGGAGTGCATTTTAGCTGGGTAGTAGTTCTGCTTTGTATTTGTGTCTGCTATTCGCCATTCCAAGCCGTGTTAATGCAGCTTACTGATGAAGCTATTGGGGGACTGACGATTGTGTTTTATGTTTTGAAATCACTGAGCTTGTATTGTATCTTTTGTATTTCATATTGTGTATGCGCCTCTTTTTCTTGATTCTTATTCTTTAGCTTGTTGGATGACATATATCTTCTTTTCGGAAATTTCCCTAGTCCTGTTGAAGCGAGGACCTATAGGTTTTTTTCTTCTCTTTATTACACATTTGATGATTGTATTATTAAACTGAGTTATGTCTTCCTCTTTGGCCTCTGCTGTAATTTTTTGTTTGATCTCGAATAAAAGTTGTATTTGCCGATTCTCTCTCTCTCTCTCTACCCCCCACCCCCCCCCCCCAAAACATGAATGAACACAGAGTTTTGCTGATGTTGGTTTTAGCTGGATCATTCGTATATTTTGCTCATGCCATTTCAGTTCTCAAATTCTTTATGGCCTGAAGTATGAATGAGTTTATGAACGATAAAAATTGACAGAATAATGGGTTGTTACTTGTAAATGAATCTTGAGAATCACTCTAAATAACCCACAACACAATATGTTAATAATATCTCTACACAACACACAAAACAGAACAATAATGAGAGGGTTCATTATGAAAATATCAGCATCAATGCATCATATGCCTTTACAATCTTTGAATGATGATGCCATTTATGATCAAAATAAGATAACAATCTATAGGCAAGGAACAATCTTTTGGTAATGCAGAGAAAAACCATCAAGCTAGCCAAGGAATAGACGTCAACTCTCAACTCACATATCCTAATTGAATCATAAGTGCCCCATAGTAGGCTTATGATTAGGGTTCAAGGCTTGAGAAAGGTTTGAGACTCGGATTTAGGGTTTGGAGGCTCAAATCCATTTTGGAGTACTAAAATAATTTTCTAATAATTGAAACTATTTAAAAAATATATTCGGAAAGTAAAAATAATTTTAAAGTCCACAAAATTATTTAAGATAAGTAAATATAATTAATTAGTATGTATTAAGTAATTTATGAATTTAATTAAATGCTAATTATTCACTAAATAAGTAATAATTAAACATAATTACTAATTAATATAATTAAATACTGCTAAGATATTACTTAATTGCAAATATTAAACTAAACAAACTAATTTTTATATATATATAAAAAGTCCACAAAATAATTCAAAAAATTAATTACTACTTATGAAGTAATTTATGAAATTAGTAAAATATTTTATACTAATTATTCACTAAAATAAATAATAATTGAAACATAATTACTACTTAAAGTAATTTAAAAAAGCTAAGATATTACTTAATTACAAAAAAGAAAACCATTTTGTGTCCAAGCGCCCAGACCCGCCTAGGCGCCCGCCTAGAGCCTAGGCAACGATTTAATATCCTCTGTAGTTGATTTCGAGATCTGTCAACTTCCAAAGATGGATTCATTTGGTTCAGCATATTTAGGATTTTCCCAAAGTGATATCATATGCTAAACAAAGTGTACATGATGAGAGCATAGGCTGTTTGCTGTTGCTGCAATATTTTCCCGTTAGGAGCAATTGATTTTCTAATGTTCCAGCCTTTTTCCAGCCTCAGCCTGCTGCAGAAATTATTGCATTCAGGATGGGAGAACTAAGAAGAGGCCTTTCAAGATATCAGGGTATTGGTTTGGATGAGGCACTCATCGAAAAAGCTGGAATGATACTCATACAAGCTGAACGATTTTATTAGGGTGCTTTCAACCATGTGGTGCAGCAGATGGAGAATCATATTGCCTTGTATAACTTATATGCATGATCTTGCAGATTTCCTACTTTTCTTTTCCTTCGATGTTTCTCAGCAGTCTCATAAATTGACATGCTTCTATTCCTCAAAATGTAACCCTATCATTATTTACTGTTAAAGGAAAATGTTAATCTATTATGATCTCTGTAGGAGAAGGGATTTGAACACATGACCTCGGGTGTAGGGATAAATTTTCTTAACTACTTGAGTTACAAAATCATTGATGCTTTTCTTAGCATTTTGATGCCACCAAACAAGAGACACATCATCCCACATCCCAAGACCCAACTCCACCCAAGAACCCAAACAGGCCAAAAGCAACTCACACACCATTCAAAACTCCATTCTGTCCTTCCCTTCCCCACCTTCAAAACCCCATAAAACAAAATAAATTATCTCTCTGTTTTTTTCAATATTCATTCTTTGTTCTCTGGGCAGTAAAATGGGACATTGCTTATCTGGTGACTTAGAGCCAGCTCTGGTTGTGAAGAGGAGAACAACTATTATGAGGCATAGACAAGTAAACACTTTTGAAAATGATGAGAGAGCTGGAACCTATTTTCACTGCACAAGTACCATTTAATCTGCGCTGCTTGCTATCTCTTTTCTCGGCAATCATAGTAGAAGAAGTATATGTGGTCGTGGTGGTGATTGTTGTGCTGCTAATTGTGTTCTCGGTTTGATCTGATTTGGTGAGCTGAAGGTCCGGCACACTTATTATTGGGGTTACTTGTTGTGCATGACAAAGTATCTAACATGGACTCGTCCCCTTTGTTCACCATCATTTCTTTCACCAAATTCAAGCACTTGAACAAACTCTCCTGTAATGTAAGAGCAATAATAGGAACGTGTAATTTATATATGTCAAGTGGAAAAGAAAAAGGTTGTGCTTACTTTATTTACATATTGGCAAGATGATATTAAAGCTTTAAACGATGGAAACTGCAGTTGGATCAGCTTTTGAGAGCTTGTGTAAATGATGGGCTGTCAATTAGTACTTTCTTGAAGCACCGTGTTCGTTGATTTTGTAGGACACAATTGAATGTTGAAATGGTTTCCGATTTGTCTAATTTTTTGTAAGGATGATCTATGAATGAAGACCTAAAAAATAGATGGTTTGGATCATTGGAAAAAAAATTGTTTGGTATCCTAAAGGGCATCCCTCAAATAAAATTATTTGAGGGATCCCTCAATAGAAGGAGACTGTATATATACAGAGAGCTTCCATTGAGGGATCCCTTAAATAAACTTATTTGAGGGACACCCCTTGTAAGCCCTATTCCGGATTGTATTTCACTAATCCAAACCGTCTATTTTGTAGATACTCATTCAAAGATCATCTCTACAAAAAAATCACTTGAATCCAATATCATTTGACCATTCAATTGAGTTATTGAAATATTAGTACTTTCTTGAAGCACCGTGTTCGTTGATTTTGTAGGACACAATTGAATGTTGAAATGGTTTCCGATTTGTCTAATTTTTTGTAAGGATGATCTATGAATGAAGACCTAAAAAATAGATGGTTTGGATCATTGGAAAAAAAATTGTTGGGTATCCTAAAGGGCATCCCTCAAATAAAATTATTTGAGGGATCCCTCAATAGAAGGAGACTGTATATATACAAAGAGCTTCCATTGAGGGATCCCTCAAATAAACTTATTTGAGGGACACCCCTTGTAAGCCCTATTCCGGATTGTATTTCACTAATCCAAACCGTCTATTTTGTAGATACTCATTCAAAGATCATCTCTACAAAAAAATCACTTGAATCCAATATCATTTGACCATTCAATTGAGTTATTGAAATATTAGTACTTTCTTGAAGCACCGTGTTCGTTGATTTTGTAGGACACAATTGAATGTTGAAATGGTTTCCGATTTGTCTAATTTTTTGTAAGGATGATCTATGAATGAAGACCTAAAAAATAGATGGTTTGGATCATTGGAAAAAAAATTGTTGGGTATCCTAAAGGGCATCCCTCAAATAAAATTATTTGAGGGATCCCTCAATAGAAGGAGACTGTATATATACAAAGAGCTTCCATTGAGGGATCCCTCAAATAAACTTATTTGAGGGACACCCCTTGTAAGCCCTATTCCGGATTGTATTTCACTAATCCAAACCGTCTATTTTGTAGATACTCATTCAAAGATCATCTCTACAAAAAAAATCACTTGAATCCAATATCATTTGACCATTCAATTGAGTTATTGAAATATTAGTACTTTCTTGAAGCACCGTGTTCGTTGATTTTGTAGGACACAATTGAATGTTGAAATGGTTTCCGATTTGTCTAATTTTTTGTAAGGATGATCTATGAATGAAGACCTAAAAAATAGATGGTTTGGATCATTGGAAAAAAAATTGTTGGGTATCCTAAAGGGCATCCCTCAAATAAAATTATTTGAGGGATCCCTCAATAGAAGGAGACTGTATATATACAAAGAGCTTCCATTGAGGGATCCCTCAAATAAACTTATTTGAGGGACACCCCTTGTAAGCCCTATTCCGGATTGTATTTCACTAATCCAAACCGTCTATTTTGTAGATACTCATTCAAAGATCATCTCTACAAAAAAATCACTTGAATCCAATATCATTTGACCATTCAATTGAGTTATTGAAATATTAGTACTTTCTTGAAGCACCGTGTTCGTTGATTTTGTAGGACACAATTGAATGTTGAAATGGTTTCCGATTTGTCTAATTTTTTGTAAGGATGATCTATGAATGAAGACCTAAAAAATAGATGGTTTGGATCATTGGAAAAAAAATTGTTGGGTATCCTAAAGGGCATCCCTCAAATAAAATTATTTGAGGGATAGAAGGAGACTGTATATATATATATATATATATATATAAAAGAGCTTCCATTGAGATCTTTCAAATAAGCTTATTTGAGGGATACCCTTTGTAGAGCCCACTCTGGATTGTATTTCACTCATCCAAACCGTCTATTTTGTAGATACACATTCAAAGATCATCTCTACAAAAAATCACTTGAATCCGATATCATTTGACCATTCAATTGAGTTATTGAAATTTTAGTACTTTCTTGAAGCACCGTGTTCATTGATTTTGTAGGACACAATTGAATGTCGAAACGGTTTCCGATTTGTCTAAGTTTTTGTAAGGATGACCTATGAATGAAGACCTAAAAAATAGATGGTTTGGATCATTGGAAAAAAAAATTGTTGGGTACCCTAAAGGGCATCCCTCAAATAAAATTATTTGAGGGATCTCTCAATAGAAATGGACTGATATATATATATATATATATATATTTACAAAGTCTAGCCGCGCGGCTATACTATTTAAATATATTATAATTAAAAGTTTTATTTATAAAATAAAAAATTAAGAAAAAAAACCCCAATATTAAAAAAAAGGGTGCCCTAGTAATTTTGAAATTTTGTGGCCACTTCCATTAGTTCATACTTTATAGTTATTAATTTGCTAGTTCAACATATCTGAACCAAATATTGGAAAAAGAGTAATTTCACAGTAAATCAATCTAAGAGTTCAATTTTGTCTTCTTCTTCTTTCGTGGGAATGTTAGCCTTTGATCTACCTTGTTCACTCGAGTGCTACTAAATTATGTTACTGCACACATTATTTATCATAGAGAATTGCATGCTGCTTTAGAGTGATTTTGGTAATTGCTTCACTTTTCAAACACTTTACATGAAGAATTCTACTATACCCATAAAGCTTTGTTTGAAATTGTTGTTCTGGTTTGGCAAAGAGATTGCAAAATTGTAAAATTGGCATCTTGCATTTTTCTTACAAGAAGTGAAAAATAATCTTAGCTTCTCAAATTCTTTGGCTAGTTTCCTCCATCTTTGTTGAAGGGCGAACGCGTCGTACTGGTAAAAGAATTTAGCCTACTAACTGAGGTCATTGTCAATCTCTTCTATTTACTTTTACAAAGATTAAGTGATGATTGATGAATCCCTTTTATGAAACCTAAATAAACTCTAGTTCCATGCAATCTCTAGTAACGGTTGTGATGGTGAATACAGCCCATTTTCATTTTTGTTCTTCCTCTATTTGGTACCATACCACCGCCTCTTTTCATTTGTTGCTTGCATCACATCACCTTCTGATACAGAAGGATTCTGATTATTGGTACTGAGTGTTGTATTTCGAAGGGGAGTTTCCAATATACAACCATCTTTGCATGCAAGACGCTTTACCAGTAAAAAAGCATACACAACACAAATCAGAACAATAATGAGAGGGTTCATTATGGAATATATCAGCATCATCTTTAAGCCAAACACTCAAAAATATTTTGGGCCAATGCAAACTTCATTTTAACAACAGGTAACATTCTACTAACATCATACCTTTACAATCTTTGAATGAGGACGCCATTTATGATCAAAATAAGATAAACAATCTGTAGGCAAAGGGAACATCTTTTGGTAATGCAGAGAAAAATCATTCAAGCTAGCTGAGGAATAGACGTCAACTCTCAACTCACATATCCTATACTTTGATGGAGAAAATCTCTTGCAGAGCAGACCAAGTTCCTGAAAGCGCAAGAACAAGTCCTAACACCAAAATGCTTACATCTGACGACCATTGTCTCCACCCCATCTCTCCCTTGAAAACCATCAAGTGAAACAAGGTAGGCAAAACAAACCCCAATGCACAGCACACACCACTCCCCACCAAAGACATGAAATCAGCAAAATTGGGGACCAACAAAGCCACCAAACTCACAGCCAAAACCAGCACCCACCTCAACCATAAACAATACCTCCCGCTCCAAAACCGCCTCTCCATGATCTCATAAACCGGGTGCATCATTATAGGCAATGTGAAGAATAGATTCACCACAAGACCAAGCTTCACCAGAGTGCTGATCACGCCTGCACCATAATTAGCTGTGATCATGTCCTTAGTTTCTTCCCCAAAAGCAAAGTAACCCAAAGCTCCAAAGCTTCCATACATCAAAGAAATGAAAGTCATGGTCCAGCCCAGGATCCACCCAAACTTGTCCTTGTCTTTGGTCTCTGTCTCTAAAGGCAAAACCATTCCAACCCCTTCAAACGAGTACACAGCCACACCCAGGCCATAAAAGAACAGAGAAAGGTCCCCAAAGGCCTTCACTTCAGGCCTTTTTGCCGCCATAACCATCACATCCTCCACCATCACCACGCCCATTGCTCCAAGATCAATCACATCAGCAAAAATACTCAAAGGGGCTAAATGGGTCAACGTTGCAATTGAATTCAACCCCAATTGGAACGGAAAACACCCCCAAATGTAAAAGCTTTTTGGTGCCAAACCCAAAATCTTGGGTGTCAAATCGGTTGCTGTGGGTGCATTTAGCAAATGGGCCATTGTATTACCAATAAAAATGAGATAGCCGACGCAAAACCCAGCCTGAGCAAGAATGATAAGAACATCGACCACCAACCTCCCTACAGTGCCACAAACGGCGAAACCCAAGTCCCCAAAAGATGGGATCTTCGTGCATCCATTGGAAGACTCAAGCTTTCTTCGGGTGTAGACCAACAGCATCATACAATGGTGGGTAAGAAACGCCACGAGCAAAAGGGTGAGGAGGCTCATGAGCCACCCAGTGCGCTTGAAAGAATAAGGCAAGCCCAAAACGCCTGCACCCACAATAGCGATGAAGACATTGGCAAAGGTCTTGCCTTGGGACGACAATGGCTTCTGGTCTCCGATCAGCGGTGTGTTTTCTGATGGGGCTGGTGGTCTGAGGCGCTGAGACGACGAGCTTGATTCTTTGTCAAAACCCATCTTGATCCTTTGTTTTTATTTTGACCCCGGATTAACAAAGATCAAGAACAAAAGCTTCCAGATGGGTTTTGGTTTGATTGGCGATTTTGATGAGAAATGGCGAGATGGATGAGTACTTTTTCTTTAAGAGATTTATATGTATGGTATTTGCCAAAAAGTTGGGAAGATCGGAGGAGTTTAGGCTGTTTGTTTAATTTGTAATTGTTTAAAATTTCACCTGAAAACTGCATTGGATAATTTGGCTTATGATAGAAATAGAAGGAAATTAATTTTATTTTATCTTTGATTCGGCAAGAAAATGAAAACATACCCGTAATAACTTTGCCAATTATATTAGCAAACAAAACTAATGATTATGAAAAGTTAGAAAAAGAATCCTCCATGCATATATGATGATAAGTGTCATAATTCAATGTTCACGGTTCAATTGTGATTTGTAACTTTTTTGTTTTTTTTTTGGTTTTTGGGGTAACGGTTGAGAAGGAGAAAGGATATTCTTGCTCCCTATGTGTGACATGAAGGATTAAATCGCATACTTCTAACTTGCATATCAACAATTTTACCGTTGAATTAAGACTCTACCAACAATTAAGAGGAGTTGTAATTTACTATGCATCCATTATGGTTTAATATTATTCGAGTGCTTCTTTCAATACGAGGCATCTAATTTTTTGCATTATCAAAGACAATGATCAAGTTATTTGAACTTCATTTTAATATTTGAAAGAAAATTACAACTAAATTAAGATGTCGTTGATGCATAAAAACTTAAAAAGACACGTAGGTTTCAATCATAGATATACTGGTGGATAAAACAAAAACAGGTAATCAAGATTCAAGATTATAGCCCATTATCAAAACACATCAAAAATTGAAGATTATATCCCATGATTTTTATATTATGAGATGATAAGATAAGGTTGACAAATTGGAAACATATATTTTTTTGGGTAAACAAATTGGAAATATCTTTCTCTTATTGGATTTGTTGTAATCCAATACAAACTCATTGTGGGGTTACTACCAAAAAGCCCAAGCTCCTTCCTTTTCTTTCTTTCTTTCTTTCCTGCCAGAAAGCCCATTTCTTCTTCTGGTCCAAAAAAAGAAAAAAGCGAAAAAAATTGGACAGTGTCAGTGAGCAAGAACAGCCGGCGCAGGTTAGCAAGCCATGGAACTTGACTAACAGCTATTGCCCGGTAAAGTAAACGCGGTCAAAATTCACCAAACGCACAAATGAAGAACATTCTTTTGGGATCCTTGTAATTTCATCTGATTCATTTTCACGTGTAATTTGTGAGATCGGAAGCTGCCGAAAATTTGTTGGCACCAAAAAGAAAACAAAAATGAAGAAAATTCTCTGTGATTTTCGGTTCCTCCTATTTCTCGCTGCTGCGGCGTTCATCTATATCCAGGTGCCCCCAAAACCCTAATTCTCTCGCTGCTGTTTGTTTCAAATTCATCAATCGTGTTGTTCATATTGAGATGCATGTACAGTTGTTGTAGTAGCTGAAATGACAACCAGTTTTCTTCTTGTTGTGTTTTTTGTAATTTTTTTTTTTCGCTTATAGATGCGGCTTTTCGCGACGCAATCACAGTATGCTGATCGTCTTGCCGATGCGGTATGTCTAAATTATGAGTCTGTTGTTGTATCAGAGTGGTTCATGAAAATTGGTCTACAATATGAACTCTTCTCTTTTTCATTTGATGATAAATGGGAAATGGGCTGTAGATATCAGTTTATTTTAGCTCATTTTTTCTTATCTGCAACGTTACTTGGTAGGATTATTATCTCTTGCTGGTTCATTGTCTTACTTGGTAGGATTATTATCTCTTGCTGGTTCATTGTCGACTTAAACAAATTGAGCAAAAGAAGAAAGTTTGACACAGCTTCAATCTAAATGTTTAAAAGATTCTGTTTATTTTCCTTTCATCGTGAACCAAATGGCTTATTTGCTGCATTGGAAGCTTCTTGTGGGTTGAAAGTTCATTACTTTATTTTGAATCTCACATTTACTGTTCTTTTACAGATAGAGTCGGAGGACCAATGTACATCTCAATTGAGAACACTAATTGATCAAATAAGCTTGCAACAAGGACAAATTGTTTCCCTAGAAGGTGTGATATATTTCGAGCACTCGAGTCTTTCATATATTTTTCTATATATTATAGGGCTCAAAACTATCCTGTCTTTACTCATGTACTAATGAGTAAGCTTTAAATTTATCAATCATGTTGGCCATTTTTCGGCAATTTCTTCCAGTTGTACTGTCTGCATCATGCTGTGAGAATTTGTTTTGATCAGTGAATTACTGTCATATATCTTATAGTAACAACATGGTTTCTGGAGGTCTTTATCCCTTTTATGGCTTCTTTGCCAAAACATACTAGGGATATCCCTTCTACTGTAATTTATCTGGATTGAGTCTGATTATTGCATTGATTGTATAGGCCTTTTGTTACTCTTTGGTAGCCGGTTAGTTTTGATGGACTTCCTGTCCATCTTTTCTGTATCCTTATCTTTATAAAATTTTGATTTCCTTTAAAAAAAATTATGACACTAGACTGCTGCAATTGTAGAAGAAAAGCAACGGCTAGAGCAAGAGTGTGGACAACTGAAGGTCCTTGTTCAAGAACTTGAAAGTATGTGCTTATCAGAAAAAATCTTTTTCTTAAAATGATATATAAAAGCACCTGCCAGTTACTTATTTTCTATTCTTGGAAGATGTCTTGTGCGCTTTAACATTTTTTATTTTCTGAAGCGCTTTTTTTTCTTTTCAGCCATTCCAAAGGAAAAACTTAGGATCCTCTCTGTTGTTGTTGTGTGTGTTTTTTTTTTTTTTTTTTTTTTTTTTTTTTTTTTTTTTTTAATTTAAATTTATTTTTCAGGGAAAGGCCTAGGTAGGCTGATTGACAAAGAACAGGTGCAGATGAACGTGTTACTTTTGGCTTTCCTTCTTCCTAGAAATCATGACTTGTCATTATTTTTAACCATTATTTCTAATGAACTTGTTAGGTGCCAGTGGCAGCAGTTGTAATTATGGCATGCAATCGTGCTGATTATCTGGAAAGAACTGTTAAGTCAGTTTTAAAGTAAGTTTCATGTTCTTGTCAAATAAAAAGAAAGTTTTGTGTTTAGACCATATTGCACAGTGCAGTTTTTTTTTCATTTGTACACAGTTGAGCTGACCCACTAGCCTAATTCTTCAATTATATAGATATCAGAGTTCTGTTGCTTCAAAGTTTCCTCTATTTGTCTCCCAGGTATCTATGTGCTTAATCTTTCATAAAATACTATGAGTGTCATTGACACTCGTCATTCTTTAGCAGTGATCTAGGAGAGAATCAATGGATAAACATGGTAACTTCATTTTTCTCAGGATGGATCGCATCCAGCTGTCAAAGAGAAGGCTTTGAGCTTCGATCAGCTTACCTATATGCAGGTAAGTTGTACATTTTTAATCAAATTGTATATTCTTGGGAATATCTTAGACGTTTGCAACACCCCAGGACAGCCGTAAGTCCTGACTTCAATTCATTGCAGCATTTGGATTATGAACCAGTTCATACTGAAAGACCTGGGGAGTTGATTGCGTACTACAAAATTGCACGTAAGGAATCTGTGAGTCTTCTGTTAAGCATCTATTAGCTTCAGTACTAAATCCCTGGTTTTTCCATAGGTCATTACAAATGGGCATTGGATGGATTGTTCTACAAGCATAACTTCAGCCGAGTAATCATACTCGAAGGTGAAAACAGTGTTCCTTGGATTATCCTGTCAGTTTGCCTTTCTTTCCGCTTTATTACAAAGCTCTAAGTATGCTTTGCTGATACAATCCATCATATTTGAACACAGATGATATGGAAATTGCTCCTGATTTTTTCGATTACTTTGAGTCGACAGCTGCTCTCCTTGACAAGGATAAGTATGTCCTCTAGATGAACCTGAGGTCTTGTACCTTGAATACTATGTTGTTAGATAATTATTCCAGGCTCCAGGAATTCTGGTTTTCCTCACTTTTTTGATATTTAAACTGTGGTAGGTCTATCATGGCTGTTTCCTCGTGGAATGACAACGGGCAAAAGCAGTTTGTGCATGATCCTAGTGAGTTGTCATCAATTTTTTCAGTTTATCTTCCTTATATTGAAATCAAGCTTAGTGCAACTTTTATTTCTCAAGAACCAATTGAGATCTCTGTCCCACCCTTTGTGGGTGTGCTCTGTGATTGCATGAAGCAAATATGCTTGTTTTTGTGGGAGGAGTGATGCTTATTTGGGTAAATATATTGTTTGTTCAGGCTCCTGGATCATGTAGGTTTGTAACATATTGTTCCTATCTTTAAGGTTTGACAATGATCTTTGCATCTAAGTCTTTATATACATTTATCTAACATGGTCAATTAATGTACTGGCAACATGTTTACCATCCCCATCTCTCACGCTCTCTCATCCTTTCCCCTCCCTCCTCTTTGAGCTCGTACGCCATATTAATTGTTTTGACGTTATGGTACAATCATCTTACCAAGAAGTTAATGCATTATCAGTATTTACTGCTAATGTTTGGACACAAGACATTGACACTTTTCAGAACCATTATGCTCTCTGATCTGCTGTCTGATCCACTCTGCAGAAGTACTTTATAGGTCGGATTTCTTTCCTGGACTTGGGTGGATGCTGGCTAGATCCACATGGGATGAGCTATCACCAAAGTGGCCAAAGGCATATCCTTGTTGCTGTAGTGAATTTTGTTTTGATTATACTTCTCTATGTTTTTCAATGCATTTCTTCTAAATGTTTTCTTTCACAATGCTTCACTTACTGGGATGATTGGTTGAGGTTAAAAGAGAATCATAAAGATCGACAATTTATTCGGCCAGAAGTTTGCAGAACATATAACTTTGGTGAACATGTATGTATTCTCACTTTTCTTGTTCATTACCTCCCAACCTCTAGTGTGTGCAAGCAGTCACGTTCAATTCAGGGATTTGTATTGATTATAATGCATTTCTGCATCGATTTTAATTTAATATCTATTAGTGATGCTAGAAAATCTTATGCTAAAGTGGTTCTTTGTTCATTGAAACTGCAAAGATTTTAGAGGAATAACTTCTTTCACTCTAATTAACTCAATGCAAATGATATTTTCTAGTAAACTGGGATAGCCCTTCAACAAAATGGCTTCTTTGTCCCCTTGTGGGACTGAAATTTTTAATGCCTCAGCTCTCACGTCTTGTGCTTTATGCAGGGTTCTAGTCTGGGGCAATTTTTCAAACAATATCTTGAGCCAATCAAGCTGAATGATGTCCTGGTAATTACCAATCTCACTTCTGTATCATTCCATCTAGTCTAATTTTGTCGTCTCCTTATTCAAAATTTTCACACTGCATTTTTCTTTTCTATCTTTGCTTCCAAAGGTTGACTGGAAATCAATGGATTTGAACTACCTGATGGAGGTAATGCGTGCTTTGATACATTTGGTTTGAATGTTGCTTTCATTACATCTTTAATCAATACATCTTTCAACCTGTTTGTAGGACAAGTATATAAAGCACTTTGCTGATATTGTGAAAAAGGCTAAACCCATTCGTGGAACAGATCTTGTACTAAAGGCACGTAACATTGGTGGTGATGTTCGCATACAGTACAATGACCAGCCAGACTTTGAACGCATTGCACGTCAATTTGGTATTTTTGAAGAGTGGAAGGTGAATTTTCCTTGTTATTGAGTAACTTTCATTTAACTATTGTTGAGTTTAGGAAAAGCCTATTTGATTTTATGAGACTGGAGAATCTTCGTTAAGTCCTGCCTTCATTAATTATGCAAGTAGCTCTGAAAATAAAATAATCCATAGTGCTAGCTATACCCAGTTATTAATTTATTTATTCATCCGGATTTGTTTGTTTATGTTTCCTATAATTTTTCAGGATGGTGTACCAAGGACAGCATATAAAGGAATAGTTGTTTTCCGATATCAAATCCCACAACGTATATTCCTTGTTGGTCCAGGTTCTCTCGTGCACCTTGGAGTTAACGATTCTTGATGCAAAGATGAGGTTGGTTTTGCCTAACTTGCTGCCATTTCTTGGCTTAAAATTGTAGACACCGATTTGATATTTGGGATAACATAAATAGCATCTGAGATATTTCTCCTCTTGGTTAATGGACAGAGTTCAAAAGGACAAAGTTTTGTTTCCAAGGTTCAACATTGAGGTTCAAGAAAAACATATTTCTTGAAGCACAGGGGTAACTCATACCAATAGAGAATCAATGTTAACTTAAACCTAGATGAGCCGGCTGCGTTTTTTTCTTGATTTGAGTGTTGCAGCTGGCTATGTCCTCACTCTCTTCTGTAATTTGACTTCAGAAACTTTGTAATTGTTGCATTCAACAAGTAGCAAGCTCCCACATCTCTGTTGTCGCCATACGTATACTACATATTTGGTGGGTCGTTGCAGAGCAAGAAAGGCGATGCTATCATTGTTCTTGTTACGTCTCGAATTTATTATATTATTGTTTCCTTGATGGATACCATACCTTCTGAAGGAACTTGTAACCTTAATCCCTGATGTACGATATCTTGAAAGATCTAATCATGTAGCATACGAGAAAACCAAAATGTTCTGATATGAAATGAATTATGTATGTTGATTGATCTTGATAAAATTTTATATTGCTTTTGCTTACAGATGATACTACTTATACTCCCATCTTTTTCTTTCTATATTTGAAAATTAAATGAAAAAAATACACAAAAAGAGCACCTTCAACCCTCTCTCCTTCTACGATATCAACACTATATTGTTTATTGGGTGCTAGGAGCATTGGGCAACTTACCTAATCCGCATCCACCGGTTAATTCTATGATTAGTTCACGATAATTTGGATTATGGTGGTACAATTTGATCGGACCATATTCTCCCTTTCCTTTTTATGAAGGTTTCATTATTTGAAATTAATAGGTGAATATCAAAATACTACAAAAAATATTCTAATAAAACAACCAACTGATTGTATAAAATAAAAAGAGATATTTAGGAGGGTGTATTCAATTAGGATTTTAAAAGACTATTTAAGAATGTAATGACTTATAAGATTTTTTTTAAAGATTTTTTATACTCGGGATTTTTTATGTTCGGATTTTAAATATTTATATCATAAGAATTTATAAGATTTGAAAGGACCACATGGACTTTTTATTTGTACGATGCTAACCAACCAAGTTGGATGATGAGCAATGTCTAGTTCAATGATGCACGAATTCTTCAGGAACAATCTCTACAACCCAAGCTTTCCAAATGATGGTGGAATTTATCCTTCCCAAAGGTTTTATGATAGGTATAAGGTTACTAGGCTGCAGACACTTGGTTCAAATAATGGAATGGAGCCATAAATATAAAGCCAATGAAAGTCAATTGCTTAAAGTTGTGGGCACTTGCATTAGCAATAACATAAACGGGATCAAATGGAATGGAACAATAAATAAAAGCAAACATTCAAAGTTAAAAGAGTCAATGAAAAAGATAACAAAGAAACACAATTTTAACAAAGAAAAGTAAAATTCAATAAAGTTTTCCCAATCTTTTAATAGCCAATTTGATGTAGTTTCATGTCCTCTTAAGTAGCATTTCTCCACATATCTAAAGCTATGGTAGCCCTCCATGCATTAGCATTTTCTCGTTGCTGCTCTTGGGTTTGAACAATAGGTTCCAAATTATCTTCTTCATTAATTGGTAATACTGAAGATGAAGATTCGTCTACTGGTTCAATTGGAAATTCATCAGAACGACACTCTTTGCGACGAAAGTTATGTAGTGCTACACATGCTAACACAAGCTCTGCTTGTGTCTTAAATGGAAATGGAGGCGCTGTGATAGGACCCGCCCCGAATTTCCCGGAACCCGAGATGAACCCTGTGGAATTCCCGACATCACCCTAATGTCGGGCCCACTTCCGAAAACTATATCCTCTTTCTCTTAAAAGAGTAAGGATACAGGACTTTCTACCGAAATTTCGGCAGAATCTCCCCTATAAATTGAACAAGCCCAAAATTCCAACCTGCACCAAATCACAATTTATATATCCCAACCAACAGCACGCACAAGATAACAACATGCAATTCTTTTAATTGGCCTCCGGCCTTCAAATACTTCAAAACAAACTACCAACACATTCCTTAATCCAAATAATAAATTCAACGCACTTTTATGAAGGCCAAAAGAAATTTCTATCATTTAACTTTCCCAAACATTTAGCATACGAGGCTCCAACCTCTTAACACGACTGCATCACACTTTCACCCAAGAAAACCCTACTTCCATTCCAACTATCTTGTCTGGCCCACTTTCACGTGTTGTGTAATAGCTATATCTTGAAGCCTGTACAAATCATGATAATATAATATATTGCTTATTGTTGAAGCTTGTACAACTACAAATCACCAAAGCCAATATGGGCAACAACAGCTAACCCATCCAAACCATAAGACGCAGACCATAAACAACAATTGTTTGATTCTCCCATACACCCCCCGTATATAATACATGATAGCAACATGGCATATACAGACAATAAACGCAAGAAGACACAGCATGAGAAGGAAGTAATACCTTGTTCACGAAGAACTATTCAACTTCACGAAGAGCTGTTCAACTTCTCTAGTAGAAAAAAAAAAAATCTCACGTGAAAAGTCTGATGGGTTAGGGTGAGATTTTTTATAGGGTTTGGTATTTATACCTCCCACTAAAAAGTCACATAAATTCCTAATATAAAAAAATCCATCGAAATTATCAAGTTTTTGAATACCAAAAGACTTTTTGTTACTTGTTTAAAGTCATGATTGAATACCACTAGATTTGGACACGCTCTTTAAAATATCCTAATAGTTCTGATTAAATACCACAAGACTTATTTAGATTACTTAAAAGTCTTAATTGAATACCACAAGACTTATTTATCCCAAAATAGTCTTTTAAAATCCTAATTGAATACACCCCCTTAGTTATATATCCATTCTTAGCACTAATAATATAGATAATTTCTACACTATTTAATTTATATAAACCAACTTAAAAAATAACAGCTGGCCCTATTGAATTTAATTTTGACTATTAAATTACTTTGATGCTCTATTGAGTGTTTTGAGTTTTATTTATTTATAAGGTTTTGGGGTTGGATTTCTTTTAAGAAATTGATGGCAGTTTTGTAATTTATAAGAAGTTAAAAGCTTCTTTATCATGTTGTAAATGAGTTTTGTATGTGTTTCTAAAGTTTATTTAATATGAAGTATTTTTGTAATTTCGGCTTTTATATTGGGTATAATAGTGAATCTCCCAAATAAAAAATATCTGATACGACCTGTCGTTCTTAGTAAATTGAAATCGTCGAACCTAAAAACCTAACTCTCTTCTTCATTCTCCCCTCAGTTCCGTTCCCGCCGAACCTTCACCTTACCAGCAGCAGCAACCATGGCCTCCATTCTCTCCAAGAAGCAAAAGCAGAAGCACAAAAGCACAAAGCTCTCCGACCTCAAAACCCTAGGCCACGACCTCCTCTCCTCCAGAGCCCACGTCAACAACCTCCCTAAGCTCCTCTACTTCGTCTCCCCAACCTCGCCTCCCCAGTTCGTTCTCGAGTCCCTCCTCTCTCTCCAGGCCTTCTTCACCCCTCTCTTGCCTGACCTTCCTTCCTCTTCTTCCAAGCCTTCCGCTTCCAATGCATCCCAGGACGACCCTGACTTCATCTACCGGACTTGGCTCCGGTCCAAGTTCGACGAGCTCGTCGAATCCCTCATCCAAGTCCTGCTTTCTCCTCAGTCTGATGAAACTCTCAAGGTCAATTTTCTATTTGTTGAATTTCCTTTCTTTTTTGTTTTGTTTTGTAATTATAGATTTTTTTCCTTCTAAATTGTGCTTGCTGATACTGTGATTAGGAGGTGGTGTTGGACACACTAATGGAGTTTGTGAAGTCTGGAAATGGGGGAAGGTTTCACTCTGCTATTTACCATAGGTTGCTTCGTAGTATTGTAAGTTGTACCCGTTTCTCCAAAAGCTTGATTTGATTTGATTTTTTTTTCTAATGATATTGAAAGAGTAAGTTGTAATGTGGTGTTCTCATCGATAGGTTTACTCTACGACACCGGATAATTTCTTGTTAGACGTGTTGGCATCCAAGTATTTCAAGTATATTGACGTCCGGTAAGGTCACATGGCTTCTATTGTTTACTGGAGGCTTTAGTCGGGAAAGTTTTGTTATGTTTACTTAAAAAAGTATTGTAATTGTTGTATTTGTTTGTTGCAGTTATTTTACCTACATCAGCTTGGAAAAACTTTCTAGAGTTCTAGATGCAAAAGACATTTCTGGTACTTCCTGCTGTGGTCCTTGCTGCAAGTTTCATAATTTTTGTTTCATCTTTTTTGGGGTGGTTGTGGTGGTGTTATCTTAGTTAGTTTATTGTTTTGTGTCTCCTTTAGATGACAGAAACCTGAACACAGACGGCAACGATGGCGGGCATCCAAGGGAAAGGTTAGTATAATCAACAATGTTATCACTTTGGAAATTTCTATTCCATTTTTTTTCTCATTGCCTCTTTCTATTACATGACCCCAATGTATTATATATATGCTAATGTTTATATTTCTTAGTATGTTGATGCTGCAAGATGTTAGCTTTTGATTTCTTAAAATCATTTACTGGCAGCATGGATCTATTAATTCGCAAGATTCATTACATAATGTCACACATCCCATCTGTGGAAGCTTCAGTTGAGAAAACTGGTTATGACATGTGGAGTGGATCAGGTGAGTGTTCCCTGCCTTCACAAATCAGTGCTTCAACAGTTAAACTCATACTTTACTTTGGTGGAAGATATCATTATTGATTACTGATTAAGATTCTTGTGTAAAGGTGATGATGAAGATATTTCTGGGAATCTTAAAGCAGAAAATAAACAGCACATGACTGAGAAGCACAATGATAAGGCAAGCTATCAATTATCTTCAGAAGATGATGTTTCAATGCAACTATCAAAATTGTTTGTGCATTCATTCACTAGATTATCCTCTTTATATTTCTATGAGATTAACATTCCACATTCTTTTTGGATAATGTCTTCAGGTGTTGACTGCAGCCAGTATTGCCAAAAAGATGAAATTGAAATTTACTAAAGCATGGTTATCATTTCTAAGGTTACCACTTCCACTTGATGTGTACAAGGAGGTAAGGCTCATACCTGCCACACCATGATTTCTCATAAATGTTGTGCCCGAACAAAATTTAATTGGTTTTTTTATTGTTATCTTAAATGTTGTGACTTTTGACGCTCAGGTTCTTGCCACTCTTCATCAGGCAGTCATTCCTCATCTATCTAACCCAGTCTTGTTATGGTAAAGTTTCTTACCAAATACGTTTATGTATATTTTTCCAATTTGTTCTTTGTGACTTTTAGTCTATTCATTGCTTGACAACATGCAGCAACTTCTTTCTAAGATCATGACATTTCATTTATTGACAATGTGCAGTGATTTCTTAACTCGGTCATATGACATTGGTGGTGTTATCAGCGTCATGGCTCTTAGCGGCCTCTTCATCCTCATGACACAATATGGTTTAGAGTACCCCAACTTTTATGAGAAACTTTATGCACTACTGGTTCCTTCTATTTTTATGGCAAAACATCGATCAAAGTTTTTTCAGGTAATGCTGATCATTACTGCGGTAACAGTTGTTAAAGATATACTTCTATAACACAAGGCATGTATATCTATGTATGAGTGTGAGTGTGCATTTGTGTTGTTTTACAATTATCAGCAATTAAAATAGAAAGTGAATCTTAACATATGATAATATATGCTTAGATGTGTGTGTTATCTTTAAATCCATTGAGTTTTGCATCAACTAGACTGGTTATATGTTATCATTAAAACACTCATTTACTCATTAAAAAAAGAAAGCTAAGGGGATTTGACAAAGTCATTCAAGTGTAATGACCTTCCCATCAGTTGTGGCTTTGATTGATTTCTTCACAGAGTTTAAGTTCTGGAGCTTAATGTACAGGAAACTCTGTTGCAATAATGCATCATGAACATGAGGTTGCTTGCTTGGTCTGCATAATTGTTGAACACCCGGTTTAAATGTTTATGTTGGATGAATCAGTAATTTTATACTTGTGCTATTTAATTTTGCAGCTTGTGGATGCTTGCTTAAAATCACCACTTCTTCCTGCATATTTGGCTGCTGCTTTTGCTAAGAAATTGAGCAGGCTGTCTATTTCAGTTCCTCCGTCTGGAGCGTTAGTTATTATTGCGTTAGTTCATAATCTTCTACGGAGACATCCTTCAATCAATTGCTTGGTGAATCGGGTATCCGAACAATCTTTAATTGTTTCTTTGTCAATATATTCACTATCCTTTTGATCTGAAAGCAAGTGAGGTCAGCTGTACTGTTCTTTGTCAAAGTATTCATTTCATACATGATACATTTGAGGAGACTACTGTTTATGCAGGGAGGTGGTGGTGCAACTGTGAAAGATGATCCAGAAACAGAACAGAGGGTTGCTGATGGTGTAGATGACACTGCAACTGCTTCAGCAGATAAGTCAGTCAAAAAACCAGGCGTTGACCCTTTTGATAATGAACAAAGTGATCCTATAAAATCAAATGCCATGAGTAAGTGTCTTTTCCCCCTAAATGTGATTTCTGCATGCCAAATACCTGCATTTCATGTAAGCCATGAATGTGGTATACTTGCTCAAATTTTATTTGAAAGCAGACAACACACACAGTATTGCTTTAATTATTAAATAAATTTTACTTCTACATATTGATGAGATGTTTTTGAACAGGAAGTTCACTCTGGGAGATTGATACCCTCCGTCACCACTACTGCCCTGCTGTATCAAGGTTCATGCTTGAGTCCTGATCATGTGTCATTATTTATGGTCCTTGTACCTTTTGATTTTTCCTGATGTCCTTTTTCTTTGTTAGGTTTGTTTTGTCACTTGAGAATGATTTGACAGTCAGAGCCAAAACCACTGAAATTTCTGTTGGAGATTTTAGCTCAGGCTCATATGCAACAATATTTGGCGAGCAGGTATTAATATCATGTCTCATGATTCATTGAGTAATATAATAAATTTAATGCATTTTTCAATTTTATATTTTAAAGGAAATAAAAAAAAAGTTGTGGAAATTTGGTACTTACAATAGTTTAGTTCCATCTGTGGACGTGTTGATTCCTGTACATTTGGTCATCTGACAGCAGGCTACGTTTGGCAATTTTTATTTTATTTTCTAAATAGTTGTGGCCTCTTGTATATTCATTTTTGGGACCGTTGTAGGACAGAGTACATATATTTGTTACTTTGTCAATCTGTCTGATGTCCAAGGAAATGCCTTGCAGTTTTCTTTATATAGTATGTGATTTCACTGATCTGGCGACTGCATTGACTCTATTTTGCAGATGAGACGAAGGATAAAATTGGCTCCACTTGCATACTACAAAGTACCCCCCACCTCTTTGTTCTCGGAGTCCGAGTCTGAGTTTCTTGGTTGGACGTTCAAATGTGAAGACAGTAAGCGAAAGAATGACATCAATGATGAGAATGGGAAAATAGATCAAGAATGTGATCATAATTCGGTAAAACGACAACGAGTTGAGTGTTCATAACCAAAGTGTGCCATCCCTCTCTTTTGCCCTTTCTTTCAAGGGGGCAGGATTATGCTCGTGAATTATAAGATTTGAGCAACAATTTTGGGGTTCTTAGGTGTATGTTTCCTCATTTGTTGATTTTGTATGCTGCAACAAATTTTGAGCTCCAAAAAAGGGTAAAAAGAAAAGCTGCATCAGATTTTGAATTTGACCTACTATTTTGTTGGCAAGTTATCTTTGTTCATGCATTTTTGTAGCCGATAATTTACCTTAATGATGTGATCAGGCGCGTTAATTTAATCATTTTTCTGTGTGCATTGTTTGGAAGGTGGTTTTACCCAAGAACAGCATAAATGCTGTTCGCATTGGTTTTCTTGGCACATCAGACTCTGCATTGCGCGTAGTCGGTTTTGTGAGGCCTTTTTCCATGCTTTTATCTTAAGGCTCCTTCCCAACTGTCTATTACTTTTTTTTAAGACTCAAATGCATGAAATTTCCTCAATTTTTAATTTCCCACAAATAAATTCAGTTTCTGACCCACATTTCATTTCACGTAAGCCAAATCAGAATCATGTTTGTTATCAAATTGAAACTCGGCCGATGATCTACTTCGAACATTGCTGGTTTGGTCACAGGTTTCTTTTTTTTCATCTTTTTGTTCTCAAGAGTGGTCAGCTTATGGAGTCTTTCAGCAAGAGCGCATTCCATCTCCGCCATCTGACCTTAAAATTGTCCACCATTGTAACCGGCTCTGATACCAAACTAAGACCTGTCTTTGTCCTACTACTCCTCTAAATTGAAGTAAGACATGAGAGAGAGGAGTGAGAATTCATAGGATTAAAACTCTTTCATATAAATTTGGGTTTTGTGATTTGAGATGGGTGGATGGGTTACCAAGACATGGGAGAAACTGATTTATTTACCACGACATTATGTACAACAAATTTCACTCAAAAGCCAACAAATTAATCAGATCCCAAGACAGATCAAAACATGCAATGGTTGGCTGTTGATGACATTATGAATAAATAAATAAAAAGAGAAAAATGACCGATTCTTCAATATCATTCACAAATGTGATTTAAGCATCAAATCTGATCATGATTTACTATCTAGTACTTCCTGCAGAAGATTCAGACCTTCTGCTGATATACTCCTTTTGAATTTCAATTTCGGGATCTCAAGCAAAGGTGGTGGGTCTGAGGAGAAGCATACCACAACTACTGTCAGGTTGTCGCAGGTATTGCGCTTGAGTGCCTCCCTAACCAGCTCTCTTGAGCATCTCTCAGGATCATTGTGAAGCATTAATTCTTTCCTTGCAATTGTAACTGCGCATTGGCTGCTCATCACATCCCACAGCCCATCACAGCCTAGGATCAAGAATTCATCTTCCTCACTCAGAGTTGTCTCCTCAAGCTCCGGCTCTGCACTTAAGGGACAAGAGGAACCTTTGGAGCCTTTCATGTGCCAATCTCCAAGAGCTCGTGCCACCGATAATTGACCGTTAAGGTAGCCATCATAAACCACACCTCCCAATTTCTCAATTCTTACTCTTTCTGAGGCACAATTGGGTTTATGGTCTTTGGAAAGCTCAACTGCCCTACCTCTTCTTCCCAGCACAGCTCGGCAGTCCCCGGCATTGGCAATTAGCATCGTCCTGAAAGAAGAAATCACATGTAAATCATGATGTCATCTATAAAGACATAACCGACGTGGAGAGAACTTTGTGGTTGAAATCCTACAGGAAGTGGCCAGTACATTCTTCTACTATGAAAAATTCATCCAGTTTACCTGGTCAAGACCATAAAGCTATGCTATAGCCACATATCTATTGCACCATGGAAGGTTTCACAAATGTGACCCCCTGCCTCCCACAGATAAGATTTATACCAAGCTACAAGCCTCTATATTGATGCCAAGAAATGTCTTTGAAAGCATTCCTGGATGAAATCACCATGGATGACATTGGTCGATGAGAAATGATGAAATTTTACCCGCGGACTTGGCACAATAAGATAGCTTATAATATATAATGATGTCATAGAATTTAAATTGTCAGATTAACCATTCTACATCATATAACTCCATAAGCTTCAAAATCTTTGTTACCATTTGTTCAAAAAAATAAAAAATAAAAAAATTCCAAGAAAAAGAGAAAAAATTTTGGTACACCCACAACGGAGTCTGACAGAGCATAATGCAGATACGTAAACTAACAAACAACCATTAGAAGAGTGACTACAAGGATGTGGTTAAGCATTTAGTTTAAGCTAGACCGATACCAATAATGGATGAGAAAATAAACAATAGAAGGATAATAACTCTCACCTTCCAGATATGAGGGCAGTAAGTGCAGTGGTACCAGAGGAACTATCAAGAGAACCAGTATCAGCAAAAGCATGGTCAGCGTTTAGGAAAGCACTCTTAATAGCCTTCTTGGCACAAAAGGGGAAATGTGAATCCTCAACTATAAACCTCAAAATGTTCTCTCTGATAAAAGAAGCTGCATCTGTACCACCATGGCCATCAAAAACCTGCAGTAGAACAAGAATGTTGACACATCATGGCATGTTATGGTAGTTGTGCGCTTAAAGGAATCACCGCCATTTTCATTAATCAACAATGAAAGCAGCATTAATGTTTCTAGAAACAACTCTATATAGCTTAGTTAGTGATTAAATTACAAACCCCATAGAAAGCTCCAGGAGAAGGAAAGTTCGCAGTGGCACCTAGATGTTCGAAAATATTGTCTATACAGATATGCTCATCCTCCATATAAGGTTTTGGACCGATCTCTGAACAGCTTCCAGAGCGAAAAACAGGTACAAATGCAGAGTTACTATCTGATGAGGACTTTGAGCTAACAATCCCAACATCCGACTCCTAAGCAAGGAGTGAAGAGGCAACATCAAATTCCATACAACTTTAATATGAAGAAACGATAGAAAACTGCAATTATTACAGATGATAGAAATCAATCTCACCACTTCAGTTGCAGGAGCCAACTGGGCAGAGCTCACACAATACCTCATAGCTGAGAGGTGCCGAGGAGGTTTGCCCATGTTCGGTTGCTTTAAGCTCTCAAAAGTAAGTGATTTCTCTTCTTTTGTAACAGTAACGTTCTCCTTTCTGTGGCTGCCATCTAACATGGAAAGTGGAGATGGGTAGTCGGTCCCTGCAGCCATTTTCTCTCCAAAACATAATCCAATCTTGAATCAGAAACTGGACCTCAAGTGTTCCCTTTCAACCAATCCTTTTGCAAAGAGTTGGTTCAAACTTCAAAAGCTTCTTACTTTTATCAAGGAAACAATTTCTGATATCAGGAACAGACCCCAAATCATACCACACAAGTAGCTTTCCTCCTTTTAGGTTGTTTCTTCAGATACTTTGATGGACACCTGAGTAGAAAATGACCAGAAAATTCTCAACTTACTTCTCAATTATTTTGTTGAGCTAAAATTAAAGATCAAACAGCCCAGTTAATCTGTTGAACCACCAGCTACAAGTATGTACCCTAAACATAAACTCAGCAAAAAGCATATTCAAATAACAACTTTTCCATTTCAGGACTATCCACAAACCCATATCACAATCCAAATCACCAAAATCTGCCACAACCCATATCAGATTTCAGAAAAGAAAAACCAGAAACAAAGGCCATGACTTTATTCTAATTCTGGGAAGTATAAAAACATAGTTTTCATTTAAAATAAAAACTATAATTCACAGATTTAAACTGCATACACCAAATCCAAATACAGAAACCAGCACAAAATAAGCAAAAACAGTTAAGCAACAAAACCCAAAATTTATTACTCAAAACTGCAACATAAATCACACACCAAACCAGACAACTCTTCAGCCACAAAGAATCAAGCTTGACATATGCAAATCATAGAATTAAAGAGCAAAATAGTTGGTGGGTGATGAACTGATGATGATAATACTTGCCGTACTGTTTTGGTTAGCTTAAGAAAAATCTTCAAAGATCCCTGAAAGAGAAATTGGAAAAGGAGAGGAACAAGCCCACAAACCACCAAAAGCTTTCAAACTGAAAAAGAAAAAAAATGGTTATAAATGATTTTTTTTGGGTTGATATGTGTAGGATTGATGTTGATTCGTTGAATAAAGATGTAGAAAGAGTTTGATCGATGAAGAAAACGGAGGGTAACTGGCACGTGGGTTTTGTCAACCGGTCATTGCGGGTCGTCCCGGTGGACTTGTAAATACGGACAGCTGGGCATCTGGCACGTGGCGCGTAGGATGTTTGATATTTGGGTTGTTACCGGAGAATCGGAGATGAGAGGGTTGTAGTTTCAGGTGTTGAGGTTCAACAATTGCGGCTGGGCTGTCGTGTCTGCCGTTGGATTGCAACAGTTGATAATTGACGGCCGGATGATGACTGACGGTTTTCACCAAACTTGGGAACTGGTAGTTGACGGTCGTTGACAACGGCGATCCCATTCATGTTTTCCAACTAGCAACAACTAAAATCCACCCAAATATTTTTTTATAACAACTGAAAATTGAGGTTTGCAAAATCTTTCAATGTTAGGAAAATGAGTATCAGACCAAAGAGCATTTTAAATAGGTGAGCTTTCACAATTGATATTCACATCAATGAGCCAAATAAATTAAATTAGAAGACATTTTCATTGCATGTTTTTGTTTTTGTTTCTAATGATGGAGATTTAGACAGGTAATAGACCCAATAATACATACACATCTGGAAGCTGACCAAAAAAGTCACTGATAAATATCTCTATCTTCATATGCCACTCTGTGGTCAGATTGTTATTAAAAATGGATGACCTTTTTGGGATTTATTATCTAAATTATGGGTAATTTTCTTAGCCCAAAATATATATATATATATATATATATATATATATTCAACTGATGGGTTATTTGAGCTAACAGAGTAAGTTATGTCATGTCACTCAAATTTCACCAATTGTGCCCATATTATAGTTAAGGCTCCATGCAATTTCTGCTTCTTTTTGGTAAGTAAAACATGGGTGTTGATTCTCATTTACAACTTGTAGTTGTCTTTTCATGCATGTTGACATGAACTGACCACCCATATACACAGATTTCCAGAGGCATGAGCTTGCTGCTATATTCTTCTTCTAAAAGCACTTCTTAATAAAGGAAAAATTTCACTGTGCCACTTGCTCAGAATACCAGTGAATTATGTGGACAAGATCTCCAAAGCGTTATTTGATTGTCACTCAACTCAACTTTCATCAGCACATGCATTTGCTATGTAGAAAGAGTGGGATTCTCAAATGCTTACACAGCAGCAGCTGACGCTGCTGGTGTGAGCCAATCAAGCAAAGGCACTATTATGGCTATGCCTGTTCACAAGTCCCTGGAGGCTGGGCAGCTCAGAGAATAGGAGGGAGGTGTGTTCTTCTCCACTCATCTGTGATATGGTCTCTAATTTATGCCTTTGTCCCGTTAGACACCAATCGCGTCGCAATGATGGTTTTGGCTCGGTTGCTTCTTGGTGTGGCACAAGGCTTCATGTTCCCTTCAATCCACTCTGTTCTTGCTCAATGGGTGCCTCCACATGAGAGGTCTAGATCTGTTTCTTCTGGAATGTACCTTGGTGCAGCTGCAGGAATGCTTGTGGTTCCAAGCCTTGTGAAGTTGAGTAGCCCCCAATTTGTATTTTTGGCTGAAGCAACTTTAGGTACTATGTGGTCTGTGGTTTGGTTAAACTATGCTAGCAACCCACCTCAATCTGAGCTTCCAAAAGCTACAACTGGGTTTGGAGAAGCGTTGTTGCTAATTAAAAGGGGTCATGAAAAGATAGAAGTGGAGGATCGGGACGGACGAAATTCTAATAGAACAGAGAATATCCCATGGAAGAGTATTTTTGGGAGCTTACCAATTTGGAATTTCACTTTCCATTATGCTTTGCATGTGATGATGAATTGGCTCCCAACATACTTTGAACAAGGCCTCCAGCTTAGTCTTTAGGACATGGGGAGTCACAAGATGGTGCCTTATCTTAAAATGTTCATATTCTCAAACATTGGTGGAGGGACTGCTTATCACTTGATCACAAAGAGGCTCTTGTCTGTGACTGCAACCAGGAAGCTTTTGAACACTTCAGGGTTCATAGTTGCTTCTCTTGCATTGATGACACTGCCCATTTTCAGAACTTCCCCTGGGGCTGTGATTTGTTCTTATGTGGCCCTTGGTTTCTTGGCACTAGGGAGAGCTGGGTTTGCTGTAAATCACATGGATATTGCTCCCAAGTAAGCAGAAATTGTGATGGGAGTGTCTAATACAGCTGGTACATTGGCTGGCATAATTTGGGTGATCTCACTGGGAAGCTTCTTGCAGCTGCTAAGTTTGCTCATTCGGATCTTTCGAATCTGGAAAGCTGGAGATCAGTATTCATGATACCGGGGATGCTTTGCATTTTCAGCTCACTTGGGTTTTGACTCTTCTCAACTGGGGAGAGGATTTTTCACTGAGGTAGGCTCGTTAAGAACAGATGTCATCAGCCTTTTTATTTTTTTATTTTTTTCAATGATGTATGAATTGGATATGTACTGCATTCCTGTGATATGTAAATGAATTGATCATATAAAAATTCAAGTTTTCAGCTTCAGTGAATTTGGAAGGCTTATATTTGTTAGCATGAATAGCTTGAAGCTCATTGGCTTATTCTTTTCCACTTTTAAAACATAATTGTGATTATTTATTGAGGCCCATGATTCATTCAGTCATTTCTTAGCTAGTTTGTCTATCAAGGTTACCATTGGAGAAGAGTATGCAAAATGGACTTATTTTCAAGCAACCTTCTGTGAATCAAGCAGTTCAAGCTATCTTCAAACCATGAAAGTGCCAGTTGGTACATCAGGAAAGAATTTGCAAACAAATAAATGAAACATACCCTTGAAAGCATTGGTTCACTAAATTGATTGAATAAGCATCTATGACAGATTATCCATAAATTTTTTTTTCTTCTTAAAAAATTGGGCCATTGATTTTATGTTAGAAAAGAAATTTAGATGTGACCAACATTGCAGATGCAGCTTTATGTATCATTTGTGTATATAAAACTGTGCCAAGAATCACAGTTAGGAATCAAATCAGGTCTCAAGTGATTGTTCTACACACATTTGCCAAATCAGGTCTCGTAGTTTTTTATGTCGCCCAGGAACTTGGGATGATGGAGAGTGGATATGCATGGATAGCTACTGCTTGGCTATCCACTGTTTTAGATTCAACTTCACCTCTTTCTTCAAAGACTGCCAACTCTATCCAAGGTGCTCTCAATCTTAGACCACTCACACCAGACTCAGAAAGAAAAAGGGCTTTTATATCAAGGTGGAACAAGTTGAGTAATGGCTCTATTGGGTTGAACCCTTATGGTCTATATGCCTATGACACCGTCTGGATGCTTGCTCATGCTATAAATTTGCTTTTGGATCAAGGGGGCACCATTTCCTTTTCCAACATTACTAGCCTAGGTGACCCTAAGGGAGGAGGGACTGTGAACCTTGTTGCATTGAGCATTCTTCATGGTGGGAAGCAGTTGCTGGACAACATATGTTGCAAACCAATACAAGCGGACTGACTGGTCCAATAGCATTTCATCCAGATAGATCTCCATTGAATCCTGCATATGATCTCATTAACATAATTGAAAATGGATATCAAAGAATTGGATACTGGTCTAACTATTCCGGGATATCTGTTGTGCCCCCTGAGACATCATCAAACCGGTCTACTTTGAACCAACAACTTACACACTATTGTACGGCCTGGAGGGACAACAGTCAAGCCTCGTGGGTGGGTTTTTCTAAACAACGGAAAGCAATTAAGAATTGGAGTACCTAATCGAGTTAGCTATCGAGACTTTGTATCACGAAGAAATGGTACTGATATAGTTGAAGGATACTGCAATGATATATTCCTTGCAGCTATAAAGTTGCTTCCATATGCAGTTCCATATGAGTTTGTTCTGTTTGGTGATGGTCTCAAGAACCCAAGCTACTACGTGTTTGTAAACATGATTGCATCAGGAGTAAGTAAAATTTTTACGTGTTTGTAAACATGATTGCATCAGGAGTAAGTAAAATTTAACAATTACAAGATACTGACTTATATTCTTACAGAAAAATAAAATGGAGACCCATAAAACTTCTATCTGATTTAAGACTTTGTTTTGTAGAAGTTTGATGCTGCTGTAGGTGACATTGCCATCATCACCAACCGGACAAAGATTGTGGGTTTCACTCAGCCATATATAGCGTCAGGGCTAGTTGTGGTGGCTTCAGTTAGGAGGTTAAATTTGAGAGCTTGGGCGTTCTTAAAGCCATTTGGTCCACTGATGTGGGGTGTCACAGGAGCTTTCTTCCTGATCATTGGATTAGTCATGTGGATTTTGGAACATAGAATAAATTATGAGTTCAGTGGCCCTCCTGGGAAACAGATTGTCACAATCTTATGGTATGTACTTTGTACATAGAACATTCTGACCTGGCTTTCGCATATACATTTGTATGCTATGATTCGTGATGGCACGAAAGCTGCAGCTCATGAAAGTTGAACTTCTATTGAATTTGAATGCAAATAAACTTAATACAACTTTTACTCATCTGCCTTCATTCTGTGGTTTTTCAGGTTTTGCTTTTCTACCATGTTATTTGCTCATGGTAAGTTTAATTTTGGTACTACATGTCGTGTTCTTATACCAAGAACTTGAAAGTGTGTTTAAAAGATCCATCTTCGAACTTTCAGGAGAAAATACAGTGAGCACTGTGCACGCTAGGTCGGACAGTGCTGATCATCTGGCTTTTTATAGTTCTAATAATCAACTCAAGTTATACAGCTAGCCTGACATCAATGCTCACAGTACAACAACTAGAATCCCCCATTACTGGAATCGATACCTTGGTAACGAGCACCGAACCTATAGGATACCAAATAGGGTCTTTTGCTCAAAACTATTTGGTTGAGGAGCTCAACATCCCAAGATCTAGGCTAGTTCCTCTTGGCTCACCAGAAGCATATGCAGACGCCCTTAAGAAAAGAACTGTTGCTGCTGTGGTTGAAGAAAAAGCATATATAGATTTCTTCCTCTCAGAAAACTGCATGTTCTCAATTAGGGGGCAGGAGTTCACCAAAAGCGGGTGGGGATTTGTGAGTATTTCAACATAGTTTTCTTTAACTTTTCCAAAATTTTATTCACTGTATGTTGTCAACATGAACATTTTCCGGTTTAGTGTCAACACATATTTGGTTGACCATTCTCCCAAAACATGCGCAATTTGATCATTCTTTTGTTAGACAGTCTGATATGTTATGTTACTTTATCAGATTTCGAGTAACTGATCAAGTGAAACAAAACATAATTCTTTATGCTACAAAATAACTGATAGATGTGCGATGTCTGAATGTTTCTGCTACATGGGTTTTTGCAGGCATTTCCAAGAGACTCTCCTCTAACCATTGACATGTCAACCGCCATTCTCACCCTATAGGAGAACAGAGATCTTCAGAAAATTCATGACAAATGGTTGTCAAGAAAAACCTGTGCACAGACCTCTGACCTCATATCAGACCAGCTTCAACTACAAAGCTTCTGGGGATTTTCCTTATCTGTGGCATTGCATGCCTTATTGCTCTCTTCATTCACTTTCTGTTGGCACTACGCCAATTCAGCCGGCATTCCCCCGAAGCTGAAGATCAAACTGAGCCTTCCAGCCATAGCAGGAGAGCCTCCCGCTCTTCGCGCCTCCACACGTTCCTGTCCAAGGATTAAAATATCGGCCGTGCAGATAATATCGGGCCTCCAATTTACGGATATTTCGGAGGATATATCGTTATCGTTTTAGGTATCGGGAAAAAATCAACAAAAATGACAGATATAGGCATTGAAACACATAATTTTGGTGTAAAACTTTCATAGATGTTATATACATTATCAATGAATGTATTGAACAAATAAAACTCAAAATTTACTAATAATAAGATATACATATGATGAAATATAAGTGGTATGTAATGCGCATTAATGAAAAGTTTGAAAATAAAATGTTAATTTAAATGAATAAACCATGCATAAATCCATAGTTTGTTTAAACATTGGATTACAAATTAGATAAGTGTCCATCTACATAAATGAAGAGCTCCTATGAGGTTCAAACAATGAGGAACAACCATCTAGATTCTTACAATAGTCATACCAAGTCATGTAACTCGAGCAGTTTATAAGCCATGTTTGAACATGGTGCACATAGGTCTCTCTTAAGACCCCTATTGTCCTCCCATATATGGGATAGTTAGGATTAACCAACTAGTAGGTCCATAATCTTTTTTATCATCTTGAGCTCCATAACTAGTTCCATTATAATGAGACATGACATAACCATAGCCATCATAAGATTCATTTGAGTTAGTATTAGGTCTAGTTCCTATGCTCATAGATCCAAAACTGATTGTCATGTCCTCTTCAGATGGATTGGAGGTATGTGGGCAGTGGACTGTGCATAGATTCTTCATATTAATATATTATAGGGTTCTCGACAAGGATTAGCTATTTTTGGGTTTCAATTTGCTTCAATTAACTTTTAAATTTTTTTTGGGTTCTGTTATGGGTATCGGGAAATATCGGGAATATCGGCAAAATATCGAGGATATCGCACTTATCGGGGATATATCGTCGATACATAGGAAGATATGGTCTTACCCCCCAATATCGGTGTCGACAGTTGAAAATACCGATATATCGGCAGATATATCGGTGTATCGGCCGATATTTCAATCCTTGTTCCTGTCCTTCATCGACAAAAAGGCAGACGAATCGAAGAACAATAACAAGACAAAAAGAAAACGCAAGGAGATGATGGTATCAAATGGGAAGGAGAATTGTGAAAATGACTCAAGGAATATATCCAAGAGAATACAAATCAACAACTCTCAAGAGATACACAACAATGCTGACAATGACTTGGCTGCAAGGGCGGACCTAACTCCAGCCTAGGGGAACATTTATAAAATATTATTATAGGTTTATTTCTACTCAAATAAATATTAGCCCATTGCACCAAATAAATATAGCCCACACATGCATTGTTTTTCTTTTTTTAATAAATTAATAATAGTCCAATCTAAGTAAAGTAAATAATAACTCAGTCCTCTATTTAAAATAAGCTTACTCTTGAAGCATATAGGAAATAATAAACGTCAATCCAATCAATACCTATATAAATTTGATTAGAAGCAGAACTCACGCTAAGGCTCTACCAATTGGAGCTATTCTAATCTTACTGATATTGGGCTACACCCACATAGAACAAACATCAAAAAATTTCTTCTAGCCACCCAAAACGCCATATTTGAACCTTCAGAGCCTAGAGGAAATATCTCTCCTCCTCTAAAAAATTGTACCAACCTATCTTGAGTGGGTTCTACAATCTTGGTAAGTTTTTCTCTCTTATATATATATATATATATATTCATTTTCCAATTTTAATTGTTGTTGTTAAGTTTTTATGATTTAGGGTTTGAGTGAAAACTTTTGGAGATTGTTGATATATGTTTTATTTTTGCAACTTGAGGTCTTAATTAGCATATATGATTTTTGGTGTCTAGTATTTTTGGGGAATCAACTTATTGTATTCTTGTTGATGAAGCAAAAGATGCATCTAATAGAGAGCAAATGACCATTATTTTATAAGATTTGTTGATAAGGATGGTTTTGTTCGTTTTTTTTTTTTTTTTTTTTTTTTTTTTTTGAGATTTTGGTTTTGGTATTTATATTTTGACTTCTTTGTGTTATATTTGCTCGTAATGTGGCTTTGTTTGATTTATAACATTTTATTTACATTTTTGTTTCAAGAGAAAAAAAGGCTTATAATATATATCCTCTAAAAAAACAAAATTTAGCCTACCCTTATAAAAATTCTTGGATCCGCCATTGCTTGGCTAACTCATTAAACATCATCATTTCCAGCCACCTTTCTAATGATAATAATCTAATTAAAAGTTAATTAATCATACCGTATCATGTTCTCTATTTACTCTTTTGTGTTAATATTCATAGAAAACGGTTGAATTATCAAATATGCTTGTCAAATCTGTTCACCATTTCAAAAAATTTCAGGGAGTTTGTATTTCAAGTAGTTAAATGGCATTAACCATGCAACCGAGGTCAAAATTTTGTTCCTTTTTTTCCCAATACAGTTTGTATAAATAAATAAAAATTTAGCAGAACCATCATTTGAGAAAATGTCACCCCAAAAAAAAAAAAAAAAAAAAAAAAAATTGAAAATTGAAAATTCAGCCCAACCCATAAAATTCTTCAAAATCCATCCTTTCCAAGCTCATTCTGGTGTGGTTTCTGATTTTTCCAGTTTTGAACAGGATTTTTATATAAATTTTTTCAAATTATTACTTTTGTACAAATTCCAACAAACAAAATTTGTGTGGGCTTAAAATTTCACAAATGGCACAATTTCATGCAAAGTATAAATGTAACATATAAATGTAATAATTTTGTGTATTATTTTTCTCTAAAACAAGTATAATTTAATAAATCGGAGAGCCCATTAGACCTAATTATCTCATCTCGAAACAGCTTAAAGATAAGGACCGTGCGGTGTCGGGCCATGCTCGGACCGTGCGGTGTCAGGCCGTGCTCGAACCGACCGATCCGTTTGACACCTCTAATCTATCACATGGGGGCCATTTTTACTAACTTTAGAAAGTAAATGAGATTTCCATCTATATAATTTTATTTATTTGGAAATTATCCTAGACATCAAGGCTTGGGTATTAAGAGGATTTTTCCACTTAATGATATTAGGAATACCAAGATATTTGCCCAAGGAGGTTTGATGGAGGGAGAATTTCAAAAATAGTAGACATGTAATCCTAAGTTAGTAACCTTGTAAAATTAACATTTTACAATCTCTAGTAATATGTTGAGCTGAATAAAATAAACAAAATAGATAATATATTTAGAAAAATATACTCTCTTTTTTTGGGTGAACATAAAAATCTACTTTGTAACCCGAAGTTTGTTGGAATTGAATTTTTTTGGCAAAAACAAAAACAAAAAAAAAAAAAAAAAATTTTAAAATTAGACGCTTTTTTCAGTAGCTTGCACAAAAATTAAATAATCCTCTGCAAAATAGAGATTAAAAGAAGAAGAAAAAAACAACTATTTCTCCTTCAACTGTTTTCTAGTAGATTGATTGGGTTAGGTCGGACTCCAAATTTATGTGCAACCAAGCCCATCAGGATCCACAGTGGAGAACGCCTTTTACTCCTCGGTACCTACCAAGCTTCTTTGAATTAAGAACCCTAGCTTCACCTATATATATATATATATATATATATATATATATATTAAAAGAAAGACGAGAGAGGGAGACGAGAAAGAGACGAGGGAGATGAATAACGCAGTGGTGCCGAGGGGTCAAGTGTACTGTTTGACGAGGGCGAGTAGGGTTCCGATTCCGATTCCGAACAAACCAGGATGCCTCCCAAACCTTGTCAATGTCGTCGGCAAAGCCAAATTACTAGAAGCTGCACCCACACCAACCCCATTCCCAATCCAAACAATCCAAAGCAGAAGAAGAAGAAGCTGCCCTTTAATGGCTACTTCCCACCCCAACGCTGACATCGCCAACAACAACATCTGCCCTTTAGTTGACCAAGAAATACAGATGTGCCCTTTAATTCCCTCCACTGGCGACCCCTGCCTTGATCTCTTTTCCAACTCCCTCAGAAGTACATGGGAAATAGATACTAACCACTGCCTTATATATCTGAAGCAAATTCTTCCCTTGGCCTGGTCCCACAATCCCCTTACCACTCTCAAGCTCATCTTCAGCGACGAGCGTAAGTCATTTTCTTACAGAAAGTTCGACACGGCTGTCTTTTGGCTCCTCCAGAACCACCCCAAGACTCTACTACGCAATCTCCGCTCTATTGCCGACTTGCCTGGGTCTTGGAATTTGGAGACACTTGCCAATCTTGTGCACAACCTTTTAGTTTATAAACGAGGCGGCAGAGACGACGAAGACTACGCTGCGCATCTTCATCCTAAGAGGTACGACCGTGACCCGGATTATAGGTTGTTACATGACGGGGTTATGGATCTCTTGGTGGAGCTGTTAAAGTCTGATATCGACAAAATGAAGCAGCACAAGCTGAAAATGAAGCCGCTTACGGATGGTGTCGAAGAATTCGAGGCGGATGAAATTGATGATGGTTGTTTGGTATCCGGGGCTGCAGAGTTATGCACCAGAGACGACGACGAGTACAGAGCCATTTTTCTGAATGAAAGCATTGCGAGGAGGCTTTTCCCTCCCGAATCAGATGTATCAGAAGAGTGGGAACGGCTAAGGAAGGATTTTTTGGTGCCCTTGACCAATTACCACGAACGTCAATTACACTTTAGAATCCGAGACGAGTGTGTGGTTAAGAAGTATTTAAAGGAGGTGGAAGCAGGAGGGGGACGGAATTTGATAAA